CTATGTCCTCCGGTCGCTCGGGCGTCGCATGAGGGATCCTCGCACCGGACAGCCACTCGGAGAAGACCTCCTCATCCAGTGTGCGAGCGCTCCATCTCCGTCTCGGGCCCGCTGAGCCTCTATGAGGTCTATGATCGCTCAGGTTGAAGGTGATAGCTCGGTAGTCGCTGTTTTATGACAACTCCCCTCTCCACTCGCCATCCCGAAACTCTGGGGGTGAGTGAATCGCTGGCGAAGGAGAGGTCGATGATGGAGCTACCCTGCGGACCAGTGAAGGTCAGCATGTGTCCGGTGTTAAGCAGCACGACGTCCAGGATGGAGAGCGCGTCGAGGAGAGTGACGCCACGAGGCCATCGTGTGTAACCAATACACGTTGTGATGTTGATACGATAAATAGTTTAAAGATGTACATATAGAGTGCGCATTGGATTTTTTTCAATATTGAAATTCATTCAATAAGGATAGGATCTCGTCTTAACACAAAGCGAATATAATTAAAAAGAATGAAAAATATTGCAAAATGGCGCACGAGTTATTCGATATTTTCTGAAAAGTGACAATTCTGAGTGTGAACTATTGTAGTACGGCCCAAAACCTTTCCGAATCACCGGACAGAATTTGGTTAAAATGTTTTTTCGCTAAGATCTCGTGGCTGACATGAAAACGAAATTTGAAACATATTTGAAACATAACCTCTGAACGGCACTTCACTCAATTATCGATTTAGAAGAGGAATTTTCCGGGAAATCGGAAATTCTGCGAGTGAACTATTGGAGTAGAGCTGTATACCTTTTGAAATCTTGCGTCAGAATTTTGATCGGTTAAGTATTCCCCGAGATCTCGTGGCTGACTCATGTTTGACGAAAAATCGGAAAAAAACGTGTTTTCATGCTTCAACGTCCTCAAACGATCGCGAGATCCGGTAGTTCTTTCGTGATTCAATCATTACATGCATTTTTTTTCTTCAATTTACATGCTAATAGCAACTACTGTCACATTATCAACATCTGCGCGCTGCTTAACCGGATGCTTCGCGCGAGCTCGATAAAAAATTCATCCGATTAGCCATTATAATTACGGCCGCGGCAGCAATTGAGTTGCACCCGGAAACATTAGCGCAGTGATTCGATAAGCTCAGTCGAATTACGATCGCGCGACCAAAAAGAAATTTGTATCATCTCTCCCGTCTCTAAAGTTAGAGCTTGCGGCACCATCCGCAGCTGTGTAGTTAGAACGGCTCAACAATTATAACACGGAGAAGCTGAGAAACGTGGCATCTCGATTTATATCGTTGAAAAGGGGGGCAAGATGCAGCACGCCGCAACCGCGCGATTAACGCACAGGACGCCACGAGCGCGCGCGAGCCGTACAATTTCCTCGTTTGGGCTAATTTTCGCCCGAAATGCGCTATTCATTATTCAGAGAGGGAGAGAGAGAGGACTGTGCTAGGAGTAGTGCGAATTACGAAGAGGATGCTCGAATTTTGCGGGCTATGTATGGTTGGCAGCTGCAAGTTTCATGAAGATAAGGAAGAGAATTGCAGATAGAACGAGACCCACGTAATAACGAGCACACCGGAAACGTCCCTTTCACGCAGACTCGACCGCAGGACGCTCATACATATAGATGCTCCGCGCGCGCTTTTGAATTTTACCATATATATAAAGCACCTCTCTTGGTACATAACTCTATATATACACGTAAAAAAATAACGATCCGAACTCGAGTGCGCCGAGCTTTTTCTGGCAATTTCTGCACGCTTTATTTTCTCTTGGCTGACACGCGCGTCGCGACCGAAAATTATTAATTCGATCGATCCGGTATCATAGCCTCGAGAATCTGGCCAAAAAGTTGTCGTAGCCGCGTCGATTACATCGTTCGTGATAATCCCCCATATTATGTCGAGCAGCGCGATATTTTCTATATATATATTGCTTATTACATCTTATAGGCATAGGCGTCGTCGTGCGTTATATATAATATAATGTCGCGAGGCGCGCGCGCGTCTCGCTTCGGTAAGCTCGCCATTGCGCTTATCTAAAAATAAATGCTTCGAGGCAAGGCCCTATTAATAGCGTAGATGAGTTTCTATCGCGTACACCTCTCATCATTCGTTCTATGCCCTCACTTTCATGCGGCCAAAGTATAATGTGTACGCAGTATGTGCATCCAGATATGATTCAATGCGTATTATGAACACGAATTCATATATGTATCGACTTTTCGTTCTCTTCATCTAATTTTATTTTTGCATATACACTGCACAACAAAATTATCGCAACAACAATTTTCATCGAAATTTTGTTCATTTTCACATGTTTTTATCTTCATCTATTTAGATCGTATCGAGAAGATTATTAAAATATCAATCTTCTTTAAATATCAATGGGTTTAAGCCAATATTGAGTTACTAGTAGTATTCGAGCGCAACACTAAAAATGACCGAAAAATTGATTGTTTTAACGTGTACCATAACGAGTAACACAGTAATTTATTTATCAAAATCTAACATACACAATCGCAAGACTCTTTTCAACGAATGATTTTAAAAAAGAGCTTTCTACGATTTGTTTGCACTCTGTAGGATGTTTTGGAGATACCATTTAAAATACATGAAATGACTCGAAGACAAAATTTCCAAGAAATCAAAAAAAAAAAAAAAATGGGTCTTGATGCGATCTAAATAGACGAAGATAAACGTATTTGAAAATTGACAAAATTTCGAATAAAATTTTTGTAGTGATAATTTTGTTGCGCAGAATATCTTTAAACGTACACGATAGATCTCGATCAGAGGTGAAATATAATTTCTTATATTTTTTCCAAAGCCGATGACAAATACACGAAGCGCGAATGGATTTATCCAGACGCCCAGACTGCCATCACCGAGATGTACGTGAATTTTTTACTGCAAAATACTAAAATTAAAGTATCGAGTCGTCGACCTGTACGTGTGCTGCTGACTTTTGAAGCGCGCGCGGCACACGGCACACAGCCACGCTCGGAAATTCGCGCTAAAACAGATGAGACAGAGTCAGAAACTCGAGAGTTTTATTTATAGAAATGCGTAAAGTTGAAAAAAATGTTGATTTACACGTTCTCGCTGGTGAGAGAGCTTCACCTACATATCGTCGCCCCAGCGCAGGAAGGTATCTATTTCCAAGCTGTAGCAAGAAGGATACTTACTCGCGTGCAGAGGCAAAAAGGTATCTAACTCGAGCGCAGCGGCAAAAAAGTATCTAATTCGAGCGAGAAGCAAAAAAGTAGCTAATTCAAACGAAGTGGCAAGAAAGTTTTGACGCGCTGAATTTAGGTTGGCAACGCAGCCGTAAATGATAAAATTTTGTTTCGTATTAGAGCAAAACAGAGGAAAAATATTTGAGCTAGTGTAATGATTTTCATCCATTTGTAATGCGAGCAAACAAATCAATCTCACCATGATTTCGACTCAATTTGCCACTTATGGAGAACTTTGTATGTTATGAAAGGAAAGTAGAAGTTATCGGCTTTACATAGCTTTGAATTAAATGTTGAATGTTGAATGTTAAAACAAAATTTTATCATTTACGGCTCCGTTGCCAACCTAAATTCAGCGCGTCAAAACTTTCTTGCCACTTCGTTTGAATTAGCTACTTTTTTGCTTCTCGCTCGAATTAGATACCTTTTTGCCGCTGCGCTCGAGTTAGATACCTTTTTGCCTCTGCGCGCGAGTAAGTATCCTTCTTGCTACAGCTTGGAAATAGATACCTTCCTGCGCTGGGGCGACGATATTATTATTATTATTTAAATTTTTTTCTGCAAAAACTCATGCGAGTGCGTACATGCGTATTCGGACGTTAAATTTTTATATAGAATTTGCCTAATGTAAGCTCCCCATACCGGCTATGACGACAAAATCATAACGCAACGGCGTATCATAATTATTATTAAGCCGAGCTTTCGCATTTTCTTCTAAATCGGGCGATTACTCGTACGCAAGAAAATGACTCACGAATTTTGGCAAGTGTCGATTTCGTTTGCAGGCACGTACTCTATTACGTGGGAAACGTCATTATACACGTCGCTGACAATTTATAAGTCGGCGTGTAATGCGATTTGTCCGACTGATTTTTCACATTGTTTTTGATCTCGTGTTGTGCACCAAGTCGAACAAATAACGAATCATTTGTACGAATGCTAGTCAGCTCGAACGCGTCGCGATTCGAGTATTTTCTTATATGCCAATCTGTATATATCTAGACGTCTGACTGTACGTACTCGTTATCTACTTCATTAAAGCCGTTGTGTTTCTTACGTCTCGTTTCTAACGCGACTTCTTTTTTTGTCGCGTCCAGGAAATGATCAAAGTTGGAGAAAAATAAGAAGTTGTTTACTTTATTTCGTATGTAAGGTATAGCGTAAACAATCGACCCGAGCACGCGACTCTATTTTCGGAACATTTTGTAATTGCCCACTTGTCTCTAACAAAGCTTCTCATTAGCACCGAGCGATTTTTAACTTTTTGTCTAGCCTAGCTGGATCGCGAGCTTTTTTTCGCCGATCTCCGCGCGTATGAGGGTCAGTAGTGGCTGACCTTGATTTCATTTTTTTTCCTCTACTCCGACAACCTATTAGCACTGGTTTTCCAGAATCGGAAGAGCCGAGAAAAAAAATGTTTTCTTTTCTCGCGACAGGCGTCATCGTTTTGCGTAAAGCGGCAAACTGTGGAATGTCAAGCATTTGCCGAGCTATACACCTTATACGAAGAAGCACACAGAAGCGTCATCAATTTTATCGCGCGCGAGGGTGTATACCCGGTGCGTAACGGACCAATACACTGGGCACGCGCCCGGCAACGATCGGAATTGACGTTAATTGCCTCTACCACTACCACCACCACCACTGCAGCAACAACATTTTGGACTATGCCGAGCTTTATAGCATATCATTGCGAGTTAAAGAGAGAAAGAGAGCGAGAGAGAGACGAGGATGCATTTCGCCGTCGCCACCGCTGCTGCTTTCGTATAGTAGCCGCCTTTTCGCGTCGTGCGCGAACGTGCCGTGTGCAAAGCTCAACGTGTAATGACTAGGCCGCTCCCGGGCCTCGTGCAGCCATTCGACGATTATATTCAAACCTCGCGCTTATTATATATATATATTGAAATTATAATTTTTTTTTAATTAAAAAAAGAAAAAACGTTGGTGTGCGCGCACGTTTTGTAGTTGCGTTTAGTATAGCGTGATTTATAGTGTGTTCTCCCACTGGTTCTCTTCGATAGCTTCGATAGACGACCAGCTTCAGTCATTTTTAACGTTTCTTCACAACTGGTGAGTAAAAGCTCTTCTTCTACATCTCTCTTTATCAATCCTTTTTATCTCGTGTAATATAAAAAAAGTGTCAAGAGGTAGTTACATAATCCCAGGGCAATTTGCGGGGGAGAATCGAGCTTTCGCGAGCTGTTGTCCGAGTGAGAAAAAATTTACACGAAGTTTTATGTATAACGCTGTTGATGACATCATAAATCTAGCTCAGGCTGTTAAAATAGAATCTTCATCATAGTGTCTGTCGTAGGCCTCGATATCCGTAATCAGACCTGATTTTAAATCTGTGTGTTTATTAATAAAATTCTAAGAGAAGTGTGAAATCTTTCGGTTCTATAATGAGAAACAATGGTCGTTTACATCCGTAGCCCTGGCCTCGAAAATCTACAGCGAAAAAATCGCTATCGGAAGGATTTATGCCTGATCTTCACCGGGTTAACGAGTGAATAATTTTCGACATTATCGTAGCTCGTTGCATAATCGTTCCTTCTTCGTCGTCGCGGGGTATATGACGCGTATTACACGCGCGTGTGTCACCGAGCTCGAAAATACAATTTCCCCATCCCTCGTGCACTGTGTTATAGCTCCGAGCCGCTTGCGCATAATAATACATATATCTCGCGAGCAGCGACGCAGCGGCAGCAGCAGCAGCAGCAGCGAAAGAAGGGGCTGCTGCTGCTCCCATCGCCACCACCGCCATCCAAAGTGATTAATTACTACTTTGCCGTTGTACAAAGGCAGACGCGCGGACAAAAACACGTATACGATGTAAATAAGCGTTTCTCGAGCTGCTTAGCGAACGCATTATATTAATAGCAAAATTGCTCTTGAGTTTTTCACTCGTAACAAATAAGGATATACCATGCAAAGCGATATTATTCGCGCCACCTCCGTCAGCACCGATCACGCGGGTGTAGGTGTGTGTGTGTGTGCAATCTCAAAGGCTAAAAAACTCTCGAGCTTGCGGCGCATCCGCGAGAATGCGATGCACGCGGGCGCCGCTGCTGACCAATTTATTATTACTGGTAATCGTCCAAATAACAACGTAATGCCGCTGCTGAATGACCAAGTGCATGTGTGTTAAAAGTATTAATGCGGCTTGTATTAAATACGACCAATTATTCGCTCGCAACGATCTGCCGTATAATTTGAAGAGCTTTTTTCCGTCGAGCTTTTTTCCTTATATTAATGACGTGGCATGAATATTTTGACTTTTTTCGTAACTCTCATCTTTATGTATAGTATTTTCTTTCTGCTGCAAACACGTACGTATGTAACAGACGCGCGCGCCGTGTATGTACACACTCGGTCTCTCGTGCTGGAGAAAAAAAAATTCGCGAAAAAAAAATTACACATACGCCGTAGCAACAGCAGCAGCAGCGGCTCGAAAAGTAAACGTTCCCGTGTACAAGCTGCACGCGCAACGCGCACCAAGCCAAGTTGGAGCAGAGCACAGGGAGGCCAAAGGGAGGCTGATAAAGGGGCGGATCGTGATGTATATATCTACTCGTCTCTGTCTCTCGTGCTCACTCTCACACACATACACAAAAAGGGGTAGTAAAGCAGACATATATAAATGCCCATATACAGCTCGGTTCGGTGGAGGGGTGGGCTGTGGAAAAGCACGTAGGCAAGAGGAGGCGTTCGAGCCCATGTAGCGTATATCTGTATAGACGCATACACACACAGACACATACACGGGGGAGAGAAAGTTACAGCGAGCGAGCTTTAATGGTCATGCGCGCAAACGCGAACGCGAAATGGTGGAATCTTTATCTATCCATTTAGAAGCAGTAGCGGTGCAGCTTTGCACGATGCCGAGTCAAATCACCAAGGGCTGGAAAAAATGCAGAAATTTTTGCACGATGCCTTGAGATCGACGCATGATTATATAAAGGATCAACTTATGAATATTCGTACTCTATAGTGGATGTTTGCTTATCGAGCTTTCGCACTCTCGAAACGTTCATCGAATATTATAGGCTGCTTGAAAAGGCACGGTTTGTCGGAGCTTTTACGAGCTGTATCGATGGGAATCGAGCTCACTGATAACTACAGAAAATAGCCGAAAAATTGCCTGAGTTGCAAAAAATGTCGAGATTGGCGAGCTTTTTCCTAATTCGGTTCGCGCCCGTGCGTGATTCACACACCGCTTCTATAACGAATCCGCGCAATGGAAAGAGAATTTGATGGTGCGTATGCCGCTCGCGGATGATACATAATATATAGGAGTTACGAATATAGCCAGCTTATACCCGTCCAGCTCTCTCTCTCTCTCTCTTTCTCTCTCTCGGGCTCTCCTCCTCCACCTCCTCCACCTCCTCCACCGACTTATATTACTCGCTGATTACGGAAATAGATTTGGACTTTTAATTTAGAACTATAGGCGGTGCGTACGACGGTGGCGGCGGCGACGACGACGACGACGGCGGCTCCGTCTTATACGCGTAAACCAGCGAGAAAGAGCGAAAGAGAGAGAGAAAGAGAGTGAGAAAGAGTGGAAGTGGAGAGAGGAAAATTGTTTATATACTCTGTTCCATTTTTGTGTGCGTACGCTGCGTTAGATAACTAGGCCCGTCGCACAACTAAGTCAGTCTTGCCGATTGTCTCGTGCGCGCATCATCTCCGTCATTAGACAAGGTACAGCATCGTCTCGTCTCTAGTCTTCATCATCTTCTTCTTCTGATTGTGAATTCTCCTGCTTATTTTTCATCATTTTTCTTTTATTTTTTTTTCTTGTATTCGAATTTTAATTCGAATCAATTTTTGGGACTTTATATTTTATAATATAGTATCATACATAGTGAAGTGCTGATTGAGTTTAAGTTTACACACACATCAAGTTGACGGATTCTATTTTCACGCGCATCGACAACGATCCTTAATTCGATTCGCATGAGTGAGATGGTGATTTGATTAAAACTGTAGAGAAAATAAAAATTGGTGCGGCGAATCGAATTAATGTGAGATAAACAACTAACGTAGTGTTTGCATATATTATGACCAATTACAATTGGTTATAACGCGTCTCAACGATTTGGTTTACTTTTTGCTTTTGTTGGAAGGGGTTTTCGCGGATTTGAATTAAATTGTTGTTAGCATTAAACACGAGTGTGACGATCGCATAATAAACGCTATCATTTTTTTTCTCTTGTGAATCTGTTTCAGTAGAATAAATAAAAAAACAGGACAAAATGCCTTACAAGCCAGTGGAACAAGCAAAATGCCCAAAATGCGGAAAATCAGTCTACGCCGCTGAAGAGCGCGTAGCTGGAGGATTGAAATGGCACAAGATGTGCTTCAAATGCGGTACGTTTTTTCACATACTTTCTTCTTTTGCTTCATTTTTATTTGATTCGCTTACGAACGCGCGTGGACTCCCCAGACGGAATCGATTATAGCTTAAAACTTTGTCGATTATATCTGCTCGGATTCATATCGAGAGTTTATTTTATCCGATTCTTCGCGAATTTCCAGACGGCGATTCATTAAAACTTTGTTCCAAAGCCTGCAATACTAATGACGTGATAACCATTTTTCGATCATACCGTGCGGCGCGCGCGAGTTTAAAGTTCGAATCAACGCGATTATGAGTTCGTAACAATTATTACTGATTATCCGAGCAGCGACGATTTATTAATTTGTCGGAATCGAGTTTGCGATTGTTGCCCTCCTCTCCGGCGTCCTTATCAAGTACACAATGTACGACGAGTGCCGCAAAGTGAGCCAGGAAAATTCAATGGACGGAATTTCGTTCACGTAAACTGTTGCAGGTCTCTGCGGCAAGCTGCTCGACTCGACAAACTGCACAGAGCACGACGGCGAGCTCTTCTGCAAAACTTGCCACGGCCGCAAATTCGGACCTAAGGGCTACGGCTTCGGCGGTGGCGCCGGCTGCCTCTCCATGGACCAAGGAGACCATCTTGCGGGCCACCAGTGAGTTCATCTTCCCGTGTCGTTTCCCCCCTTCGAAAAAACCCCCCCTCAGAACCTACAGCAACAACATCATCAACAACAGTTATACCCTTTATCCTTGTATTAGAGTCCCTTTAGCAGAACCTCTTCAGTGATTTTTCATTATTCCTGAGTATACGAATTCACATATGCCTCTTTTTTGCAAGTACCCTCACTCTTTCTCTCTCTCTCTGTCTATCTCTATCGCGTATACCCCCCTCAAAAAAGTCGTGATTTTGTTTTGACCTCTCGATTCCTTTTGATTTGTATTACGTGTATTTGTTACTCCTAGACGTGGGCACGAAGGTTGACAACGCACGTGTTGCTCGACTTATGCAGTGCCACTTTTTTGTTTTTTCTTCCAATCGTTTTACATATAATAGAGGGTCGTTAGATTTGCCTGATGTTTTTTACTCCCAATTGGTTTTATTTTGGTTTTGTCCCCTCTGTTTTTATGTTATAAAAAAAGTGTAACTTATTTTGCATTTCGATGTTACTGAAAAAAAGAAAAAAAAGCAACGACAACGACAAAATCCTCAAATTTTACAACATTTTTTGTAAAACACCCAAAACCAAGTAGAAATCATTAGGTGTGTAACGAGTGAAAAGCACAAAAAAATATTCTATTATACCAGCGTTGACGATGCATCAATTTGTGACTTTTTTTCTAAAGTTGTTCTACCAATGGAGTTTATGTTTATAATACATATATATTACTATATGCATGTATGTATTTATATATTTATTATATACCTACATACAGATGCACAAGCACTTATCACACGACGATAATAGTGATTGTGTATTCTTACGTAATTTTTTTTCCAAAGAAAAACGAGTGGCAAAACAAAGTCTTAAGTCAATGTTTTTTTTCTCTCTCTTATTTTTATTCTTTTTTCTGCTCTAAAATTATTATATTGTTATTACATTGTACTTATCCTTGTTGTGTACTGGGTGTTCACGAACGTTTGAGTAATCGACAGAAAAAAAAATTTAGTTTTTTTAAACTGTTATTCAAACATTTGTGGGACCAAAATGTTCGACATTGTGTACACACACGTAAAACGCACGACTTTTTATTTATATACGCAAAAAAAAGTTTGATATATTGAGTACACGCCTATACTCGCACACGATGAAAAAAGTTACTTGAAAAAAAAAAGTTTAAAAAAAAAGATTATGACTTATTATACATTGAATGTTTTTTTGAAAAATACGCACACGCAAACATATACACGTTTTTTCTTTCTCTATCTAGCTATAGGAATATTTGTACCATCTGTAATAAGTGTTATATTTAAAGAAAAAAAACTATATCTTAATTAATAAATAACACTGTTAAAAAAAATTAAAAAAGGTCTTGAGCTTTTTCATGCTATTTGAGGACGCTCAGGGCTTTCGCTTGAATTATTATTAAAAATATAATAATAATCTCAGGCGTGCACGCATGTATACGAATCAACAAACACCAGCAAAAATCATACTCGTAACCAATATTAAAAAAAGAAAAAAAGTTTAGAAAACAACATAGATATAGCTTGCTTGTGTACATGAGTGGACGTCAGCTCCGAGCGTCCGAAAAATAGCCCCCATCAATCCCCAATTTCCCGCCAGCCCCGCCGAGTTCGAGCCACAGCGGTCTGATATTATTCAGATAATCTTTCAACAGCAAATATAAAAAAACAAAAAAAGCCTGACACCAAAGTTGTGCTAGATTATAAAAGATATATAACGTTGATCTCTCTGTCTCTCTGACTCACATCCGCAACAATGAAAAACAAAAAAAAAGTAAAACAGAAAAAAGTATATACGTAGAAAAAACCGCGGCTATAAAAGTTACTGATGATGGTGAGCACCGAGTTATTATTATTTGTATATCACAGGGCGTGAATTTTACTCTTTCTTTTTTCTAATTTCTGACTCACTATAACTTTTTTTCCACTTTTCTAGAGATTTGTTCTGCAAAAAATTGTATTTCTTTTTACTGAAAAAATCTTTCACTCTGCTTATCGCGCCGAGTTATTTACCATCTCCTGCACGGCCTTATACACATTTCGATCTAACCCTCTAACCTCGCTAACCCTAGCCCCCCTTCATATAACCTTAAAAAAAAAGAAAAAAGAAAACGTTTCTTTGTCAATTATCAGACCAAACGGACAAATCACTTATCTGTTTGTTGATCTTTTTTTTGTCAAAAGTAAAAAAAAATACTCGCTCTGTCGCTCTATCGCTGCTCTCTATCTCTTTTCTATCCTTATCTTTCTTTTTTATTTTGACATTATCTTTGGTTAGACACTTTTTTGCCTCATATTTATGTATTTCTGTATAATTTTGAAATTTGTTGTCTGGTATTATTGAAAAAAAAAGCAAACAAAATTATTGTTGATTTTTTTTAATTTTTCTTGTTTATTTGGTAATTACTTTGGTACGCACCAACATCCGCTTTTCGGCTCTCTCGGGGCTCGGCGGAAGCCACGTCGCGTGGTTGGGGATTATCATTAACACCTACTAACACCTGCCTAACAATGTGATATAAAACAAAAAACGATCTACTGTAACATTTGCGACTACCCCTAAGTACGAGGAACACATGTTTCTCAATTTTCTATGAAAAACTTCATCTACGTCATTTTTCAGAACATTACAGAATCATGTAACTGGCTAAAAAATCGACATAAAATTCATCGACATATCTCAAAATCACATTATGTGTTCCTCGTCTTAGGGTTTTGTTGGTAGTATAATGCCTTTATTCTCTACATCCAACAAGTCTGAAGTGTATTAATTTAATATCTGTATCTCAGTTTGTTTTATTTTAACTTTCCGAAGATTTTAAAATCACGATGGACTATTAATGACACCAAATGAAACCTTTTCAATTTGACAAAAACAGTCCAACTTGTTTTTCTAATCTTCGTTTCTACCACATGTAAATACTTGATTTTTTCTGTTGCTGTTATTTTGCCAAACGACGATCGCTCGAAATTTTTTCCGATATTTTATCTCGCTTTCGTCGTTTGGCAAAACATGATTTTTCTTTTTTTTCTCTCTTTCTCGTCTCTTTAATGTACAAATAAAAGCCTCTCTCAGCGTCGTCATCATCATCAGTTTCATATATCTCTAAATGCCGGTCGCAATTTGCAGGTACCAAATTTCGAACGCCGTGATGGAGCCAAGATCCATCGCCAAAGCCCCGGAGGGCGAGGGCTGCCCACGCTGCGGCGGCTACGTTTACGCCGCCGAGCAGATGCTCGCCAGAGGAAGGGTAAGTTTTCGTAACGACGCCAAAATGCTCCCGAAACTCCCTCGAAACTATATCATATCTCTCTTGGTCTCTCGTTCCTGCTTTACTACGTAGCACATATATACACACCATATTTTTTTTCAGGGAGAGAAAGCCTATAAAACATAAAAATTTTAATTACAATTACAAATATTTTTGTTAAAGAGTAAGATTAAGATTACTGTGTACTACAGAAACCCATCATAGTTTGACTCTATGAAACTTTTACAATAGGTCTATTCTCGACGTTTTTATTATAGGGAACAAGTGTGTGTATATATCTATAGCAGTAAAGTAGATGCAAAGAGACCTGACGTGATTCGATTCGATTTATTCGATAAAAAGACATTAATATCTGAATTCGTTACGTGAGATGCAAACACGTATACACATATTCATAAACACTACAGGGTGGCTTTAATCGAGCAGGGGGACGTACATCGTCGTTGTATCGAGTGTATCACTCGTGTTCGTCGAATGATATTGAATTATATTACAGCGATTTTGAGCTAGTATAATTCTATAAGCATATTAAGTATCGTCGATTTGATGCTCTTAACGAAATTTAGATCGGTGTATGTTTCGGAATAATTTAAAAATATTCAACTCCGTCGCGTTTCGAATCAAACATTAATGACTTTTAAAATAGAATTTTCTTGTATTTTTTTATTTTTATTTTGAGAAATGAAAAAAAAAACATTTTCGATTTTGAAATGGACCAATGCGTGTGTATAGTTGGACAAATTTATGAAAAAATAAATAAAAAATAAATCTGTTTTTTTTTTTTTGGAAAAACGAAATTTAAAAAAAAAGCTAGCCACGCAGTCGAGGTGCGATAAGCTCACCGCATAACAGTTTAGTAAAGAGGAGCTCTGTGTTCTCGAAATATCCACACACTCAGCAGAGCGACTTATAGCATCGCCGCACGCATTCCTCTCTTGGAAGAGTATAGTCGCCGGGTCACAACGTCGCGGTGTTGTATCTATTATATCTATTACATGCACATAATGTATTATATAGCGCGTCTAGCGCTCCAACTCGCTCGCCAACGTAATTTCATCGAGCATATTTTAATGATGAAACATCTCGTACGAGGATATATTTCAAAATAATGTACATCGATTGGCCGCGAGAGAGATAATTGCGCCGCGAACGCGTTAAAATAATTTGCAACGATCGTCGCGAGCGAGGGGTAATCAAATGAAATATTTGTCAGCGCGCATCGCATGGCAAGGAGAGCATAAACATCGTTTCATTGGGATCGGTGCAGAATTAATCAAGGACTTGGCTCTCCTCTTCTTCGAATTTCGTTAAAAGGATTAAGAATAAACGACCGACTCGTGTTATAGTTAAATTCGCGTGCTTTTGTCGATCCAAAATCGCTGAGTCTTATATAATCGAGCTGATTAGATTCAAGTTTCGGAGCTATTCAATTACTGCAAAACGATCAAAGTTATTGGGCAACGCGCGACTCGAAAACAAGAACCTCTCGATTCGTAACTTCTGAAAGTCTAATGCTCTTTCGATCTTACATATTAGATTACAAGGCCTACATAATGTCGCGAATTATTTTCGTTTTTCCGCGCCTATTTTTATTATACACTGCTCATTCATGAAATACGCATGGTATTACAAAATCGCACACTTACAGAAATATCCCACCGTATAATACGCTCGAAAATAGCTCGGGCGCGCGCATATAAGAGTCTACCGCAAGCTCGCGAATTTACGCACAATTCAGTTTTAGCCACTCTCTCTCTCTCTCTTTCTCGCTGTAAGAATAAAATTCTTTCTCTTTCTCTCGGTGCGTGTTAAAATCTAATAATAAAATGCGACTCGTCGCGTGTAATAATCGTCGACGTCCCACGCGCTTCGCGTATATTACTTTATATATCGCACGAGAGAGGACGGCGCCGGGCAAAACAGCATCAGCAGTAGCAGTAGCCGCAACGGAGCATGATGCGATTCGAAGTTTTCCGGGCGTATACACGGCAGCGCGAGAGGCAAAATTGATGCCGCGTTTAATTTTAGCCATAGACACACACGTTCTCGCGTGCGGCAGTGGCTTCGCTTTTTACTCGAGCGCGAAGTTAAATGTATAATATGCAAAAGCTCGATCTCTGCCAGAAAAGCGACTCTGAACAATTTTTTTTCTCGAGGGGTATTTAAAAAAATTAAATTTCACTCGCCTTACACTTACACTTACATTTTACCTAAAAACAAAGATCAACGAACGAGTGACAAACGAAATATTTTTTATAATGAATTGCGAGAGACGTTGAAAATCATTGCTGCCTTTTTTGTTTTTTTCTTGTATTGACTGGCCCAGGCCTACCATAAGCAATGCTACAAGTGCGGTATCTGTAAGAGGACACTGGACTCGACCTTACATTGCGACGGGCCCGATCGCGACATTTATTGCCGAGGTATATTATAGCCGCCAAACGAAAATCTCTCTCACTTTGTGACCACCGACCAACCCCTTTGTGCATTAAAACAAAAACAATACCAAAAAAAACTGTACTTGACAGCACGATTTCCTGAATTTTCACCTCTTTCTTTATTTACTCTTTATAACTATTTGTTGTTAACTGATTAACGGTACATTCAAATATGTCTGCAATGTGCAATAACAACAGCGCGCAATAATTTCGGAAAATCGGACACATGTTTGCTCATCGGTGGGCGAACATCATTTATACACATTCGATACGCATTTCATACACTTACATCTGTCACAACTGGAAACACACAACTGGATTTACTTATGCGCGCGTCAACAGTAGATTACAATGGTGCTGCTGCTGCGCCCGCCCAAATAATCACACACGCGCGTACACACGAGCAGCATATAATACACGCATATCTGGGCAGTGCACGGAACACACGCAGCAGCAAAAAAAGGACCCGATGCTGTGCACGGCGTTCTCGAAGGGGGAAGGGGACCTCGGCCGGGATATGTACACGCAGGGTTCGGCGCGTTATACAGGGTGCACAGGTTGCAGCAGCCCCGAATCTATGCATACATTAGCCCTCGTTAAGTTCATTCACCGACCGTATAGACATACATGCCCTGTTTGCGTGTATATGTATGCTCACCAGTTTTGTCTCTTTTCGCACTATTAGCCCCTTTGCAAACATCGCACCCAATCACCAATTCTCTCTCTCTCTCTCTCTCTCGTTCTACAAACATATGTATACACACGCATCCTTTTGCTTCGTTTTCTCAATAAATACCCTCTTCTGTTGCTGCCGTTGCATTTATGCACAGCCAGCAGTTCGGCTTTTGTAAAAGCTCTCGCGCGCGCGACTCGTTCGTTTGTTCAAAGATTATTTACCTCGCGCAAATGCGTCGCGTTCAAAAAGTCGTATTTTACAACAACAGCAATACACCAACAACAAAATCAACAACGACAAAAACAACGGAATGCCTGTGATTTAATATGGTAACGATCGTAGCGTTTCTAATGAAAAAATAATCATGGTCTCGATTAAAGCCAATCCCATCTTCCCTCGTGTCAAAATATTTTCATACATTATTATAGTAATCATAAGTACAATAAACAGGTGACTAACCCAACTTTATTCGTATCCCCTTCTTTTTTTTTTGTTTCTTTGTGTCTCGATACGTATAGCAATGGCACAGAGAGTGTTTTAAATGTGGCGACTGCTCCAAGAGATTAGACTCGGTCAACTGCTGCGAAGGTCCTGACAAGGATATCTATTGCAAAGGTGAGAGATAAGCAAGCGCATTCACACGCACACAAAAACATTTTTTATCGTCCAACATTTATACTACTTTTGTACATCACACGAAAGCGCGAGCAGTGCAAAATTTAAATGTTCACTCTATATTATACTCGAGTGCGAGATTTAACGACGATTAATTACATTAATTTGGACAACAAATTTACTCTCTCTGGCTCTCTCTTTCAGCTCGTGGCAAATATTTTTGGCTACGAGCCCGTTTAGAGCAGCGAGCGCGTGCACGGGTAAATTTTTTTCACGCAAATATAGATCACCTAGAAAAACGACGACACACCTGCACCACAGGTCTATATATGCTTGCGTGTCGAGCCTCGAATTTTAACACGAACTGAAGCAAAATTTTCGCAACCGTAGAGAAATTTTTCCATTCGGAAAGTTGCACTGCTCGCGAGTCTCGAAAAAAAAATTACACTCAATCAATTCATCGACGACAACAATCTTCTTTTGAATGTTAAAAATCTGTCTTACTTATGTATTATTCTTATTTGTGCGTGTCTCCCCTCTCCCCCATCGACAAAAAACAACTACAACAATTGCAACAACAACATCAACAACAACTACATCGAACGCGTTGTTCTCAATGTGTGACCACTTCCACTCGATAAAAAAACAGTGTGCTACGGAAAGAAGTTCGGTCCCAAAGGCTACGGCTACGGCCAAGGTGGCGGCGCCCTGCAGAGCGACTGCTACGCCAACGGGTGGGTGTTTGACTACTGTTCACTTTTCATCAGCAAAAAAAAATAATAATAATAATAATAATAATAATAATAATAATGATACCGATAATAGTAGTAATAGACGATTTCTTTTGGATTTGCCAGCGGGTGAATTTGCAAACCAGTATGTACTTTCTCATTATTAACCCACATCCGTGTAGCAAATCCACGAAAAGGTTTATTATTATTATTATTTCACAATATGTAAATATTTTATTTAGATATGCATTGTTTATTTATAATAATCGCACCACATTTCTTTCTCACTCTTTCGTTTGTCTGTCTCACGATTATATACACATCAATTATTTAGAGATAATTTATAATTTACGAAAGTATGAAAAAAATATTACTTCAAACTAGTTAAATATATATAATGCGCTTTACTTCTCTCTCACTTTCTGTCAATCTCTTTCTCTCTTTTTTTTTGGCTCTATCTATCCTGTATTGTTTAGTTTTTTATTTTGTTTTGTAAGTTTGACTTTGCTCTCTATCTCTGCTTCTTAACAGCTTGCTACCCGAAGAAATTCGGACCGCGAGGCATCGGCCACGCTGGAGGTGGTTGGATCGGCTTACAGTGCGATATCGAGGACATGGGGTACGGGCAATTTGAACCTGAACCACAAATATCCTCTGCCTTTCCCTTTTTTGTGCATCTAAAAAAAATTTTTTTCTCGACTCGATACCTTGACGCGTATAATTGTTGAAAATTTTCTCATGATCCTGACGCATATTTAATGTATAAAACTTCATTGTATATAACGTCCCCGAGAAACGCACATTATATGCTACCGTATATAGCGTGTGTGCCCCTAATGGCTGCGGGGCGACGAAATTTTCAATCTCTGGCTCCATTAGCGGCGGCCGTTTAAGACCATTAAATTAATCGAACGATCCAACGCGACGCTTTAATGCGCGCTGACTCATGCAAGTTTTTGTGTGTGTGTGCATGAGTGTGTTAGTTTGTGTGCGCCGCCACCATCCAATATTATATAAATACAGAGTTTGTTTTATCGCCACCCGAGCTTTAATTTTCTAATAATAATCTTGTAATGAATCCAACTTTTCTCTTCTCCCGACTCTCCTTCTTTATATACCGTATCGAAGATTCTCTTACCTATATCGAGAAAGGCTCACACGACGTTCGCGTAACGAGATTATCATGCAGCGCCGCAGCCATGCACTCGTCGCGCCGAGCGAGTTCTTTCCCCCGTTGCAATATGCATAAAGACGGTGTCAAAAGCCAGACGACGATCTCCATCGTGTAATAAGTATCGATTCGAGTCGAAGTTTTTTAATCGTCTCTTTTTTTCGATTTTAGAATTCGAAAGTCTCTGAATTAAAATCCACGGACAGATTTAAAGCTCAAAAGACGGACCATCAGCTCGTCGATCACACACGTGTTACCGTAATTACGGAAAAACTTTTGACCATGTTTCACGCTCAAATACCTAGAGATACATTCGCGCTCTGAGTCGAGCACAATTCATGCTCAGACTCGAGTGCGAAACGCCCTCGAGTTCTGTCTACTACTAACTATGATCTTAAGCTGAGCGATGAGGCTCGAGAGCGATTCACGCTCAGTCTCGAGGCTGAATCGCGCTCAGTGCTGGTGACGAAACGAGCTCAGTAAAGTCGTGTGTGATTCGTTTTCAGTAGTTGAGCGTGAAACATGGTCAAAAGTTTTTCCGTGAAACTAATGTTTGCACTATCGATATTTTTATACGTACGCAAGAGATTTTGTGTAGTTGGATTAATATTGGAAAACTGTCACGATGTCGCGGAGGATTCTCTCGAGTCTGCACACGTCATTATATAAGAAAAGACCGCATAATTGAAAAGAAAACGTGCACAGCCACCGCTCGATTTTGCACACGGACGCTTGATACCTCATATGCTCGCGTCTTTTCGCATAGACGCTATTATTATTATCATTACAAAATTTTCTTGCCTGCTTGCCTGTGCCGCGCGAGCGACTAAAATTAGTTTTTGCCATCCCGCTCCAAGCTCGCGAAGAGCTGCAAATTCCCTCGCTATGCATGCAGAATCAAAAAAAAATATCCAACACGTACATTAACAGTGCACTTTGATAGTTATATTTAAAATAAAAACACGTCCCATCGTCTTCACCTTCGATTTCGAACAAACATTTGAATAATTACATCATCGTTGCGCAGTGATGCGGCTCCGAAAACGACCGTCGTGGACACGGCCTCGATCATGGCCCCACCTGGCAAGGGATGCCCTCGCTGCGGCGGGGTAGTCTTCGCCGCCGAGCAGGTGCTGGCCAAGGGCCGCGAGTGGCACAGAAAGTGCTTCAAGTGCCGGGACTGCACCAAGACCCTGGACTCGATCATAGCCTGCGACGGCCCCGACAAGGACGTCTACTGCAAGACCTGCTACGGCAAGAAGTGGGGACCCCACGGCTACGGCTTCGCCTGCGGCTCCGGTTTCCTCCAGACCGACGGCCTGACGTGAGTGCACAACTCGATTGCGACAACGACGAAATTGTTGTCTATATTATAAATTGTCCGTGGTTTTTTTTTACTATGAAGCGAGGACCAGATCTCGGGCAGCAGACCGTGCTACAATCCCGACACCACGTCGATCAAGGCCCCACCGGGCCAGGGCTGCCCGCGCTGCGGCGGCATGGTGTTCGCCGCCGAGCAGCAGCTCGCCAAGGGCACGATGTGGCACAAGAAGTGCTTCAATTGCGCCGAGTGCCACAGGCCGCTCGACTCGATGCTGGCCTGCGACGGCCCCGACAAAGAGATCCACTGCAAGGCCTGCTACGGCAAGCTGTTCGGCCCCAAGGGCTTCGGCTTCGGCCACTCGCCCACTCTCGTCTCGACCGATCCCGAGCACGCACCGTCTTTGTAAGTTTTTCCTTTTTACAAAATTTCTATAACTCATAATATCGTATCGGGAAAAGATGCTAGTTTTCGGACACTTGAGAAAAATGCCGACCTCAATTTTTTGAACTTACCGCCGAATAAAGAATTTTCTTATCTTTCCAATGATTATATTTAAATGGAAAATTAGTTTGAATTTCAATTACATGGGGATTTGATAAAAAAAATGTTAAAAGTTCAGTTTCCGGATACTGATATTTTTAAAACTTAGTTTATTGATAGAAATGCTCGACATCAGATGTATGACCGAAATACCCATTCGAATATGTTTTTAAACATATTGACTTTTATTTATTGGCTTGTTTTTGGCGATTTTTCCATTTCAATTATGTTGAAAATATTAAGCACATTTCAAACGACTCGAAAACGACAATTAGATTGTTCAAAAAATGACTATAACTCATAGTAATTAAATCCAGCCTTCACCGCTAGAGGGCGAGTATCCTTATACGTAAATCTGCAATTGGTAAAGTAAAAATAATCTTACAAGTTCAAGAACAGTTTTTTCAACTGAGTTTTTTCATGAGCCTCGCTTTTAAATTGATAAAAGTAAATATTTTTTTTAAATTCACGCAACGTCCTAAAACTAGCAATTTTACCCTGTGCATCACAAGTCGACAGCAGTCGCTTCTGGATGACCTTGAACTCAATTTCTATTGGCCACGCACACGCGCGCTTGTCCACAGCTCCATTTATATACCACGCACACGCTAACACATTCCTATAGAGAAAATAATTATCTAACATCGGCGCCCGTGTCTTCGTTATTTTTTCTCACTCTCGTTCTCTCTCTCTCTTTGCCCCGCACAGCATTGACTCGAAGCCAGAACTCGGCGTGAAGATGAACGACGGCGGCGGCTGCGCCAGATGCGGCTACCCCGTCTACATGGCCGAGCAGATGATCTCCAAGGATCGGCTGTGGCACAAGCGCTGCTTCTCGTGCGGCAGCTGCCATCGCTCGTTGGACTCGACGAATCTCAACGACGGCCCGGACGGCGACATCTACTGTCGCGGCTGCTACGGACGCAATTTCGGACCCCGCGGCGTCGGCTTCGGAATGGGAGCTGGCACGCTCACGATGGCATAGATTGCTACCGCTATGCCGCTTCTCTGCCTACATAAAATGAAGAGCGCATCTATGTGCGATGGCGAAATCGCAGAGCAGAACGAAGATCGACCTGATGCAAATATTGCAAATTATTGCAAAAATTGCTGGAGCCTCTTCCGATCGATATACACATACATATTATGATCTTCAACCCCTTTCGTCGTCAGTGTGTGTTAGTATGTAAGCGTGTGAGTTTGTGTGAACCCGATCTTGGATTTCACGAGGGAATCCCCCCGCTGCGATCCACGGGTAATTTCAGCAATAACAGCTGCTGCTATTGTTGCTGCAACGGGATTTGTGCCATAAATAATATCACATGCGTTTCTTTTTTTTTTCTTGAAAAAAAATATGTAATTTTTTTTCTCGGGGGTGATGAATATTACGGTATATTGATTGAATGCGGTGTACGACTGTTGTGCGTAAATATTATTGTTGAAATAGACAATATATATAGAGAGCAAGGAAAAAATAAAATGAGAACTCGGCTCGTCGATTCATGCCTCGACTTCGAGTTTTTCTCGCTCCTTCCCTCGTACTCCTCTCTTTCTTTCTCTCTTTCTCTCTATTTCTATCTGTCTGTCTTTTATCGCGAGAAAAACGATCGAACGATAGATGATACGAGGCTTGAATCGACGGCCTTTAGTTTACGAGATACGAAGGATGAAATGTATACATTTCCCAGCTTGACACCGTATATTATATTTGAATATATAATAGTATAGACGCGAATATTATGTGTGTATCGACGAAAAGGCTCGACTCTTTTTCCGATTTATTCTTAATATATAAAATTAGCATTATATGATATTCTAATCTTAGTCAATCTTGGAGTTTTACATGTTAAAGGCATGTATAAAACACACGTGGACATGAAATATACCTGTCGCGATATATCAGAACGCGCGCAGCACAAGCAATCTCAATAAAATAATCCCGTATTATTGTAGATCGAAATAATACGGGAATTGATAAAAATTTTGCAAAAGTTATACATATGTATGAAGCGTCCGAGACGCCAATATAATCACATACTTACGCAAGCGATCGAGGTACGCTTTGAAATTTGATTTTAACTTTTGTTTCATCGTACTTTATTGGTTAAAAATATTTTAACTAACGAACGATCCTATTTATCTTAAAAAAAAAAACATTATAAAAAATTTGAAAAAAATATATAGATATTATTTCAATTATGAAACAAAATCCGGTGGAACTTGCGAATTTTGTGTCGAGCTTTTAGGACAATCATTCGACGACACACATAAGTAGGCGCGTAATTCATTTCGCGTATTAAATTTTTTTTAGCACCGAAATCGCAACGCGTCGCATTCGTAAGTTCTACAGGATTTTTTCATGGGTATTTCGAGTGAAATATTCGATCGTAAATCGATAATAAATAAAAGAAAATAAAGAAAGAAAAAAAAATTTGAGGGACTCATCTGACTCGAGTTTCACCCTGCGTTACCACGGGTGGAAGCGGTGAAACACGAACCTCGTGAAATGAAAACGAAGACGAAGCGAAGATTATTATAACGTAATTCACACGTGTCAAAAAAAATTAATTAATTACATCGATAAAACGATTAATCCGTCATAATTGATCTTCTCAAGTTTTTACATCTGCGCACACAACTTAACACATTCTCTCTCACTTAGTTTTGGTCTTCCTAATTTTATCATCGAGGATATATATTGTTTTTTTTATAATACTTAATTTGTAATGACTACTATAGCATCATTATCTTGTTTTATTTATTTATTTATTCATTCTTTTTTTTTCTCATTTTTCATCATTATTATCGTAACGCGTCTCTAAAACCAACGAAATGATCCTTCAGCTCTGCCGTATCGATGAAATTGTGCTCACGGTGAATAACTTCGTTTCGAGATGAAAACTCGCTCGTGTGATTGCGCTGAATAAAAAATAATCACGCATCGTTTTTCTCGAATCCGACGCTGCTCTTTTTTTTTATTCACTCGTTAGCGACTCCGATCTGCGCGTAGATAAACGCGTTGCTTTGTTTTCTTCTTTGCTCCGCAACTCTTACTTCGCACCCGATCGAGCGTCTACGGTTGAGCTCGAGAATCATCGATTTTTATTTTCTAATGTATAAGTGAAAATGGCATCGTATGAACTGCACACTTCATAATATACCATTGAATCGCACGAGACATTATAATGTAACTATATCGATTAAGAATGAAAATCAAACTATTATTTTAAATAATTATACAAATAAAGGATAAAAAAAATTGCAAAAAAAGAAGGATGACGATGCGTTCTTATTTCTATTTTACTAACCTTTTATTCTTTTCGTTTATCTTTTGAACAGCACCAGATCAATGGGTAAATTTGTCATGGAATAAAGCAATTAACTATGGTGTAAAACACTAATTTTATATATTCATAGCAACAACTGTACAATTTCTAGTCATACATAATAATATATCATAATATGTATTCACTATGATTAGCTTACATTAAAAAATCGCGACAATTTTTTTACTTTCATATAATTTATATAATAATAATTTGTCGACCGCTTGCATACGCACCTAATACATTCCGCATTCGCGCTGAGAAAAAAATAAATTCTTTATTTCCGTTTTTTTTCTTTTTCAATTTAATTCCAATACGTCTGTAGAGTAGTGTATGTCAGCATTTATAATTTGGCACTTTGGACGATAATACTGAATCATCTTGGAACGGCTCGCACAAAATTTCCGATCGATATGCAAACAAAACAGAATCGAGTCTCTCGTGGGGGTTCTGGCGGGTTTGAAAAAATTCGGTACTTCTGCTACGGATTATGTATCTTCATTATTAGTACCTTTGGAATTGTGAATTTTACCTTCATGGACATTATCGTGCATTCGCTTCATTCATTCGTAAAAATTGTGTAACATTCAATTTTTAATACATGTCACAATTCGTTACTAATCGACCATCACAATTTCTTGACGCTTTAAGTTTAAATATACTCATATACATAATATATTTATTTTTTATTTATATTCATTTTATTTTCTTTGTGAACAGAGAATCTTGTTTTATTATTACAGTAATGTAAATACACATCTAAGGACTGATTTTTGTTTCTTACTTTTTACTATTTTTTTATTAAGACTAGTACCCGTATACACTTGAAATCAGCTACAATTGGAAGAGTCTTCCTTGTAAGACAAGCATTCTTTTACTTATAATCTAAAATACGAAGATTATATTCACCACCCAATATACAATTTTTTTTCTCTCTCTCTCTATCGCATATTTATTTATATTTATGCTTAACGAATCAATTTTTTTTTTTTGTACAATTATCGTTGCGATTTTTACGAACCTTATGTGCTTTATATAATCATGACAAGTGTTTGCGTGTGTGTTTTGTGTGTGATTTGTGTGTGTGGGTGCATATGAATACTTTGTGCAATCACAATATAGCCGACGTTGCGCCTTTCTTTGAAAAAAAAAAAAAACAATTATTTTTCATTGGCGCACGCATTTTTCTCAACGCGAATTTATCATATCAATACTTTAATCGATTATTACATGTGACATAATCAAACTATCTGTACAATACTATAATACGGAGTGACTATATTTATATTTATGTATATTATAGATGCTCTATCGAAACGTCGCTAGGTCTTTTGCACTTGGCGCTCGTTTAGATCGTTATAACCAGAAACGACGATTATGTAAAACAACGTGGAAAAAACTCGAAGCGCATCGTTACATTCGCGAATCATTCTTTTTTCACGATCGTATAAACGTATTTTATCATCGGTAAAATCCTCGTTTTTTTATAGTTTTTTTTATATAAGCTCGAACGGGCCAGTAAAAGGACAGATTTACCTTCAGTAAAGATTGGCGGTCTTGAGGGGCAGCGGATCGAGCAGGTAGGGCGGCAGCGCCGCTGAGAAGGGCCGCGGACTGCACGAGCCCCAGGCCCCACCACCTATGCGGCCGTTCGACAGGTTGCCGTCCGACGAGTGTATGTCCAGGTGCTGCTGCTTGATGCTCAGCATACTGTGCTGCTGCTGCTGCTGCTGTTGCTGCTGTTGTTGTTGCTGCTGTTGGTGTTGTTGCTGCTGCTGTTGATGCTGTTGATGCTGATTCGTCACGTTGGCCTTGGAGTCGTTGTTGTTGGGCGGCGTGTCGGGGCTGCGGGGCGAGCGGCCCTCGGCCTTGACGTTGCCGCCGCCGCTGTTGGCCGTCAAGGGACTCGGCACGTTGCTCGGCGTCGACGCGCCCGTGTCCATGGACGAGGCCTGCGACTGGGAACTGCTGGACTTCTGCTGCGCCAGACGCTCCTGCTTACGGAATTTGGCGCGTCGATTTTGAAACCAGACCTGCGACACGCAATATCAAATCACATGTAATAATAATCATAATAACGCGTTGCTGCTGGGATCGAATTGTAACAATTCTCAAATCGTACAAATCCTATTATCTTTATGGAAAAATCGCGTTTGTAAGGCACGTCAAAAATGCTACAAAGTGCTGCGCTCAAAGTCAATCCATCAATGTTAAAAGCAACGCCGAGAAATTGACGGAAAAAAGCGAAAAAATCGCGTTAGTAGTTTTTTTCTTTTTTTTTTTTTTACTCTTCGCTCGCTCATCGAGCTGAAAAGTCAAACTACACGATCGCGTATACGTATATAACGCGCGCGTCCCTTCGTTATCGCAAATTCCACTCTCTCGTAAGCTTCGTAATTGCTCGGCACACATACAGCACCCACACACATGTAGACATGCTCGCGCGCGAACGAGCGAGCAAGCGGGGGTGGACTACAGGGCGTATCTATACGTATATATATGGGAGCAGCCAGACGAATCCCGAAACGAATGAAATATTTAACGAATAAAACAAACCGAACGGACGGATGGACAAACGGGCAATGGCAATGCTGCTGCTACTGCTGCCCTTTTGCTCTTTCTCTCTCTCTCTCTCTCTCTCTCTCTCTCTCCCTCTCTGACCTGCATGCAAAAGTAGCGGATGTATGTGTATATAGACTGTGTTTGCTTTACGAGAGATGCTCTCTCTCTCTCTTTCTGTGCGCTAGCTTGGCTGTGTATTTTATACAGAAAGCACAAAGTACCCAAACCTCCCTCGCAAAAGCTCGGCTTTTCTTCCTCTTTTACCTTTTTTTTCTTTTTCTTCTTTTTTTTCATCTCTTTTAACGCGCGCAAAGAGAAAGAAGAAATGTTCTCGATTGAAGCTGAATAATTTTTTTGTGTAATTTCTGTCTCAAAATGAAGAAAATAAATATTGCTTATACGGTTGAAAAATGTAGATATTTTTTATATATTTTTAAGGTGGGTTTATTGATATTTTCATTTTGAAATTTAAAATTATAATTAAAAATTATCATCCCAAAAAAAAAATTCTTTTCAATTAAACTGCATGAAAAATATATAATGCTACATTGATAATTAAAAGCGACTTTCACCTCTAGATGGCGAGCATCTTTACGTGTAATTCCGCAAGTGGTAACTCAAAAATAATTTTATAAGTTCGCTTTCCCGCTGTATGCGCATTATTGTTTAAGAGTGGCACTGTTCAATATTATTATTTTTAAGTCCAATTGTTTTTAAAGTTAAAAAAAACGTGAAATTGGGCGTGCTTTTAGCCGGGCTTTCCTTCTCAATGACTCGCTGGTTTTTGATTGCCACGAAAATCCGAGCGTCGTCCGAGCAGATTACCATCGTATATCGATAATTAAAATCAACTTCCGCCGATAGATGGTGAGAATCATTACGTGTAGTTCCTCAAGTGAAAATTCTTGAAAATAATGATATAAATCTCAGTTGAAATTGAAGCTCTATCCAAGTGATTGATGATCTGACGTTTTAATGTTTTTCATTTTCTTTCATATAATTTTTTTTACAAGTACGACGTCGAGCAAAAATTGTGACGCGAGTATTTAAAATCAGCAGCGCTGCCGTTGTATGGCGTTTTTGTTCGCGCATCCTCGAGTGTCAATTCCCTCACCCTTATCTTCGTTATATACATTACGTATGCGAGCGTATACTTGTATATGCGATATAATTCGTAAATACGTGCGGATCCGTAAAAACAACAAATGCGCTTGACACAATGTCCCGGGGCGATCCGTATAGTGCAGTCGCGGCCCATTCTCGCTCGAACCTTATGTGTTTATCCAGGCATTTCCTTCATACGGAGCGTATTATAGACAAGATCGACTTGGTCGTAGCTGAGTGCGGTATGTACTATAAATGTACACCGTACAAAATATAGACATCTTGGTCTCTCTCGCAGTGGTACAGCTTATTATTGTCAATCGAATTGGCAGCTCTTTCACTCGTACTGTACGCTGTACGTGTGTCTATAGGCCTGATCAACGCGCATACTGCGGAGATATGCAGCAGCAGCAACGGATCACGCCCGAGTCCGCGCGCCCAGAGCCAAGTAAATGAAATTGTAAGAGTACGACAGATGTCGCAGAATAAATATTTAATCGCTAACCACCCTCAACGTTTATGCTTGCTGTTTTCTCTCTGTATGCGACGTACGATTCTCTCTCTATATAGACATCTGCGTACGATTCTACAGCGGCAACACCTCGTCCCCTTTGCAATCGTATGTATAAGCGCCGTACACATACGGAATGAGAGAAAGAGAGAGAGAGACGTCGAAAGTGTTTGTAAGTACGACAGGTTGAATTGTAAAGCGCCTCACCGTACGAACGTATTCGGAATAAAGTCTGAATTATCAATGGCTTATTATACACGCGTACAGCTTATTACACGTATTGTATACATGCGTGTGTCCGTCTGTTGAATTGAACACTCGTTAGAGTTGGATTATGATAAGCTGAGTCGTGTAGTTGCTGTGCAACTGCATTATCGTGACAATTGTCATAATAAGCGTAGAGGCTATCGGAAATTCTGTTCGAAACAGAAGTTCAATTCTTCGGTTGATATAGAAAATGAAGTTCACGTAGGTGTAAATCAATGATTCGCCTCGACGGGTTCTTCGATTTGCTCAAATCGCGCCCCAGGCAGAACGTAACTTTGATTTTTTCCCCTGGTACAGCGTGGTACAAACCCTTTTTTTTTTAATACTCAATATGTCTCACTTCTAATTCGATTAATTCGCGATATAGATATAAAGTGGAATCTAAAAACACCAAGAGGAAAAGTGACAAGGTCATTTATCGTTAATACGATCGAACGTGCGAGGCCCGTATACTATAGTCACCGCGAAGCGCGGATATTGGAGTTGGAGTTGGAGCATCCGCTGAATGGAACCTGCAGAATCATACGTACGACTGCCAAATATTCATACTCGACTCTTATCGTATATATAATATCGTATAGGGCGTGTAATTTAATTAGATATCGAGGGACTGTGCAGCGACTGTGAGCTCGTCGAGTCCTTGGGTGCGCGCGTCAAAGTTATTATTCATCGGAAATATCGTGTAGAGACTTATGTATATCCTGCACTGTGCAAGAGAACTTAATATTAGTGCACAATCGCAAGCGCGGGGCTAGTCTCAACTATATTTGTGTCTATGCGCGTGAGTGTGCGACTTTCACACTTGAAAGATTAATCAGCTCCGTCGCGATTATATAAAAGCGGGGAGAACATTTATAGCGCAGGCTCGATTGTTTTCATTGATAATTACACTTAGACCGGATGGAATGGGGGAAGGGACAGAGGTAGCTATATAAGGGATAATTGTAATTAAAAATAACATCTTAGGGAAAATTTCGGACGAATTGTCGTATTTTTCACGCTCGACGCACGCAAAAGAGAAAACAAGCCAACTCCGAGGCAAAGAAAGAGCGCGAGAGACAAAAAGACAGCACTAGCTTATATAGCAGCCAAGAGAGAGAGAAACTAATCTGCAGGAATGACTTTTGTCCGCGCGAAGCCCTTGTGACCTAGAACAATGTATATACGTATAGAGATCGAATAACTGCTGCACTGTTACTTCATCATGGCTAAAGAGAAATAGACGAGAGAAAGCAATTAACAAATTGGCCGGCAGAATGCCAAGCACAGTGCGATTCATGCAGGATTCTTGATCTCTTTCTCTCTCTTTCCCTCTGCTCTTTTGCTGCTATACATATATATACACGCGCCATGTGTATACGTGCGTGGGTGTACGTCTAGGTCTGCTGCATCAATTCAATTAGCCAAAGAGAGTCGAGTGGAAGAAGAAAGCAGCAAAGTTTTTGGCTACGCTAATACAGATAGCAGCTTTCTTAACGAAATTGGATGCCATTACACGTGCGCTTCCGCAGCTTCTTCGCGCTCTGCGCGCCTCTCCCTTCCGCTTCGTCCTGTTTTTTCTTTTCCTTGAGAGAGGAGAAACTTTATCGTTTCTCGAGCGAAGAGTATACGTATACGAGAAATTCTATGATAAAAAAATCCTTAAGATTCGAGGCTGAAATCGCTATTGGAATTTTTGCCCTTTGACATTTGAGATAAAATTGTTCATTGTGATCCCAGAAGCACGGAAAAATGTTGTTGTCTGTATAATTATTTCATTGTCCCAGAGGACGAAAAATCACGTTTTTCGTAAATATTACTTTTCTCTTGCTGTTTTCTTGATTTTGGAACATGATTATAATAAATTAACTACGATAAAAATTTTATTATAACAAATTCATTTGGCTTTATTTTAATTTAGTTAAAAAATTTATTGATTATTATGAAACTTGAACATTGTTTTTACATAATGATAAAACATTGAAGGAAATTATAATAGAATTATGTCTGCCAATTTTTAAATCAATCTTCTGAAAAATGAAACTAAAGTTTATGCATTTGCTGAACTGTATTAGATGATTCACGCACCGCATCGATGTGGGTATTAAAATAATTTCTTCGTCTGAATATTTTTTCACAATTATCTTTAACCCGAACGCCATTGCTCGTCTCTTTTTCAAGTGAATTATAAGACTACTCTTTTTGTGTAAATGATTTTCAGTATGTATCATTTACACTAGTGACATTACTATGCTTTGTATTCGTGTGGACTTTGAGACTGCATTTTTTGACGAATGTCTTTCCGCATATACTGCATGTATGTATCACATCAATATGCTTTTGGAGATAATACTTACTTTGTAATTTCTTTTGGCATATGTCGCATGAATATGTGACACCTTTATGTTTCACGTTCGTGTGCCTTTTAAGAAGACCCTTTTGTCTGAATGTCTTCCCGCATGTACCACATGCATGTGTGACACCATTGTGCATCGTATCGATATGAATTTTCAGATAATCTTTGCTTTTGAATTTCTTTCCGCATATATTACATGCATGTGTGACACCATTGTGCACCGTGTTGATGTGGATTTTTAAAGAACCTTTTTTTAAAAATTTTTTTCCGCATACACCACATGTATGTCTAACACCATTATGCACCGAATCGATGTGTATTTTGAGATTAATTTTTTGGGAAAAGTCCATTCCGCATGTATCACATGCATATCTGACGCCGTTATGAATTGCATCGATGTGCCGCTTGAGATCAGATTTATCTTTATATTTTTTTCCACATATGTCACAAGAGTGGTGGACACCATGGTGCGCCTTGTAAATATGGTTTGTGAGATAATACTTGCTTGTATATTTTTTTTGGCATATATCGCATGCATATGTGGCATCCTCATGTTTTGCATTAATGTGAATTTGGAGATAACGCTTTAGCGTGAATGTCTTTTCGCATATACCACAAGCATGTGTGACATCATTGTGTACCGCATCGATATGAATCCAGAGATAATACTTGCTTGTGAATGTCTTTCCACATGTACTGCATGCATGTGTGACACCTTTGTGCTTCACACCAATGTGCAGTTTGAGAGAATTTTTCATTTTGAATGTCTTTCCACATATATTACATGAATGGGCTGTATTATTATGCACAGTGTTGGTGTGCATTTCGAGGTTATGTTCATAAAACTTTGAAATTCTTGTTTTATTTTGTTCAACAAGTTCACAGTTGAAATTCGAGTTCGATCTTGCTGAAGCGTCATCAATACATTCCTGTTTCACTTTATCCATGGGTTCTATTATACTTATGTTGTCAGTCTTACCATATTCGCTATATTTCATATTTTGTAAGTAATTTTGACAATCATCATCAATTTTCTCAACTGCTAATGAATTAATGTTGAGTTTAACGTCTTGACATTCGAATATTATTTTTATTTCCTTATCAAGTTCCTTATCACACTTTCGAAGGGTATGAATCTGTTAAAGAAACACAATTACCTGAGAATTTTCATAAAAAAACAACTACTATACCAACGACTTGATTATTAATACTTACTGAATTTTCTTGCGGAAATGGTAGGAGTTCAAAGTTTTTAAGATCAGGTTTTTCGTCAATAATTTTGCATTTGTCTTCATTGAGCAAATCATAACTAGGCTCGCTTTTCACTCTAAAATAGCCCGAATAAGATTAAGTATTTTGCCATAATATTTTTACAATTTTATTTTAGAAATGAAAATTACCTGAAGGCACAATTGATTGAACCACTGGATTCCATCCTTGTCACTTAATTTGGAATTTCGTTAAAAGCTAATATTTCCGAGATGATTTTACGTATCAAGCTAACTATGCACTGAATGACCGGGCGAAGACTGCTGTGCTGTGCTCGCTATGTTTTGAATAACCGAAAAGCAGAAGCTTATGGGCGATCGGCTACCTATACAGGCACAGTCTTCTGTTAGCCTATAAATGTGATTGAGCAGCACTTCGGAATACACGCGGAGGTCATACATGCGCTGCACTATGTCAACAACGGAACAAACACAACTCTATGCTCTTTTCGCGTGATATTCCAGCTTAATTTTATGACATTTACAAAATCATGTCGTGAAATTTTGAAATTATCAATGTAAACGAAGCGAAACTAAGTCATTATAATAATCATAATTGTTGACACATTTTCCCGTGTTCCTACAACTTCAATGAAAAATTATCAATGTCCATTACAAGCGTCAAGTGACAAAAATGTCAATCTCTATTTCAACCTCGAATTTCAAGAATTTTTTTCTCATAAAATTATAGAATCGCTCGTACACTCTCGCGTACTAAATTCTAATTTCTTTTTGGCTTTTTCGACGTCTCTTGAGTGGACGATCGATCGATTCTTAATATGTAGCAATTATAATGCATTTCCCATATCTCGCGACATAAGAAGTAAAAATTCGTATGAAACACACTTTAATTCTTTAAACGGCATCCATAGCTTTAATACGCGATAGTTTTCGACCCCGCGGGAGCTGACAACAAGTCGTGCGACATCGCGCGGCGTTGTGCTTGCCTCGCGGCGCGCGCGTCACTTTTTAATCACTGTAAGTGGATCGTCGAGGCCTCGGCACGCGCCCGAAGTACGACGCGCCAATTACCCTCTATGCACGAGCTTGACTCCCTTTTGACGTTGTGAACGTGTATATAAACTCGATATATTACATGCACGTAAATAAGGTACAGCATCGAGAGCTGCTATGCCTCGCGAGACTCTCGACGCAAGCAGCATCATCCCTTCATCCCATTTAATTCTTGTCTTTTATGCTAGCTACCATAACTCTGTGACAAGATAGCTACAAGTGCAACACTGCGCGTATCGATGCCTCCGATCTTAGACGGACTACACGAGTATATTATTTCTCACAGTCGAATTCGTGGGTAAATCGCTGCCGTATTATATATGTGTGTTACATACAGCATACGCGGCTGCCTCTAATACTCTCGATAAAACAATTTTCACATGGCCCCGAAGTGAGAAGGGACAAGAAAAAAAAGAGCAACTTGGCCGGCATCGTATATACACACGGTAAGCATTACACGAGTAGAGCGCGTCACGATCACAGCTATAGCCGATCGGCAACGGCCCCCGCTTGGCCTCGAGGGACTCTCGGGATCGAGAGCTGCAAAAAGGGCAGCGCGCAGGGAAGACGATTAAGACTAGTAGGCAGTAGTAGTACCAGGCACGAGACAGAGCAGGGAAGCAAGTACAGGCGTGTGGCACTTGTCTCGGTGGTTTGTTCCCGCCGCCGTCGGTGTTGCGCGCGTGCTCGGGCGCCCACGCGTCAAACTCCATACAAAGTTCACATACTATATACGCACCATGTATAAAGTGAATCGCAGAGGCGAAAGAGAGAGAGAAGGAGAAAAGAGCAAATGTCGAGAGTACGTGTGGCTTGTAATATTTTTTTTCTTCCTTCAATTTACCGACTCTCGTGTGCAGCGCCTCGTATAGGTATATATTATAGAAAATTGTTTTCTCTCTTGTGGCGCCCCGAGACGCGCACCCTTAAGCGAGTGATCCTTCGTGCACATGAACGTTATAACGTTACACGGACTTTACGCACTCGATTGAATTTGTGCTCCGACAATATATAATCTTCTTATTACGCGTTACATATCACGCGTGTACATGAGAATCGTGTAATTTTCTACGCACACGAAGAAATTATATAAAAAAGAAAAAATAATAATAATGAATGACTCGGGTACAGCGCACGCTGCCAACGTGCGCATGAAAAATAGTCTAATTGCCGGTTTTAGCAGAATCCAATTGGCCTCGTGGTGCTAATGAAAATTTGGCTGCGAAAATCAACGCGTGTAATACATAGATATACAAACGCGTGCCCATCTCTCCTCTTTCCCTCTGGCAGTCGACGCGATTAAAATTGCTCGCGCCGGTGCGCTGCCTGCTGCGGAAAATGATACAATCCATGGAGCTGCTGCTACTGCTGCCATGGTACACGAGGCTTTTATCATCGCAGACCTGCGCGATATATGAATATAAAGTCCGATATATATACACGAGAGAAAGAGAGAGAGAGAGAGAAAAAGAGAAAACGTATAGGTTTTATTAGGTACATTTATTTAATACCCTGCGAGAGCGAGAGAGAGAGAGAGAAAAAGATCGCAGGGTCGGCGTGGCTGAGCCACCCACGCAAGCGCGTGTTTTCCCAAGCATATAGATGTATATTTTCTTTGGCTCCTACTGCTGCCATACCTCTTCGAACATATCCCTTCGTTACGATCTTGCGGTTCCAACTTTTTTTCTCTTACTCTTCTTCCCAAAGTATATGGCCGACTCTCTATAAGGACAAAAAGCGGATTATGGCAAGAAATAGTTTTTTTCTTGCTCAAAAATAAAATACGCAACTTTGTCGTTAGTTTTGGGCTTTCACGAGAAAAAATAGTTTAATTAAATAGAACGGATATGGATTTATAATAAAACGAAAGATTATAGTAGAAGTCCAAGTTCAACGGGCGAATTCGTGGAAAAGTATACTATTTTTCGATATTTCCCCAGATTTTTATTGTTTATAGATAGATAGGCTCGCGCAAAAATTTAAGAGATATCAGTTGACACTGTAAGAAAGCTCAGTACCGAAAGTATAGTAGCGAAGATATTTTACAAATTCTTTATTAAAAGTTTGAAACCTTTGAAGAAATTAATGGAAATGGTGACGATGAAGACAATCGACTAAAAGATTATATTAATTTGGAGAAAATGGTTAAAAATTCATATAGATCTACCATTTGTTTACTTATATACAAATATATTGAATTCACCACTTGCAGATTTATAGATAGAGGTACTCGCCATCTATCGGTGGAGGATTACAGTAATTAAGATTGAATTTTTATACTGTAACGGTAAGAGTTACAGGGGGAAAGAATACTTGCGTTTTCGCTGCGTTGGTCGCGTTAGCGACCGGGTCCGGTTACCTAAAAAGAAGTAAGAGGGAGGAGTGCACAGGCAATCAAGTGACACGAAGGGATTAAGTGTAACAAAAGAATGATTATTATTGATAACTAGAGAAGTCAATTACAGCCGTGCTCAGGACGGCGATTTGGTGCAGTACCACGGCCGCGCGAGTGTTCGTCTAAACCGGCGGACGCGAGTCGCAATGCAATTTGAGAGAGAGAAAGTCAGAAAACTGGCACTTACAGTAGTTGCCTCCGGATGCGATTTCCGCTGCCCAATCCACGACGCTGGATTCCGGGCCGCTCACACACACTCGCTCACAATGCACCCAAAATGCACGCGTTGCAACGCACTCAAACTCGCGGCGCGATTTACAGCGGGCTAACAATAATCGTCGATTTCGACTTGCGCGTGTCGCTCGAAATCGGGCCCAAACTGTACTGTCCTTGTAGCTCGCTGCTCGTACGCGTAATTAGTCGCGACGCGCTCGCGTTTCGCGCAGTCCCTGCGCGCACGTGAATTTGTGTCTCTCTCTCTCTCATTGCGATCTGCCGTGGTCGCGTTTCTGCACCTGAAAGAAAATCTCACGTATGAGCACAAGTTATATTGGCTTTGGGGGAGAGAGAGACGAGATCCTGTCCGGATTCTCGTCACAATACATGTAAAGAAAAAGATTAGATATTAAAGTTTTAATTTTCAATTAAAATGCCTGAATTATAGCCTTTTTTGTTCCTTTTTTGAATGAAATAAAATCTGTGATGGAATCTTCGTGTTTTTTTTATGTTGTTATGAAAAAAATAATAAATCAGAAAATTTCATGTAAAAGCACTTTGAATAACTATCACCATCAGTTGCTTTAATTTGAATGTCTAATTCATTTACATTACACTTTTAATTATTTTAGTAAAATTTATTTACATAAAATTTACGTTCAATGTAACGATTTTTTACCCATGTATGCTTTCATGAGCTATACATCGATTCCATATGTATTTCATCTCTCTCTTTCTTTCTCTCTCTTTCGCTCGAGATAGAGAAGGGAAAATTGTCGCTGTCGATTCTCTAGAGGCATTAGACTCCGCCAAGCCAGCCAACCAACCCGCCAGGGTGAAAGTTTCTCGACAAGCGAATAGTCAGAGAAAGGAAAATTCACGTACTCGTATACTCATAGACGCGCAAAAGAACTATATTATGGATATACGAATTATCAATTGATTAAATTCTTTTTTCTTTTGTGTTTATCAGCTTAATGTTGAAGGATGATTGCGTTAAAGCTGTACATTAAAACGAATCGAACCCATCACAAGATTTATTTTCATCGAAGAGTCAAAAGAGCGTGTCGACGAAGGACAGCCGCGCACTGGCACTTAGGATTGAAATGGAAAATTGAAGAGATCCGCGTTTGCGCGTGTATCCGCAGGTCATCCGAAGAAACTATTGTACGTATCTCTATATATATGGCTACCCTGACAATCGTCCAATGGATCTACTACGGGTGTATGTATTGCCTGCGGTACTCAATCGAGCGCACGCAGACGTACGACCACATGGCCTCTCGGCTCGCTGCTCACACATACATAGTATAGTAACCGAATTGGAATCACCATGCACATACGCGACTCTGGGCAAATGGTACCACTGCTGCGTGTGTATATGTACGTAAGGGCAGCCCCTATACAAAGGTCTGCACTGTGTGCGCGCGCCCGCGTGTGCGTGTGTGACAGTATCCACCGCGGCACATCCGAACGGGCGAATTACATTTCCATTAGTGCAGACCCTTGACGCGTGTGTATAGGAAGGTCCTGTATATTGTATGTATATATACGCGCGAGCGCAGATTCGAGAGAAATTGCATTTGCCTATAGACGTGACATCTTGATCGAATGATTGACTATTATGTACCGACACGCGTCTCGTCCATACACGCGTTATATGGCTTATTTACAATCATAATCCTTCTCTCCTTGATCTTATATCCGCTAAATTTTTCACAGCTCTTTTAATCGTTAAAATGATATGAATTAATCGTTGATCGCAAAAAGTAATATTTTAATTGATTTATTCTTTATCGTTCTAATTACATGCCTGGTAGAAATTACCAACTTTAATAATAGCTTGATAACCAGAAAATTACCGTTTAAAGCGCTTAAAAATGTATAACCATTGAGTGCTTTGCTTATGGCGATTTTTCCGCTAAAATTATTTTATAAATATTATAGACGCTTTAAATTACGTGAAAATTAAAAATGGTAAACTAAGATTAGCCTCTGAAAATGCGGAAACACCACTTTGAGCATTCGCCACTAGATGGCGAGTATCTTTACCTGTAAATCTGCAAGTAGCGAAGTTAAAATAATTGTAAATATAAGTCAGCAAGATTCTAATAATTGAATGAAGTTGATATGTGGGATTTCGCCTCCAAAAATGCAATCTTTTACAAAATCAAAAAACCTCAGAAAATAAGCAACCTTATCTTTACTAAAGTTGTTCGGGAAACGAAATATTTTAAATCCCGGGCCTGTCAAATTGAATATAAACCACAAGGCCCCCGGTGCAACCGCCGAAAATTCAATGTTCTCACACGCATTGATTTCGATTTTACTACAAACAATCTTTTTTACGTTATTGTTTACGTATTAGTAACTACAATAATTTCACACTTATAAATAATTTATGTATAAGCATAATCAAAAACCCAGATCCTTCTCCCAACGTTTAAATCTTCAATGATGCAATAAAGATGAGATGGCTCGCTGACGATAGAAAACTATTCCTTATGTATTACAAACTATATTTTTAATTCAACTTTTATTATTTATTATATTATATAAATATCAACCTTCTTTTTGCTATTAAATAAAATAGAAAATATAATAGAAAATTAAATCGAACGATCTAGAAGATCAGAGTTCGAATAACAACCGATGTATAGATAGACGAGTTGCAGGCTACTCGCGTCACCAAGACAGAGACAAAGACGCAAGTCTCACGGAGGCAGAGTTCACATAGATTTTTAAGCCGCCAAAACTGTTGCTAACGTAAAATTACACATCGAAGATCTTGCAACTGAAAATTTTAATCAATCTCGTTCGCGGCTCCGACCAGTGCGGGTCTCTTCTCAGTGTCCTCTGTTTCTGTGCCACGACGCCTCCATCCGTCTAATAATTATCTCAACAATATAAGTTATAAATTATAATAAATTCATTTAATTATTTCAAATGCTTGCTTCTAACTTCTTTTATTTGTCCTCTCTAAATAATTTAGTATATCTTAAACAAATACAACTCCTAATGTCATCACGGTCCCGAGGCGATAAATGGGTAACCATTTCGCCTTGTGAAAATTGACCCTCCTTCCTTCACTAAACTTAACTTGCATAAATACACGGAAGTATACCTGTGCTATAAGACGTCTCGCCTTGGCACTAATAAAAATTCATACAAGACTATAACCGTAAGGTTGCAAAAGTCCCGTCTCCCGAAGTGAAATATGATATTCGATAATAAATTCTGGTTAAAATAGCATACAATATGAACCACTTATTAAACAAAGGCTATATAAAGATATTCAAGTTGGTTTTTAGAAAAATAGTTATCAGGAAAAGAACTGCATAGAACTGCAAGATTTTTAGTAACTTAATTGATACTAGCTTCTTGAAGTCTATTATGACTATTATTAATATTATAAAGCTTGGTAAGTAACCTGGAAATTATCTATACCGTTTAACTCCAGAGCAAGATACTGATTTTTCAAATACACGGGAGCGTTGCCTCGTTGTATTTTTCGCTGCAGTTGAAAATAAACTCCTAAATGCATTATACACGACAAGCTTTATGTAATTAAAAGTTAACGTTCGATCAATCGGGTGCTACTTAACTCGATTTTGAAAGTTGAAATACACTGTAATGCATATCCAAAAATAAATTACTCGTTGTGCGGAGTTACGCGCTATTGTTATGAAATGACGAAACTAGACGAGAAAGGAGAAAACGTGTAGGGTACATTCTGATGTTTGCATAGTTGTTAGATCAAATCTTACCGTTATACTTAGTTACGGAGTTAATTCTCGGTTCAGATTTTCTATACTAGGTATTTTGGTTCTTATTACGAAGCTATACGATATGCGACGATAACGACGATCAAAACAAAAAATCACCGAATAATTGGCGACATCACAGATCAATTCCAAAAAATCAATTGGTAATTGTCGCTCGAGCTCGGGTGCAATAAAATTGCTTCGCTCCCGTGCTCGTACAATTATCTCCTTGCTGAATCATTCAAAGTCTGGGCACTAGAGAGCGAGAAAGAGAAATACAGAATTATAACTCTGTTTTTTTCTTTTTTTTTCAATTTCAATCTCTGCGCACGTCGAGCACAGATAAATTTTCTGTACGTAATATGGCGCAAATTTACACGGTAATTTTCCTCCGAAGTTCAACTTGCACATAAATATCGTATATTATAAAGCTGGGACGGATTAACATTGCTAATGAACTTCTGGTTCTGATTTTTTATTTCTTTTTAAAAAAAAGAGAAAAAATAATTCCAAATTTCCATTGTCGGCTGCAGTGTATGAATGTGTTCGTGCAGAGTAACGGCCGTGTACTGCAGATATTTTTGGAGACTTTTTTACCCTATACGCCATGGCGCTCCACGCGTAAGCAAACAATTCCTCAGATTCTCGTTATACCTTATGAATCTTTCATGCTGCTCTTCACGCGTGTATGTATAATATAGAATCACATAAGCTCGAGCTGCTGCTGCTTCTGCATTTCGAGCTTTCGCTTAACTATACACACACAGGTAAAGCTCGACGTGCGCGCACGGCCGCACGCGATAAAAAGACGAGTCTTGGATTAATTTTTCCGACTCCACGACTCAGCGTCGTGGATTTTTTGTGTTCGTTGCTCTTGGTATTATACATCTGACCGTACAGTACGTGTGCACACGAGAAAAATTATTTCTCAGCCTGGTGATTTTTGAACTCGAGTCACGGATCAATCCGTACTTAATTAATTTTTAAAAAATGTAGAACTCGGACGAGATGCGCGAGGAATGAATAAATACCTTTCTTTGGGATCTTTGGGAACGTATAACGAACGTCGCTGTTATTATACAGACAAAACAAACTGCGAATGTCTACCAAGCTAGAGGTATCAAGGGTATATGTATGTATCTGTATGTGTGCCGTACGACGTCAGGCGGAAGTTATTGATTATTAGAACGAATGGATCCGAGCCACGGCAAGCCAGAACGAGAGAGAAGAGAGATAGAGGATACTGCTCTCGAGCATAGAACCTAATGCTCTCGTGAATTATCGACTGCCACTGTACTCTCTGCCAGGAATTGGCCGGTATTAAACGTTGCTTCTCTCTCTCCCTCTCTGTCTCTATAGCTGCCTTTATATAGAGAGCCCGAAAAGGAAGGACGAAATGCAATTAGCTCTCGAGCTCGCTGGCGCGCTCGATTATATATCTATGCACGGGATACCTGCAGATACACGTCGGAAATGTCCCTTTCTGGAAAGCTCGACTTGCTGCTCTCTGTGCGTTATATATATAACGGCGCAATTCGAAGCTCCTCTGAGACTTATATCGTTCTCTTGCGTTCTATTGCTCGCCGCGTGCGTGTGTGAGTGTGTGTGTGTGTGTGTGCTCGCTTGCACCGGATTTGTCAATTATTCATTCGAGTGGCCGGCGCGTTTATCGTTGTTTATATGCTAGAAAACTCTATATGCCTCGAGACAATTGGACTGTTTCTTTCGTATTCGCATTATAGCACAATTATTACAATTGGGATTTGAGATTGGAGTGGAGCTGAGATTATGATTGGTTTATGATGCGTCATTTCGTTAAAATTAAAAATGTTTTTTATACTACTTTTCTTTTAGATGGCCCTAGAGTGTATGTGCTGCTCTGCCGAATTAGTATTTTTTACTTGGGAGTTTTACACGGGACACCCTAAACATATAGTTATACCGGTAGATAGCGTCAGACCAATCTCAAAATCCCAATTCAATCAAGATGAGCTCGGCTTATAGATGCCAAACTCTCTTATCATAAAGCCTCATCATAGACGCTTGTAAAGATCTGTGTTGATATATAATAATAGCAGCCACGTTCAGATTTACGCCTCGAAACAATTGCCTTCCGGTGCAATAAGTTACATAGCCGCGTTAACGAGTTCATTGAGCACTCGTGCAGTAGGGAAAATTGTTTTCCATTTCATTTCATTTTTTCCTTCTCTTTTTCGATGCGTGCGAGAAGAAAAAGAGTCCGAGAATCTATATCACGCAGCATCTAGGATTCAATGTATATTACACGACGAGTCAGCAGCGGCAGAAGCCGTGGCAGACGCGCTCGAGTGCAAGTTACGCGCGCGCGCGCGATGATCCGTCAAAAATTGCGGACGGCGTAATCCATCAGGAACGTCGAGTGCGAGTCGACGGTGTACAGGTGTGGCCCGGACGTTCAGTCTTCTCTCTCTCTTGGATGTAATTCAATTACGCCGCTTTGTACGCGCACATAGCGCGGCGCCGCATCCACATCGACTTTATATCTACCTTCTTTTCCCTATTTTTTTTTCTTACCTCGTCTTATTTATTTGACTTTTTTCTTTTTCTTTTCCGCTTTTTTTTTGTTTTTGTTCGCTTTTTCGACTCGTTTCTCATTCCATACCTCGCGCGTCAGGCACTACCGTCCCTCCGTCTCTTCTCCGTTATTTATTTTATTTTTATTTTTTGGCGCCCACGCGCTTTTTCCGTGACAATTGACAAATGCTCTAGCAAGTTGGATAAAAAAGCTCTATAGAGCGAGTGTATGGGACAAAGGTATAATAGCGAAAGTAGACTCACCTGCACCCTGGCCTCGGTCAAGTCGATCTTCATGGCGATCTCCTCGCGCGTGTAGATGTCCGGATAGTGCGTCTCCTGGAAGGCTCGCTCCAACTCCTTCAGCTGGGCCGATGTGAAGGTCGTCCTTATCCTGCGCTGTTTGCGCTTCTCCGCCAGGCCGTCGTGCGAGCCGTATGCTTTGTAACCGAGACCACCTACGGACAGGCATAACGTAAAAATATGTAATGATAAAATGCAAAAGACCCTTTTAAGCTAAAAACGCTTCAAAAAGCTACGAGATTCATAAATGGTTAAGACTTTAAAGGTTCTTTTTCAGTCTGAATTCATCATCTTCATGATGAATTTAATAAAATGAATCAAAAAGATAATGATTTATTGTATATTTGATCAATGGTTGTGGCTTTGATTAGCATATTTGCAGCATTTTCAGTGTCTGATGTATATTGTCCATATTAATTTTAAATAAATAAATTATAAACATAAATTTCGATATTATTTCATTGAAAACACACACGATCATTTTAAGTAAAATATCTTATGTAATAAAACTATTCATTGCTGTTTTAATAGTAGTTAGAGGTAAGGGTCTGCGAGAATCGAGATTCTCGCGAGAAATCTCGTCGAGACGAGAATTAGGAATTTCTCGTCTCGCTACTCGAGAATCTCGAGAAGTCGAGAAATAATGCGAGAACCCAATTGACAATGTATAATGATAACTCTACATTCAAATTAAGCATTTTTCCGAATATTATTCACTTTCATAATGTTCGGAATACATTATATTCATTTTATCCTAAGTGTCACAGCACCGCTATCGAACGGCATTCGTAAGCGAAATTGCTTAATCTTTAACTCGCAGCAAAATTTCTGAAACGCACTTAGAAAAAATTTGTAATATGTTTTCGATAGAAAATTTTCTCATCTTTCTGTCGGTATGCTCAGATTTTCCGGAAAATTCATTTTTGTCCGGAAAATTTAAAAACCAAACTTTCAAAATTAAGTATCTTAAAAACGGCTTTTTTAAGATTTTTTTAAATAGTCTAGATCAAAAACTGAGAATATTTTCTATCGAAACACATGTTTACCTCGTCTACTGGAGTTTTACGGGAATATTCAACATATCTCGTTGAAACTTGTTACTTCGGGGTTTTTGGGGTCGCTGAAAACGAATATCACAACGAAAATGTACTACCATGTACCTGGGGCCCAGGGCGGGCCCTATATGGGGCAAATTTCCTGAAGTGTCCTAGCGCTCTGACGCGCGGCATTTTTTGGCCAAATCACTCAATTTCTAACTCGCTGTAAAAGTATCAAAACGTACCTAAAAAAATAACTATCTAATAGATTCTATGGTAAATTTCCTCAGCTTTTCGATGGTGACATTAGATTTTCAAAAATTTTCCATTTTCACCCGGAAAATCGTCATCAAACATTCAGAACTCAATATCTCGAAAAATGCCACTTTTTTTGCTTTTTTTTGTTCCAACCGAAAGATGAGGTCTTTTTACATCGGGTATGGTAGTTTTCAGAGTGTATTTTTGATGAAAACTAAGGAAAATACGGAAGGTTTTAGTTAGCGCTCGGCCTCTCGCCGCGGTTTCCAGCCTTGCGCGTCTCGTTGTAACTTGTAACTCGCTCGTATGACAATGGAAAAATAAATAAACATGTGAATTTGATAGGAAATTTTCTCAGCTTTCTTATGGTGTAGTCGGATTTTCCGATAATTTTCAGTTTCACCGGAAAAGGAAGAAAATAGACCTTCAAGTACACTTTTTCTGGTGATAATGAAAATTACCGGAAAATCCGACTACACCATAAGAGAGCTGAGAAAATTTCCTATCAAATTCACATGTTTATTTATTTTTCCAATGTCATACGAGCGAGTTACAAGTTACAACGAGACGCGCAAGGCTGGAAACCGCGGCGAGAGGCCGAGCGCTAACTAAAACCTTCCGTATTTTCCTTAGTTTTCATCAAAAATACACTCTGAAAACTACCATACCCGATGTAAAAAGACCTCATCTTTCGATTGGAACAAAAAAAAGCAAAAAAAGTGGCATTTTTCGAGATATTGAGTTCTGAATGTTTGATGACGATTTTCCGGGTGAAAATGGAAAATTTTTGAAAATCTAATGTCACCATCGAAAAGCTGAGGAAATTTACCATAGAATCTATTAGATAGTTATTTTTTTAGGTACGTTTTGATACTTTTACAGCGAGTTAGAAATTGAGTGATTTGGCCAAAAAATGCCGCGCGTCAGAGCGCTAGGACACTTCAGGAAATTTGCCCCATATAGGGCCCGCCCTGGGCCCCAGGTACATGGTAGTACATTTTCGTTGTGATATTCGTTTTCAGCGACCCCAAAAACCCCCGAGTGCAGAAATTAGACTCATTTTTACCGATATTTAGCGAAATACACATATTGACCAAGTCGTGAGTTCAAGATGCATCCCTGAAATGCGTTTATTTCACCCACAGGGTGCAAATTTTCATTTGTCCCTCATAAGTTTTGTTCACAAAATTCCTAGACGCTCTCCCGAATCGAATGCCGAAGACCGCATCTCAATCGGACTTACTGTTCAAAAGATCGGAGATTTGGCCGTTTTTAATGCTTTATTTCCTCGTCTATATCGAAACATATTGAGCAACAAGCTTATTGTAAAGAAAATTTTAAACTTATTTAATTATTCATATAATTAATTATTTATTTGTTTTACCATTAATTTGATGTATTATTAATTATAATTAATTATTTTAATATATTTTATCAAATAAAGTTATAGAAACTAGAAAAAATCAAATTTCCCGACTTCTCGTAATATTTCTCGACTTCTCGTATCATTTCTCGATACGTCGAGATTCTCGGCAGTCGAGACGAGAATTAAAATTTCTCGTCTCGTCTCGTCTCGAATGCATGTTCGCAGACCCTTAGTTAGAGGACCGTTGGAAAATCTAAGAAGCTCATATAGATAGGACTTTTTTCGAGAAATCTGATGAGCTTATCGGATTTTCGATATCTCATATCAAATTCAAATGAGAGCGAAAAGAAAATGAGCAGGAATAGCATTGCGTCGTTACGTAGTTTCAGTCATACTTGCAAGGTGGAGCGCGACACGCGCTTCTGGATATACGTCGAGATATCAGCTGCATAAGAAATTAAAATGTAGGAAAACGTCGCGATCTTGATAAGAAAAAAAAAAATTACATCTTTGTCTTGAATTCAGAAATATTCTCTTTCTCGCAGTAAACGAGTCAACGTTGGCTCGACGAGCTGCTGCCGCCGCCGCTGCTGCTGCTGCTCGACACGCGAGGCAGGTCGCGAGAGAGGAAAGATGGAGGAGGTGCGTAACCATAGCAATGACGCGCGCGTGGCAATCTATATAGGTATATATTATCGCGTATACAGCCCTGCACATAGCCCGCGTAGAAAGCTCGAGGGAAGCGAAACAGAAAGAGAGGAAAAGAGAGAAGCTAGACGCAACCTCGTCCATTGATTTTCACTGCCATCTTGTCGTTTATATACATATATTCCTTGCGCCGTAACTTTTGTGCGCCGCTGTTGCTCGACTTTTACTCCGTGTATATCTTTGGTATATCTCGTTCGTCTCGGAAACGAAATAAAAAGGCGCGACGGCGAAGTTAAATTTTTTACGAGACTACATCGATCGAAGAGAAACGATATGGTTTTCGTTCCGGAAAAGACGAAAAATTAGCAATATCGTTTTCAATGTGATAGCGGCTATTCGAGCATTTTCATTAGAGTCAATTAGGCGAGAAAGATTTTCTTCTCCAAAACCGCACGAGTCAAGAGATGCTGAATAATTCGAAAAATACTTCAGCGACAAAAATGTCGTCGTGCTATTGCACGAAGCTCGCTCACCTTGCAAATTGATAGCCGACGGGAAGATCGAGGCGGCGTGTCTGTGCACGTCCTGGGCACCGCGCACCGCCATAACCGAGCAGGCCGCGGCGTGATGGGCTGCCGCCGCTGCGTGATGAGCCGCCGACGGATGCGACGCGGCCTGATGCGAGCCCAGGCCCTGGGGCAGTCCCGCGCCACCGCCGCCACCGGCACCACCAGCACCTCCGCCAGCGCCGCCTCCACCGGGTCCGCCGCTGGCTCCGGTGGCGGCTCCGGCCGAGTTGACGACGCCGCCCGGATTGTACCTGGAGGCGGCCGCGGCGTAGCGATAGGCCTGGCTCATTTGCGAGCAGCTGCCGAGGTCGCCGTAGCCCGCGTGCATCTCGCTGGCCGCCAGGGCGCACGAGGAAGCCTCGAAGCCGGCCGCGGCGGCCGCCGCCGCCTGGTTCAGGTACGAGTAGTCCATCTTGTAGATCAGAAGGTCCTCCACTGTTGCTGCTGGCGCTTGGCAATGCAGATTGATGCTGTTGGGCAGAGAGACGAGATCTCTGGATGATTGCTGCGGGTGCAAAAAAGAACATGAAAGCAATGATAACGTCGAACTCTCTTTGATTGATCATAATTTATTTAGATCTAAAAACTTTTTTGCGACTCAAAAGAGTCTGGACTATCTTTTTAGATGAGTTTTTTTAATCATAAAAAAATAATTGTTTCATCTGTCAAGGCTCTCTTTACGTTTTAGAATGGTAGATTAGCTAATAATCATTGAAGATACATTTTTTAATGAAACTGTAACGCGAAATACAAATACGAAAATGTTGCATGGAGTTTTGCCAAAAATCTAACTCACTTGGTCGAAAGGAATTGGCATTATTTGAATCGTATCTTTGATACAAAATTTATTTTGATGGATACAGACTTTAATGAAATTTACTGTCAAAAAAATAGTAAATTAGTGCAGATATATATAAAATTAAAGTTATCGATATTAAATCGTGTTGAAAAATGCCGAATTTTATTCAAAACTTACCAGGAGACCTTCTCACCTTCGGGTCATGGATTTGCTCCAAAATTTTGTTGGGGTCTCCTAGTACTCTATACTGAAGCTCTCTGTGTTTAGTTTGATCTCATGGGCTTCAGGGCCCATTTTTAAAAGGATTTTCCACATTATAAAAAAATCTTTGTTATTTTCTATATCGATATAGAAGTACTTAAATGAAAAAATGCGACGATTAAAAGTTTTAAAATTTTTCAAAGAATCTGTTTGAATTTTTTCGGATTTTTAGGGGCCATCTATCATCTCTTTAAAAAGTCGTAAAATCTATTAAAAAAAGCGTCAAATTTGAGCCTCTTGAATTAAGTGATAGATGATCCCAAAAATTCCGAAAAAATTCGAGCAGATTCTTTGAAAAATTTTAAAACTTTTTATCGTCGCATTTTTTCATTTAAGTACTTCTATATCGATATAGAAAATAACAAAGATTTTTTTATAATGTGGAAAATCCTTTTAAAAATGGGCCCTAAGGCCCATGAGATCAAACGAAGCACAGAGAGCTTCAGTATAGAGTACCAGGAGACCCCAAAAAAATTTTGGAGCAAATCCATGACCCGAAGGTGAGAAGGTCTCCTTGTTAGTTTCTTTTAAATGTATCAGTACTGACTTGTAAATTTTATATATTAACTGTATAAAAAATGCATGAATATACGATCACACCCATTATTTTTAATGAAAAACAATTGAAAAAGTTTTAGTTCAATACTCAAATTTAGACATTATGATTGAAAATTAAAGTTTAAATACTTCTTTTCGGACTTAATTGCCCAAAAAATTGAAAGACATTCAATCCTAATTCAAGGCGGCTACTGCCACTAGATGGCGAGTACCTTTATTTGTAAATCTGCAAGAGGCAAAGTAAAAATAATTGTATAAGTCAAAGCAAGGTTTTGAACCTAGGTATAATTTTTCGATTGTAAACCATTGTGTAATTTTTGATACATTCTCATAGAAACGAAAAGTTATTCTTTTTATGGTCAATGCAGAGCCTGACCCTGACAATTTACAGCTGACAATTGTCAAAACTATTTTTTGTCACCGAACACCAGTAGTCAATCTGAACTACTTGATCAAGGAATCATTAAGAACTTTAAAACTCTTTTAAAATCCATGGTGCCAAATGCAGTTCATTGAATTTTTTCATCCGTAAATAAAATTACGAAAGAAACAATTTACAATTATTTTATAAAATGTGGATTTTTAAGTAAAGAAGATACACTAAATAAATTTGCGGTTGAAGCCGAATTCACGAAGAGAGGAGAATTAGAAAGACTTATACAACCATATAAAGTTAGTGATGAAAGTTTTGTGTCAGTAGATCAGAACGCATTGGACGAAAAAAATGTTGAATGTATCGCTTGTTGAAAAAAATGCCATCAAAGTTTAGGAGCCTACATATACCACATGTTAATTTAAAAATTGCATTTGAGCATCTGAAAGGTCTAAGGCATTATTTTTTGAGAACAGGATGTGCAAAGGGGTTTGAGGCAAACCGAGAAAAAGACTTGACAACAACAGCTAGGCATCAAGCTACCACATATAACAGATTTTTTCCAAAGGCACAAATGACAAATTTTCCACGTTTTTTAGAGTAAATTATTTTTTTTTAATTTCATCTATTTTTATATTCATTTAATTGAAGATATTTTTAACGGGGTTTAATATCAATATTTAATCTAACCAATTTCTAAACTTTTTCAAGACCAAAGAAATTTTGAAGTTTCTGTTGCGTGATTAACCGTAAAATATTAAACTGTCTCTCAGCGCATCAAATGCTACAATGCGTGCTGACGTTGTGAATTCATTGGCCATATAATCTATTAATCCGTCTGACAAGAATTTGAATAGATACTTCATTCATTCTGATATGTATTATTTCATAAAAACAAACTCTTGAAGTATACTACCAAACTTATTTCCAAAATTTTTATTATGCTAAACCGATGAAAATATAAACAAATTATTATATCGACTTAAATTCAAAATTTTCCAAAGTTTTCTGAATTAAGTCTTCCACTTTTTAAACAAATTTAAAAGCTGAGTGATAATTCCCGTTAAATAAAGGATGTCATGATAACTTGGCAAGAACAGTACGAGTTCAAGTCAATGTATCACAATTAGAATATTCAATTAGCCAGATTAAACGTTCATGTTTGTACGTATTATTAGTAATTTTCATGTACTTAAATGAGTTGGAACTAACTTAAAATACATTATTTTAGTTAGTATAACATTTTTTCATTTTCATCGTATAGAAATTTAAAAATAATATAGCGTTCTCAAAGTATATTTTATCATTAATATTTAGTGAGTATTATATGTTTTAAGTCGTCGTAAATTTCTTGACAAGGAAAAGATTTGCGTCGCATTGGAATTAAATTAATTCTCTGAGTTTTACCGAAAAAGTGTTAAACCGATACTAAAATGAGATTTAAAAATTGTTTTTAAACACGTGTTTAGATAATTAATAAATATTTTTCTCAAAAAAGTATGTGTATCTTTATTATGGTATAACAATAAAACACCCATACACGATACTTTTTAAACTAAATTTCCTGATCAGCTCGATAATAGCTTGATATCTCCCCAGCAGTATTGAATGAAAAGAAGCCACTCAGCCGCAAGCTCTATTCACCTCCCGAGAGCCGTGCCAAGTATGGTTGATCGAATCAACATAAATTGATAAATTTTTGTTGGCTTGTGTAAAACGATGACACTTACCGGTACAATGATTATCGCTCCGGGCCTATAGGTCAACGACTGTTAATTTGCGCTTGGCTTTCGTCACAATCACGTCACTAGCCACTTGCAATTATCCACAATTATCACTCGCGTATTTACGTACAATAAATATTTTCATATCACAGAATGGAGCTTTCAACGTTACACTTCACTTTTATATTTACGAATTAGACATAGATTTGATCGTTCGTTCAAGATTTATTTGAACCACGCGCGCACAGAGAATGACTATTAAGAAAAAAAAATTTGTCGTAACCGTTGAGTATGCGGCGTGCCGGGGCCTGCGGGCCTCGCCGAGGCGGCTGGCGCGACGGCTGGCTGCCACGCACAGCTCTGCAGCGGTGCAGCGGTCCTCACTCGGCGACGGCTTCACACCATACCGGAGTAGCGTCTGGTTGTGTCCCGACTGTGCGGTGTATATGCCTCTCGTCGATCCTCGTGTCGGTCCGCGCGCACTGCGGCCGGGTCGGCTCGTCTCGATCGGGTTATAGCTCACATCTATAATACACACTCGAATACGCGCACATAGACACGCACACACAGACACCGCTATAAAAGCGCGGGGTATTATCGCGCGCTCCTTGAGTTTTATACAAGCGCGAGTCGCCGCAAGCTTTAGCGAGCTTAAAGAGTCTCGCGTCCGCAAATCCGTCCGCCCGCGCGTTCCGCCAGTTAGCACCCCGAAAGAGATAGGGGTTTATGTATGTATATAGAAATAATCGGATCAGAGCTCGCGCGCTCGAGGGGCTATCAAATTATTGCGATTATCTGCTGCAGCTTCTGTGTATATATACAGAGAGAGAGAGAGAAAGCTGAGAGTGTGTGTGAGAGAGAGAGCGCGCGAGAGAGAGAGAGAGGCGCAGCTGAGAGCGAGCGCCGCGCAAGCTCCTTTCACGCGACCGGCTGGTGGTGCTTCTCAAAATCAAATGATAAGCCTAATTCAATAACCCCGTGACTGGAGCACACCACACGCAGCAGCAGCAGCAGCATCCCTTCATGATGTCGAGCAGCAGCAGCAGCAGCTCTCGGTTGCGCGCGCGCGCGCATTTACACGCGGCCCGAACCAGCCCCTCTTTGCACCCCGTCTTATACATATATCTATATTTGGTATACATATAGATGCACTTGCTTTATGCAAGCATAATCCTGTATGTGGCAGCAGCAGCAGCAGCCCCCAGGCCGTGTGCGGGAATCGGTCCTGCGCAGCAGCAACAGCACCGGTGACTATTGTGCAGACTGTAGAGGATTCTATACTGCGCAGACTCGTCAACGGCGGCGACCACCCCGGTGGTGGTGGCGTGCGCCTACTATGCTCGACAGTGTGTATACGTGTATAGACGCGAGGGTGTGGCTGAATCGGCTTCTATTATAAATATATATACGAAGCCCCGACTCCATTCGAATGCTGCCAGCATATTAGCTTAGCTTTTCATTGGTTATTTCAAACGTCCTGCCCGCGTGCACCAGAAGCAGCAGCCCTTCTTATTTCTCTCCCTCTCTCTCTCTCTTTCGAACGTGCATGTGTATACCAAAAGAGTGTGCGACTTTCACGAAGAATATCCACACGCACACAGACACTTTCGTTCGGTACGTCTTCGAGAGAGTATTTTTCTCGAGGCGTATAGCAGGGGGGAGAGAGAGGGTCAAATCCAAGCGTAAGAGGGTGGTCCATTGAGAATTCGGCAAATGACTCCACCCTCGGAGCTTGCACGAAGCGAGCTGCGCGTACATTCAGCTCTAGCTGTCTCTCTTCGGCGTACGCCTTGCGCGGAGGTAGCTGCTGCCGACTGCGCTCCCGCGAGCTTCTTTCTTACACTGTGTATATATTTTCGCGTCGCTTTCGCTTCTTTCTTTCTTTCTTTCTTTCTTTCTTTCTAGTCTAGTGTGAGTGTGTGTATGCGTGTTTTTATGGGTGTATATGCGGTGGCACTGCACGCATTAGTACCGAAGCGCATCTTTTTTTATCATTTTCATTTGCAGCTTGTTTTGCCTCTCTGAAGTTAGGGTGCTGCTGCGTGTCTCGCACTTCGCACAAGCTTTACATGATAAACGTAAGCGTAGCAAATGAATCAATACTTGTTCACTTTTAAAACCAAGTGGGTTTTAGTTACATTACTTTCTTTAAAAGTTTTGCTTGGACTTAAATGCAATTTTTTTTACTTCTCCACTTGCAGATTTATAGATTAAGGTACTCGCCATCTAGTGGCAGACGCTGAAGGTATTGTCGTACTCAAAGTAGGCGAAAACTGGTCTCAATTCGTTGAAACAGTGAAGTTTCAGATCATTTAAAATGCTCATAATTATAATTTTAGCCATGCAGGGCATAAGTTCACATTTATGACGCACTTTTCTGTGACACAAGTCGCACATTCTGGCACCGCGGTACCAAAAAGTGCGACTTATAACTCAGAAAAGGAGGCATACATTTAAACTTAGCACAATGCTATAAAATTAAGTACGATCCTCGGGCCATATAGGGGACACATTCCAGCACGGCTATTAGGGCCCTCACTGCGCTTGAGCCCTAAACCACGCTGGGCCGTAAAATGTTACTTGTAGCAATTTTATCGTAAAGTACTATGACACGAGTATTAACCTAAAACTAGACAATTGCTGGTTATGTAATTTAAAATACATTAAATGATCATTTTCGGCCAACAGCCCATTATTAACGTTGAGCATTTCTGACAAAGCTCCCAAAGATATTTATAATTCTTGGAAAAATAATAGGTTCTTTTACAATTGATCTATTAAATTTGTTATGTTTCAGTCATATATACGCACATGAAATTAAATTTTCATTTGAAAATGAAAAATGCATACTATTCATTGAATTCGGCTTTTTAAAGAGTTGAAAACGTTCGTTTACCTACGAGCGTCTGTTTCTATTTGAATAGAACACTGGATTCGATAAAAATCTAAACATTTGTTTAGGAATATACCCTTTTTTTTATTTTTGATCATTTCAGATCTTTTTAAAAAAGCTTATAGCCAATGAATTGCTACAGCGGATTTTTTATGATTATTAACGTATTGAAACAGACTTGAACAGTTGAAATATTATTATTCAATATAAAAGAAATTTAAAAATTTATCATAAAAAATTGACCCTATTACCATTTTTTGAAATCAATTTTTTAAATCGATTATTAGTATTAGAATTTTTAATTCATCAGATGACGTGACTACATTTTCGAATCAAGCGCTCAAGTTCTGATGTTGGCCGCTACGTAGTGCATGAAAATCCGCAATTGTTTTAAGATTGTTTCGGTATTAGAAGAATTGTTCAAAGTGTGTTCCAATTAAGTTAGGATCTTCGCTCGGTCTTAATTTCGTTTTCATTCATAACGTGATCTCATTTCATTGTTTTACTTTTTATATATGTACATGGCAACCTAAATCGACATTGATAAGTTTAATGTCATTAGGATTTAAAAATTGTGTAATTCTGTTCTTAGAGAGTATAAATGCTCATCTTAACAACTTAACACATCTTCGAAGGAGACCAAATAGCAGATTAAACAAAAGAAGTATATAATAATGCAGATCCATATGCATTGTGACTCCTTGGAAAAACAGTAGAACTCTCGCGTACTCCAGGGATCATGCACGCGTCACCGAGTCTTTTCGTGAGAACAAGTGCAACAAGGGCGTCTCAGGCTGTCGAGCTTATAAATCATAATTGACTCGATCAGTAACCGAATGAGTTTATTTTCAAAATGTAGGAGATAATCGCTTATCTAATAAAAAAAAAGGATATCGCATCAAAGTGAATTCAAAACCGTCACCTATTCGTCGGTAAAGAGTTTCCTCATTAAATTATGTCACTTCTTATTTTTATGTAGTAACGTTAATAGAAATTAATTCATCTCTTATTCCCAATTAAAACATTATTTCAAACCTGAATTTTTTACAAAAAAAAGAATCTTTATTAATCATTATTTTTTAAAGTAATTATAAATCTTCAATTTAGTTTTATGTTATATCATGGCTATAAAGTGCAGATATTTTCTTAATCGTCCATCCACTAAATGCAAATTATTGCGACAGCGACAATAAAGGTTTCCATATTTCATATGTTCTCAAATCATTATTTTCACTGCAAGTCAATTCATCAGAAATATTAAGACAATTCAATTTTTTCTTGGTTACTGGCAACCAAGACTCATTCAAAAGCTCATTTTTTTCAGGTGTTGGATTCCTGTGATAATTAAATTTTTGGTAATATTAATCTTATGATTTCTTAACATTTTAATTTGAAAACTTACCCAAATTTAGCAAAATTAGTCCACATTGTTGTCATTCTTTCCATCGTTGTACGATCCCGCGTACCTGCAGATATTTTTTTCTTTCTCGCTTCAGCATGAAACAAGAAATCCAATTCATCCCCATGGCATGTTCCTAAAAATCAAAATAAGTCAATAATGTTCATTAGATTTCAATCAATAATGTGAACGCTCTGTATTTGTTGAAATCAAAACCTTTAATTTTTATCCCGAATTTTTCCTTAACTCCTGGAAGATCAGGCCTGTAGGAGAATTTGTAAAGGTAAGTTGGAACATCTTTATGTTGTTGAATCTTAGCCACTCCTATGACTTCCATGATAAATAGCAGATCACCGAAAAACTGCGCGGCTTCATTGAATTTAACTTTAGTAATTTTATCATCACCGAAATAATGTCTTTTTATTGGCTCCGTGAATTCAGTCAATTTTTCACAGTTGTCAATTCGTAGATGGCTGGCCAAAAGTTCGTTGAAATTTTTGTCCAACTCGTCATACATTTTTGAAGTGTCACCGAGAAATCTAACGATGCCTTCATGCGAATTGTAACCGATAATTAACGGTACATTGATGCCTTTTTCTGCTAGCTCTCTGATGGGTCCTGGCAAAATGGGATTCTTGCTCTTGGCATCTTGACTGGGAACCAGTGATAGTTGAACCTTTGCAAGTTCCTACAAAACGAAACGAAAAACTACAGAATTAGCCAAAGTTGAGCGTATCGGTTTAATAAAGGTTCATCGACAATTGGCCACTATTACACAAAAACTAGTAACGATATCTTCAAGGCTCGTAGCTCACAAAAATCCTATTGCTTTCCCGCGAGTAACTTACGTTGTCACATAAATCTTCATACTTCTTAACTAAATCCTTAGCTGGTAATTTTTTTAAATTTTTTATTACATCCAAATCAGTATCACATTTATGACCGAAGGAATTAGCTAAGGCGTATCCCCACTTTTTGTTTGATTTTATATGAGCCCATGGATTTGTCAATGCACCACTTTGAATGATAGCTTTATGGAAGAGACCTAAAAATATATATCGTCAAATATGTTTACTGATAAATATTTTAAAATTTACATATCTAATTTATAAACCTTTTGCTTCTGATGATAAACACAAAGCATGTATTGATGCTCCACCTGCACTCTGACCAAAAACTGTGACGTTATTCGAGTCTCCACCGAAATATTGAATATTTTGTTGAATCCATTTCAAGGCAAGTATTTGATCTTTCAGACCCATATTACCACAACATTCTTCGTGGTCCATATTTAAAAAGCCTGAAGTAAATAAATTCAAAGTCAGACCTTTCAAACGTTTTTATGAGTAATCAATGACGCACCCATTAGCCCAAGTCTGTAATTAATGCTGACGAAAACGATATTGTGTTTTATTAAATAATCTGGCCCGAATATTTTCGGCGTGTTTGAACTCATTTTAAAAGCTCCTCCGTGAAACCATACCATAACGGGCTTATTGCAGTTGTGCATTTCACTTGTTGCGATGTCGAGATACAAACAGTCTTCTTTACCTTTAACTTTACCAATCAAAGGTTCGTATTGCAGCGACATATTACTTTCATCTACGGTATCTCGAATGTTGGTGGTCCACTTTTTTTTAGGAATTGGATCCTTAAATATTTATTAAAAAATAAAAATTGAATACATGAATACTTAATAAAAAATTTATTTTCAAATAAGTATTGGTTTTTTTTCGAATTCGAGTCAAGTATTTTTTGTATTCGGGTTTTTCGAGTGCCTGAATTTTTTAAGAACAATCGAGTTTTTTCGGGTACTCGACTATTTTTGAGTTTTGAAACTGTGTTTCATAAGACCTGCATGAAGAAAAAAATTATTAGTCAAATGTATGATTTTCATTGCTAGTACACGAAAAAAATCAAAGAACAATGTTGTCTAAACGCCTATCGAAAATATAAATATTAAAAAATAGTTATACGATAATGCAATTGAAAAAATTTAAATACTCGAAGAAAGCCAGGGTACTTGAAAAAACACTAAAAATCGGGTATTCAAACATTCCTCTTATTTATAAATGTCAATAAAATTTACCTTAAATCGAAGATCGTTGATCGGGGGCTCGGCGTACGGAATACCCCGAAGTGAAAAGTATTCAACATCCTTATCAACGTTTTTTAGAGCATGTCCTTTGATTTTACCATCCTCTGTTTTAACTATGACAGTCAACGCTCGTTTTGATTCGATTGGTTTCTTTAAGTACGACGAGGCCGTCGATCTGAGAAATCGTCCTATAGTCAGCATGACTCTGCAAAAATTTAAAGTGATTTATAACTTTCATAAAATTAATTATAAATAAATTTAGGGCAAATCAAAATGAAATTTTGAGTGACTAACTTGATTTTATGTTCCACTAAACTGATAATTTATCGTAATGTATTAGGAAAAAATTAAAATATTTATAACATTTTAGTAGTTATTCGAGAAAATTTGTTATAAATCAATTTATTCTAATGAATGTATCATAATATAATTATGTATTAATTATATATAAAAAAATCGCCTTTCTCAAAATATTATGTACCAATTCAAGTAATACATTTTTCACTGATTAGTTTTTTAAAATGTAATTGATAAATGGAAATGATTGATAACGATAAAACAATTACAATTCTATAGCTTTGATTATAATTTTCAATGAATACAATCAAGCTTTCGTACCTTAATTCAATAAAATTATATGTTCTTCAAATAAATAAAGAAGTGTATGTTTCCATACATACAACTTAAAAAGAAATACTTCAAGTATCGACCATATTCATAAGAAAAAATAAATACCTGAGACTCGAAGCACTTCGTGTTTTATATAAAATAGTTCTTAGCTTTTTTAATGTACTAAATGAAAGAGATATTGTTATGACAGTCGATTTCACGCAGAGATCGTTGACAACAAAATCAAAAGTCACAAACGACTGAGCCAAAGCCAGCTGTTTTCTTAGTGGTCGAAATAGGAAGTAAGCCTCTTGGAATATCTGCAGTAGTTGAAGCTGCTCGCATTGACAGCATAACTACAATGCTGCAAGGTCTAACGTCGGTAAAGTAGATAGTTTCATTATTGAAAATTGTACTTATCATACAGTTTATCAGCTACAAGTAAATGAAGAACGATTTTTTGTATTCCTTGCACTTTTATGAGATGTGACATTTTATTTTCAATTCATAAAATGTAATATGCTTTTTTCTAATTGTAGTCAGAAAGCCGACGCACGGAAATTGATTATTAATTCGTAAATAAGACAGTGACCAAAACTGGCTTATGATACTGATACGTGTGCAGGGGCCTACCAAGTTTAAAATTTCGTTTTTGAGCCTAATACAGAGCTTTCTCTATGAGGAAGTAAGAGACGAAATTAACGTTTTATCATCAAAAAAAAGTTTTATCATGATCCTACGAAGTGTAGCTAACTTATTGCAGATTCACACATATAGGTATACTCGCCATCTAAAAGGAGAAACTCAAAGCAGTAATATTGTCTTTAAAGTATGAAACACTAGTAGTATATATTTTTAGAAATGATCAAAGTTTCATTTTGAAGTTTAAAATGCCTCTTCCCACATATCAATATGAAAATAAAAATGGTATTTTTTAGTCATAAGGCCATCATTATTATTAAGCATTTTTACCTAAATTTGTAGTATAATTAATTCATTAATAAAGAAGGTTTAGTTAGTTGAGGATGAATTATGAGGAAGCTCTTTGCCAATGAATAGACAGCGGTTTTATTATATTTATGATAAAAATGTTCTACTTCAGATTAATGAAATACAAATATTTTGCAAACAACTTTGCAATTATTAATATTTCGTTATTTTCAATTATAATTCGATTTTTTTTACGATTTATTCTTATAGTAATCTATCAAACGTGTAGCCGCTTTCCAGCCACTCCTGATGGCACCATCCACCGTTCCATATCGGTTGTTATCGGTTGCTTCTCCAGCGAACAGAATCGCCTGAAATCGAGAAATCGGTCGCTTTAGTACTATCAAATTTTCTCGTCCAAATGTCAAAAATGTACCATTTTTTCTGGCTGCACGGGTTTCTCCAGCGTTTCCGGAAGTACTCCGCGGTTATGAGTCTCCACGCTTCAATAACTGAAGGCGCCTCGGGTGTACGGATTCGTATACCAATCCACTAGCAGCATCATGTCCGGATCAGTCATATAGGGGTAAGTTTTTTCCAAAAATCGGCGAAGATTCTCCTGGACGTGCAGTAAAATTTTTCTATCGCTCAGAGCCTCCATGGCTCTGGCGTATTTTCCGTTTACCCAGATTGCTAGGACATTCGGTATCGATTCGACCGTCGTGGCGCCACCTATACCCAAAAGCCAATTCTTCTCCGGCTAAAAAATTTAGTGATTGTAATATCCATTATTCGTTCATAAAGAGTCGAAAGGAGGCTCACTTCTGCTTCCATTTTCTCCTTGTCGTGGTCATTGTAGATGAAAGAGATGCAAAACGTGCTATTTTCAGTCTCACCCCAAAACGGATAGTTGTACTGAAGATATATTATCGCTATGTTACTAAACCCAATTGCCTGAAATTGCGAATGAATGATTTAAAAATTTAGTTAGTTCGAGCCTTTAAAATAAGTATTATTTGAAATAATATGTACTTCGATCGCAGAAACTTTATCGACTGGCAATGGGGGCATAAAAAGATTTTGGTGCCTTTCCTTCAAAACTCCCAAAGAAACTGTCACTATCAGGTGATCCGCTTCGTACAACTTTCCATCTTTCGTAGTGATTAAAATTGGCGAATCATCCGTAAGATTTGAATAGTTGATCGAAGTGACTTCAGTGCTTAAAACCGTGTTGTTTCTTACGGGCAGTTCCTGTTCTGAATGTGGATATGCTTTCTGTGAAAATTTATGACTTTTTTACAAATTTTTTAATATTTAAGAAATCGAAATTAATTATTACCATCAGAATATCCAAAATAGTAGAGTAACCCCTGGTCTTCCACTACATCAGCTGATCGCCAGGATAGTCATGGAAAAATTGCGCATTGCTGGTAGATAAATCGAACCACGATTCAGCTGGATACCATTCTAATACCACTGATTCTAAAAAACGTGTATACTTGTTTTTGTATTTCATTATTTTTGGATCGTTTTGAAACTTTTCGTCAAATCTAAAATTAATAAATCAATGTCGATTACGCAATTTCGATGGCTTGATCGATTTTACTAATAAAAAATATTTAGTATTATAACTTTTTTTCCGTGAATTGACCGAAGGACTCGTAAGCGGTATCGTTATGGGGTTCCACGTCTTCTTCGACGAATTTCCATAATTTTTCAGCCACATCGTCGTCGATCTGGTCCCCTTGAGAATCTACTAGCATATACTCGATTCCCAACTCTTCACCCAAGAAATTTAAAGGATTGGCCAGGTCGTAAACGACATTTCCTTCTTGGCCGTGCACCCATCTCGCACCAAAATCCAACGAAGCGTTACCTATGGAAAGTAGAAAATTTATAAAATTCATGAGTGGTTAGAGTAATATTATATAAAGCCAGTCGAAAATCCGATTGGATATTACCTTGGGTATCTGTGAGGAGGCGACCACCTATTCCCTTCGCGGCCTCCAAGACGGTCACATTATGGAAGCCGTTTTCGAAGAGCTTCGAGGCAGCCGCGATTCCTGATGCTCCCGCCCCGATCACGACGATCTTGGCATTTTTCTTGGCGTCGTCGGCAAGAGTGACAGCAGCAATGGCCAGAGAGAAGCAGCCAAGGGCCACCACCGCGCGTATCGACAAACTACTGCACCTCGGCATTGTGTTGGCGCGTAACGAATTCAGATATCAACTGACAGGCAATGATGCGGAGAGAGAATTACCAAACGATTCTGTCGCGGGCACCGATATCGCGACGAAACCAGTGCAGTCAGTGCGGCGATCTGCGCGCGGCGTGAGATTTTCATCGCACGATCGGCGAATTTGTTGTTATTCTGAATGCTCTTCTCTCATTTTCGCTTGATCAGCATAACTACAAGGATGTTTTATAATCATCGAGGTTGAAGATGTTTATTGAAATGAATTTACAATGTTGTCTGTGCAATGTTGGTTCGGCACATTTCTAGGCCAATTGACACTTTTTCAAAGATTACGAGCTCTTTTTTTTATTCAGTTTCTTTCATTTTCTTCATAAACATGGTAATCATAGAGCAAGGAAGTCTAAGAGCTATTTACTTTTTTCGTGTTTTGGAAGTTTTTGTTGTTTAGCTTATTGGCTTTGCTGAAATGGTCTTTAGGAAAATTTACAGAGATCTTATTTTATTTAAAATTGTAATTATTAATTGTCAGATTTCAAAAATCATTTTATGTAAGATATTCCAACGAAAAAAGTATAAAATAATGAATGCTCATAAGTACTTGTTGAATTGAAACTAAAGCGAGAAAAATCATTTTCTCGAAATTTATAGATGAAGACAACTAATAAGATCGATATCAAAAGATAATGATTGTAATCTGTAAATATTTAGAATTCGTATATCAAATCTTCTCTTTCAAGCATCAAACATCTCTTCATCTTTCTAACTGCAAAGACTTCGGAAGTGTCCTCTCTGCGAATTATTGGCGTATATGCACTGCAACATCGATCCATCGATGGTAAAAATGTTTTCCTTCAAAAATTCAAAAATTATCTCAGATCTGGATTCAAAATGTCGAAAATTGGCGAACTTGATGGTTTTTAGAAATGTTTGTTAACAATCTATAGATGAATCCAATGGAATCTTATGTATGCTGCTCACGTATGCAGAAAGCGCCAAAGATTGAGCCTGCTTCCATAACTATGCAAAGTTCATAATTTTTATCGCATTTCGTAACCATTACATGATTTTCAATTGAGTACACTTGTCGCTATAACTTATTCATAAAGTGGAAATACGCGTTGTCTCGTTATGATTGGGCAAAGTTATAAAAAGCGCGCAAAAGGACGTGCACCTTGCTAATCGTGGTATGAAAACTGCCTCTAAAAAGTCTGTCATAAAACCGAGAGTAGTGCGCTCTGCGTATTGCAAAACTTTTAATCATCAAATGAACGTCTTATACGCCCCCCTCTTGCTAACGATGATAACGAAATTTATATGCGTTTTGGCTATAAATAAAGAGCCACTGCCGCCAATCGCGTTCAGTCGAAATGAAGACCCGTTACAGTGAGTGTTGTTCTACGATTGTGCCGTGACTGAGTTGACGACGAGTCAACGTGCTTCGTGCGTCGGTGTGTTTTTGTTCGCGAAATGAGAAATCGCGACATTCGCGACTCGCCGCGAGTGCCTCTCTGCGGTGCGCATGCGCCGTTCCATTTTGTGCCGTTCGTCCCGTGGCGTGCAAAATCAGTTCTCAGTTGTTCAGTGCCAAATTCGCCGGATATCTGCGTGGAGAATCTCACGCGCTGTATATATTCCTGCTGCATTTTTCACCCGTATATACATATCCAACGCGAACAAGACAGTGCGGCGAATTACGAGAATCAACTTGCGTACTTGCTTACTAAGTTACACGTTATAATTACAAATTGATATACAATAGTGGATACGCGAGTGTTTGTAACCTGTACGGCCTAAAGTCGCTTCGCATAGATGAAGCGCAGTGCCGAGTTCAGCGAGCACGAGCGTCGATACGGAAATCGGAGCTACTACCCTCGCGTACGCACATAGGTTTGCGGTGGGCGCAGGCAGCAAAAAAATCCACCGCCACAGAAGCCGGCCTCGTGCGACGCAGAGGACACAATACGATCCCGCAAAAGAGTGTAGTTCGTGGTGTCTGTGTGTGCATGTGTGTGTAGTGGCGCCGCGCGCGTACTACATGATAATATACTCGAGCGCAGCGACTACAACAGTGCAAAATGACGGCGACGAGATTTTGGAGCCCCGATCTTTGGAAAAACTGGGACAAGCAGGGCAAGACCGAATTGTAAGTATTACCGGCGAAATCGCCTCGTATCGAACGTACAACTAACAAAAAACATTGCTCGGCTTTTTCAGGCCTACGAATGTCCGTGTGTAAACCTTGAGTCTCGCTCAACCTATAGTCGCGCATTTATGCCAAATTTTTATGTGCAAAAGCGAGATAGAGTCGTTTTTATGTTTCCCTTTGAATTGAATGTGCGTACGTTATTCTCGCGTCAGCTCGTTGTAATAAATTTCTTGATAAATTAATTTGGCGTCAGCTCGTACGTCAAGAATCGAGACTAGCTGCTACCTTGTATAGTTTGTTTGTGTTGGTATCTGCGTGATGGTGTATTCTTACATAGTAGGCTAGTAGCTCCTTTGCTATTCAGTATACGCTTACACACACGGACGATCGTGCACACTCAAGCTTTATGTTGTTTATAGTAGCGCAATTCTTTGTAACAACACAAGTTTGTCATTTGCAAATTTGGACATTGAGCTATGATTAAATCTTCATTTTCTTCATTTGGAGAATCAATTTTCAAACAAACCACAAATGAAAATTATTCTTTTTTCAGTTTCAAGTTGATGAAAACAAATTATCAGGAGGGTCATGAACACGGTGAGTCAATTTTCATTTGTTATCCGATATCAAAGAAAGCCACCTGTTGCATGGTTGTTTTATATTCAAAAATGAAGTAATAGTCAAACATTTATGTGTTTGAAGGATGAGCTTTCTATTTCCTTATTTTATTTAAAACATTCTTTTAATTTTGTAGAATGGAAGAGAGGCCTTTATGAACTGATCCTCAGTGGTGTTCTTGGAACTATGAAGAAAGAGGTGGTTGTTACTAGTTTAGGGGAACTTGCAGTAAGTTAAGTTAAATTTCGGTCATAAAGATGTCTAAGAAAAATATTATTATTGATTTATGATTTTTCTAGGATCAGAATCCTGCAATACCATCTGCTATTGTAGATATTTTTACTATCATAGATGCAGAAATTCAAGGAGAAACCAGAAGTAATTTTTATTTTATCGTAAGAGAATCTAAAAAGTATCTTACAGAAAGAATTTTAAAAGAACGTTTGGATACCGATACTCTCCAAGATGTTGGGATTCTTAAAAATATGAGCTTTCAAACAAAGTTTATTAAAGTGAAAACCAAGTTATAGTATGTTAAAAAATTGCATTAATAAAATCAAATACTTATTGAACGTAAATCTTAATGAACATTCAATTACAGCTACAAACAGAAGAAATTTAATTTATTTAGAGAAGAGAGTGAAGGTTATTCCAAGCTAATTGTAGAGCTCAGTCAAGAGCACACAGAATCAGATGTAGAAAGCCTTTTGCAAATCGTCAAATCCCTTATTGGTATAGTTATTGTATTATATGATCAATTGTTAACATTATTTTACAATTGATCAATTTGAATTTCAGGTTATTTTAATCTGGATCCCAATAGAGTATTAGATATACTATTGGAAACTTTTGAAAACCGACCTCAAGATGTTGCTGTTTTCATACCTCTTATACGTTCATACATGAGTGATAGACAAGTATTGTGTGAAGTACTTGGTTTTAAATATTGTTCTACAGTTAACGATACACCTAAATCTCTACAAGTGCTAACAGCACTAATGCTTCAGTATGGAGTAATAAACTTGGATGACATTTTACCATGGTTGGTTCCTGATGATCGAGTAATAATTCGCGATTATGAAAATGAAATCAAATTAGCAAGAGAATATGTTAGAAAAATGAGTGTGATTTCAACTAAAGAAAAAGAAGAAGAAAAAGAAGATAGAGATGCTATAGTGGTAGGTTTTACAAAGCAAATTATTAAAATAATGAATATTTATCTATAAATATGTTTTAGGACAAGTATTCTGCTAACCAAAAATTTGGTTTATGTGAAGCACTTTTGGAGGTGGGAGCTTGGGATGTAGCTCAAAATTTATTTGATAGGTTACCAGACTTTTGTTTCACTGACAACAAACCAATAGCTAAGGCACTCTGCAGTATGATTCATGCCCTTATTGAACCCGTCTACAGAAAGTATGTGAAATAAGATTTTTTTTTATTTTATTCTCAACCTTACTTATAAATATTAAACTAATATTCTTTTTATTTTTAGATACTGTTTAATTCACCCTAAACTTCCTGGAAGAAAAATTGCTCCATTATCAAGCCCTTTGGCTCCACCACCTTTAAAACGTCTTGAAGATATTCATGATAGGTTATTACCAATGCTTATTGCTTTAGGACCAAATCTTCATCATGATCCTGTACTCATGTACAAAATAATGCGTTTAAATTATGCTGCTATTAAACAGTGTTCTCTTAACTCTGCTAAGCTACCATTACCTAAGGATAGTGTACTTTATTATGATATACTAACAATACTTGATGTAGCACTTCTACCAGCGCTTTCTTTTATGGATTGTAATTGCTGTGTAGCTGAAGAAATTTGGAATATTTTAAAGTACTATCCTTATCAGAGCAGATACTCTCTTTATGCCAGATGGAAAAATGACACACCTCAGCAGCATGCAGCATTATTAAGAAAACGTGCCGATGCTCAAAAAAAAATTAAGAATGTGATAAAAAGAGTTAGCAAAGAAACAATTAAACCTGTAGGAAGGTCAATAGGAAAATTGACTCATTCATCGCCTGGAGTATTATTTGACTATGTTATAATTCAAATTCAATTGTATGATAATTTGATAGGTAAGATTTCATAATTGACAATTAAGAATTTTACCGATTTTTTTTCAATCTTCTATATTTTTTTGTTACAGGACCAGTAGTAGATTCACTTAAATATCTTACAAATATTTCTTATGACGTTTTAAGTTATTGTTTAATTGAAGCTCTTGCTAGCGCAGAGAGAAATCGTTTCAAGCATGATGGAACTAGCATCTCTCTTTGGCTAACATCTCTTGCTGCATTTTGTGGTGCTATATTCAAAAAATATAACATTGAATTGACAGGATTGCTACAATATGTAGCTAACATGTTAAAAGCCCAGAAAAGGTAAAAATTTAAAAACTCTTAGGTTCAAAGTTTTTTTACATATTATATAGAACTTGAATGTAAAGTTGATAAATATATTTATGAAAATTAACAAATAATTATTAGTATTTTATAAATAATTAAAAAAATACTTTACTTTCAAAATAATTAAAATGGTTATCAAAAAATCTATTGAGCATTTGCAAATTTTTATATCTATTTATGATAGTAAGCTAACTTCTGTTGAATTTCACGTGCATGTTGATGACATTTTTGATTTTCTTTTAGTTTGGACTTACTGATTTTGAAAGAGATTGTTCAAAAAATGGCGGGCATCGAAGCTTCTGAAGAACTAACATCTGATCAATTAGATGCCATGGCTGGTGGAGATTTACTTCGCATAGAAGCTGGATATTTTAGTCAAGTTAGAAATACAAAAAAATCATCCCAGCGTCTTAAAGAAGCCTTAGCTGAAAACGATTTGGCTGTAGCTCTTTGTCTATTGATGGCTCAACAAAAACATTGTGTTGTTTATAGGGAAACAGAACAGTCACATCTGAAACTTGTTGGTAAGTTATCTTCATAATTACTACATACATTTTCAAGTAATAGAATGTATTTTTTTTAATTTTTTAAAAATCAATTTATCAAACTTGGGATTAGGTAAAAGATTTAAATTTATAAAATGATATGTAGGTATGACTAAAAAATATTTCAAATCATTTGATTTATTTAAAAAATCTTTTATTTTAAATTTTATATTTTTAGAGTAATATACATTTTTTATTAACATGAACATATATATACATATAAAATATATATTACTTTCGGATTTACAGAATGTATATTGTCGTACGTATTAGTATAATATTTACACAATTCGATTTTTTACATTACTATTTCGTATTTACTATCCAGTCACATTTAAAATTATAAATATTTACAAATGGCAAAGAGTAATCTAATATTCCATAACGTACTTTCCATTATTCTTATTATAATAATCATCTAGCCTAAGATTAATTGTTTGAACATTTTTGTGTAAATTCTCGAAAAATTTCTGTCGGATTTGCAGCGTTAAAGCTACCTCCGTCAAAAACTCTCCTAGTAGAGTATTTTGCTTGATATTCTTCATATTTCTTATGTTGCTTAAGACGGATTTTTCTGCCGCAGTCCAGTCATATATGATACTATAACTAGGCATAAATTTTGTGATGATTTCGTACCATTTTACATGTTCTTCGGAATTGGTAATTTCCGGCATCACCTGTGGCCACTCGGGCACCTCCGGCCAGTCCGGTAGTAATATTTTTTCCGTTGTCTGGTCGATTGATAATTTGAGGTTTGCGATGTCTTTCGTTACTGCTTTCAGCGCTTCGAGTTTCTCACTTAGTGTGAGAATATGCCTAGACGTTGTGACCGATGGTTTATCTTGAACTTTTGCCTTTTTGATGGGATTGGAGTTTAAGTGGGTGGTCGGTTCACGCTTTTGCGGACCAGTTATTTCTGCAGGCGAGCCGGCCTGCATCGAGTTGGGTGTTTTTCCACTTTTGCTACTGCTGCTGCCGCTACCATCACTTGGCGGCGACGGAGTAGCTGGAGGTTTATTTTTCTCGACCTGAATCTTCTCCTCGTCCGTATAGAACGGCCAGTTTAAGTTAACCTGCTTCCAACAATTTCTCTTAAGATGAAGTTTCCCATCTCGAGCATTGGAAACGTCCCGCAGGATGTGGAGGAAGGCGCTCATCTCGCCTTGCTTTGTTCCCTCAGTCTGTATCCTTCTTTTTATATCCGTGCCGAGGGTTTTGCCAAGGGCGAGTAGATGGATCAACCTCTCCTTTAATGGTCTCTCCTTTAATGGTTTATCCCCCGTTGACTTTTGAGCAAGCTGCTCTTTTTCCTGCTTGAGGTGCGCAGGGGAAGTCTTGGTTACATGTCCTGAAACCAAGTCAGGCATTGCAGCCAACCTCGATTGTGGGTATCTGCTTTTTATCATGCTCTGAAATAAAGATGAATTGATTGATTAAAAATCATTAAAATATTATATTAAAAAATAACAAAAATATCATTTCGGGGTCGTACCGTATCCGGAATTATTTTAGCGCATTTTTTTCTATGTAATTTTTCCGCTTCTTCCATACGAGTTTTTGTTGCTGCAAAAACATCATCCGAAGCTTTTACACGCGCCTTGTAATGTATCCGACCTATACTTTCAACATTATTTTGTGATTCTTGCTTTATAATTTCGATCGCCCCTTGATGCCTTTGATAGCCTTTTGAAAAGTACCGTTGATCTCTGTCAATCGTGAATTCGAACACAGATGGTGGTCTGGTATCCACGTGTGGTTGGAAATCAGAATTTTTTGGAAATAATAATCTACCGAATCCTTTATCGTCTACTACTTCCACCTTGATGTTTTGTATAGGTAGATTTTTACTCATATTCATAAAATATTCTCGAAGAGCTCGAACGCATGATTTTGTTGGTCTCACAGATATGAATCTTGTGTGTTTCTGAAGATTATCAATGCACTTGTACTTTTGATCCTCGCGTAGTTTTAATTCACTTTTCATTTCAAAATGTGACCCCATCTTGATGTTTTATAGTCTAGGAAAATCAATTGGTTACTCGTTGAATCTCAAAAAAAAGATTGCCCTTGATGTATAAAATTTGAAAAAAATTATTTTCCTAAAGCGTACGATTGGCTGTGTTGTAAGACGTTTTTAATAGCAACTCCCTTCGAATACACTACTTTTAAATCCGTGGTAACTAATTGCTCTTCAATTTTTAAATTACACTTTTATAAATTTTCAACGAGCGAGTATAACACTTTTTTAAAGGAATACTTACGAGCACTATTAGTCTTTCGATATAACCTCTATTATCGAAGCTCACTGCAACTCTTTAATGCACTGAGAATTTTATCTTTCTCAAGAACACAACACAAAACACTAGAACTCGTTGAATTCAATGCGACATAAATAAAAGATGAGAAAACGACTTTTTTCGTTGGACGAAATCGTTCTAAAACACCAGCTGTTTCATACGTATGTGACTTGGTTAAAAGGCGCCTATAAGACTTCTGCTCAAACACACAAGTTGAAAATTCTACTGTAGGTAAACGGGACTGTGTGTTTGCCAGACTGGTGGACGTATACTGATCCGAGACTTGTCTTAGCGGCAACTGAACCGAATTATCCCCCTCCACTAGTAAAGAAATCTCCCATTCACCTCGTACGTACCTCTCCTCTCTGTCTGGTGGGGATACACTATTATTACTGGTACGCCGTGGCAAGTTAATCAAGTATATCCCCTCTTTGGTGTCCACCACATATATACTACCCCATTCACCTCTTCTTTTTTCTCGCGCACGTGATCCGACGTGAGATGCCACTACGAGTCTGAGTTCCCTCATAATATATGAACGAACTTTAGCCCTTTTGGAGTAACAATTTTCTAATGTTAAAATAATAATCTACATGTCATAATTTATGCAACTACCCCCCCAAGTCACAACTGACGGGCGAATATGTGATTGAAAGCTTTCTTTTTTGACTTTCTTCAGTTTTCATTGTAGAAAATTGTTTAAATTTTCTTTAGCTTTTCTACTCAGAAACTTTTGAAGTAATAATTACGTAAAAACAGTGTATTATGTTATTCTACTTAGTTTTCTTGAAAAAAAAATTGGAAATTTCGGAACATCAGTTCTAATCATTAAGAAGCAGAAGAAAAACCACATCGATATCACGTATTAGTTCAATTGGATACTTTTTTCCTCAAAAAATTGATATTATTTTATAAGCACCAAAACTATCGCTCGTGATAATTCACTACCAATTTATAATTTCCATGTAAATATATTTTGATGCAAACTAGTATTACCCCTAATCAAATACAATTTTCAAGTTGAAAAAAAAACGTATTTCTGTAGATTTCCTTGTCGTACCTTTCGATCCATGAAAAAGAAAAGAACCCAAGTTTCGCAACGACCTTTCACAATGTAACTATCTAATCTGAAAGGGTAGTTTTAATCGAGGGACGCATTATTCTTACGCATGAAATCATAACGAGAGCACGGAACATTTTCAATGTAGTCAAAGACTCAGTTATCGACTCCCTGAATTTTTATACAACCGTGACGCAATGATGAACTTCCATTTAATTCTTGAAACGCATTACTTACTTTCACTCACTTTTTTTGCTCTTATTCTTCGTCCGACTCTACGGTGAGCCATCGTCCGCGGACTCGAACACCTCTCTGCGTACGTTGCGGTGCACTTTGCACTCGTTTTACCCGCGGGAATGCGAATGCTCGCACACGCACAAACCCACTTATGCGCGCTGCCTCATGTGCATTTGTGTAAATGTCAAAAATTGCGTGTATCTGCTCTCTTTTCTCGCCTTTTTTTTCTCGCTCGATTCCACAAATAAATCCCGGCCACTATGCCGCTTGTAAGCGCCTTCTCGAGCGCCGTGTCATTACGCGTGGGAAGTGTGCGCGGCGTGTGTTGTATACTTTCCGAAAATATATCGCCTTATCGTGGCGACGTTTCTCGACTAAATTTGCACACCAGTTCAAAGCTACATTCGAAAAAAATCTTGATATTGTATACGATATCAGATGCTGCAAGCCAATTGAATGCCAAGTCTATGTAACGAAAGCGTGCCGTTAATGTAATCGCGTACAAAATTTAAATACCCGAGACTTTTAAATGGCCAAACGCATTGAAGCGTGTAAACCGCATTGACTATTACTTTTGTCATTTGTTTCAATGGTCGATTAGCAATTTTGCATTTCCACTTTTCATCTCGTTAGTATACATTGATTTGTCCATAATTCATCCTCCAATCTATTTCGAATGAGATGCGAATTAGCAGCTGAAAATAGATAATTTTTGTTATGAGCTCGATGTCAGTTGAAATGTATTCGAGACGCTATATCTTCCTCCACATTCCCAAGCTTTATACTTGAGACGTTATATTTTTGGTCAACTTTCTAATCTATTTTATAACTCGTAATCGTACATTGGTGTAAAGCATGGTGCGTGAAGAGTTGTATTATGTATTTATGCTACGTTACTTATGGGCTTTAAATGTTCGGACCGGAGCGCGTGCCTTGCTGAATTTACTCGTTTCAACGATAGCAATTATGAGAAAAGAACTCAAGCTAGAAAACGAGTTCTCGTTTTCTCGGCATAGGCCTACATTTTATTACTCTTTCTCTCTAATTAATACATATGTTTTTTTTTATCACTGTTAAGGTAAACTATACGATCAATGCCACGATGCTCTCGTTCAATTCGGTACTTTCCTGGGCTCAACAATGACAGTCGACGAATACGTAGAGCGGCTACCTTCGATTCATTCGATGCTCCGAGATTATCACATACACGCTGATGTGGCTTTCTTCTTGGCCAGGCCGATGTTCGCGCACGCTATCAATGTAAGTTACCCGGGTTTTTACAAATCATATACCATTGTAAAAGCAAACTTGATCATTCTTTTTATATTATCTTCAATCAATCAAATTTATAGATCAAGTACGATACGCTGCGCAAAGCTGATCCGAACTATAAGAAAATGTCAACGTCGATGAAGCAGGCTAAATATGCAGAAGCTGCTCAAGCAGTCATGGCACCTGTAGCTAGCTCCGTTCGCCCTTTGCACTCGATCAAAGTTTGGGAGGACATATCGCCCCAATTTTTAGTGACGTTCTGGTCGCTGTCGATGTATGACCTGTATGTACCAGTAGATAGCTATCAGCGCGAAATCAACAAACTCAAGCAAATGGCTAGTCAAGCGGCAGATTCAAAGGATATGGTATGTTATTTTCGATTTTTGCCGAAGCCCGCCTCCCTTATTTATGCATCGATTTTGTCAAAATTCTAAACCGAATCATTCGTAAAAATTTCGCAGACTGCCAGCAAAGGTAAAAAAGAGCAAGAAAGATATCAGACGATGATCGATAAGCTGCAAGACGAGAAGAAAAAGCAAGAGGAGCACGTGGAAAAAGTTCACGCTTACTTGAGACAAGAGAAAGACACGTGGTTTTTGTCACGGAGCGCAAAGTCTGCCAAAAATGAAACAATCACTCAGTTTTTGCAACTTTGTCTATTTCCACGCTGCACGTTCACCACGGTCGATTCGATGTATTGCGCTAAATTCGTTCACACTATACATTCTTTGAAAACTGCTAACTTTTCCACGCTTCTTTGCTACGACAGAGTGAGTTCATCAAAACTTATTTTCATTGAAGAATCAATACATTATATTTGTTATTAATTTTTGATATTTTCTCTCAGCTCTTTTGTGATATAACATATTCGGTTACATCGTGTACCGAGAACGAAGCCCATCGTTATGGTAGATTCTTGTGTGCCATGCTGGAGACAGTAATGAGATGGCATTCGGAAAAGGCTATATTCGATAAAGTAATTACTATTATTTTGATTTATCTCTGCCTAATTTACTTTCATATAATAAAGTGATTTATTATTTTTTTTTAGGAATGTAGTAATTATCCAGGTTTCGTGACCAAATTTAGAGTGTCTAATCAGTTTTCAGAAGCTAATGACATGGTTGGTTTTGAAAACTACCGACACGTTTGCCACAAATGGCATTATAAAATTACAAAGGTAAATAAGTAATTTCTTTGTATCTTAATGTTCAATTATCGTGTATGAAAATGTGATCCTTTATGTAATCGTCTTATATTTTTCAGGCAATTGTTGTATGTCTTGACTCGAAAGATTATGTACAAATAAGAAATTCTTTGATTATATTAATCAAAATTTTACCTCACTTTCCTGTTTTGGCGAAACTGTCTCAAATTCTCGAGCGCAAAGTCGAGAAAGTGCGGGACGAAGAACGCTCCAAGAGGCAAGATCTTCACGTTTTGGCAACATCTTATTGCGGGCAGCTGAAGGCCAAAGCACCTCAAATGATCAGAGAAACAGACTTCCATCACGTTAATGATAAGGTATTGTTAAAAAAATTAAATTTTGTAAACGTTTTATTCATATACGATTATTTCCACTTTTAGGCAACAAAATCTGCAGAAACAACGAACAACGATTCCAATAATGATAAGGCCGTGAACGGTGTTACTGCTAAAGAGACCAATAATTCCGAATCTCGTACAGAAAAAGAAAGCAAAGAAAAGAAATCAATCAATGTCAAGTTCGTATTAAAGCAATTCTCAAAATCTAATTATGAATAGTCCTAATTTCAAATTAATTAATTCGATATAATTTCAAACATTTTTTGTAGTGACAGTTCTGAGAAGTCGAAAAAAGAAAACAAAGAATCATCAGAAAATAAAGAAAAATACTCAAAGAAAGAAGAGGAAGATGCTTTTGATAAAAAAGATAAAAAGTACAAGGTACCGATTGATTAATAATATTAATGATTCACTTGAAAATCGTTGAAATATTAACTGATTATCTTAAATTTATTAAGGATGATTATCACGCTGCGTCGATAGATAATTTCGATAGAGATCTCTCCAGCGTTTCTAACAGCAGTGCAGGTTCGGGTCAAGATGATAGAGGTAATATTATAAAAATTATTTACGTAAGAGTAAATTAATGATGATAGCTGCTAACCGATCATAAATAATTAATTACAGATCCTAAGCGACGTAAAGTGGAGGTTCCAAAAGTAAGTACTTTCTATTGTACATAATTTATGTATACAATGAAAGAAATAAATATAATTTCTAGTTCCGGTTCTTAGGGATTATAATATAATAATTTACCCTTTTTAGGAAACTAAACGAACGGAAGCTGCAAGTGAAAAAAAGGAGCGCACCTCGGCAAAAAAACAAGCACGTGATGACAAAGAACCACGGAAAGAGAAAAAAGTTGGCAGAAAAAGAGTAAATATTCAATTTTATTATTATTTATTTTTAATAAAAAATTACGTTTTTTGAAATATTTATAACATTTTTTCGTAACAGGACAGGACAGATGAAGTATCGGCCGCAGTTGATCAAAAGCGTCGAAAAGACGATGACCGGGGTTCGTGATTCAAGATATAATTGTTTTTTTTTAGTTTTACAAGATATAGTACTGTTGCATTTGCCATTTCATTTATTCCATGGATTTTTATTTTATTTTTGAGACTTGATTGAGATACGAAAAGAGTCAAAATCTTCTATGATTGTTGGTAAAATTCATTCCTTTCAGCCAAGAGCACGCATCAAAATGGAGATCTCCCAGAGCATAGAGCCGATAAGCATCATTATAACAAGGTTTGTTAAAACTTTTCGGTAAAGAGAAATGTATCCTTCTGATTTAAAGATTATCGCTGGTAAAACAGCGAACATGTTAAATCTTTTATGAATTGTTTGCCTTTATCGATTGTAAATTCTTAATTATACTAATTTAAAAAACTTAAGCTTAATTGATTCATGTACATGTGACCACTTAAACTATGTACCTTTTAAACAACATCTAATTAAATGATAATATATTTTTTTAATTTATATGAAATTAACATTTTTTCTTTCAAAATTAAACCCAATTGCTATTACGAATCATTCATTTAATTGTACTTTAACTTCAAGAACATCTTCCATTGTCTCAATAATTAAATTATTTCGTTATATTCTGGAAAATTTAACAAAATTTGGCAAAATTGTCAGTTCCTATTTTCTCACGTATCACACATTATAGCATGATATGTCATGTACATATGAATTGTTTTTGTTTTTAGGAAAAGTCACCCTACGGCAAGGAACGAGTTCACGAGAGAGATGGCCGTGAGACACGAGAAAAACAATATCCTTTTAAACAAAAATTTTGAATGAATCTTTCATTTGATACCAAAATATATTTTGAAAAACAGAAATTTTTTCCTTAACTAATTGTATACTAGGCGGAGCACCGATCCCAAACGAAGATGATGCATTGATTTCAAAGAAGAAACTTGACTTGCATTTCGTATTTTTACGTTCGAATGTTGTATTTAAATTGGGTATAATTTCATCAAGCAAAAATAAAATAATAAAAACAAAAGTTTTTACAAATTTTGAATATAAAATTTTATATAAGGCTAAAAAATAAATGTTTTTACGTAAACTACGCCATGATGAATGTCTTGTACTTCCTTATTTCTGTCCAAGCGCTTTTCAGTTACACAAAATTGGCTAAGCAAAACTCTCTTCCTGTAACTGGTGAAAAAAAACAATATTTTGTGCTCCCCTTTAGTTAGATTTATTAAATGGAAATTTTCACCTCAAATGCAAAATTTTTCAAACGTTTTCTTGATTTTTTTAAAAATCATTTTTAATTTTTTAGAAAAGATGTAATTTAACAAAAGCATGTTTCAGCTCTCTGATATGTTAAAAAACCGAACAATATTTGTTGCGCATGTATTTCGAACACACAAAATGTGTACAATATACGATGTCCAAAGAATTGGCCAATGGCGGACCCACAATTGCAAACAAGTAGTGCTGTTGTGTTTTCTTGAATTCGTTTTTAAGCTCCTCCCCCTTGCAAAATGCTAATGGAGTCAATCAGTATGCAACCAGATCCTATGACTCTAAACATAGTTCTCATGCAAAAAACTTCTTACTCTAATGAACAATGACTTTAAATATTCAAAATTTATAATTTTCATTACTGATAAGATCTCAAAATTCACTTTCAACTATGATAAGTTGAACGATGATTTACGATAATAGTATAGGAAGGAAGAATGATTTGTTAGAAAGGAGCGTATTCGTATAAAAATTTTATAAATGATAACGAATAAATATCAATTGTGTTTGATTGCTCATCAATTTTATTATCTCTTTCAATAAAAAATTGATAAGTTTACATACTATGTCCGTAACATCGTTCGTAAGCTCATTTTTACAATCAGGCATTGAGGGAACGAATCGAGTTTTGGCTTCGCATGTTTATGAATATAAGAAAGTCGTAACATTTCTCGCATCAGTTCAATACAAATTTAATTGTTATAAAATAACAATATACAAATTAATACATTAAATAATAATGAAATAAAACATAACGCAAAGTAAGTAGCGAATGAGCGTGTTCAGCAGTGTGTATACCGTTATATAAAAACAGTGATAAATGTTATTAAAGTTACTTTTTAATTTGCATTTTTTCTGTGATTTTGATATTTTTTTTTAAAAATCGTAGTTTTTATCACTACGTAAAAACGTTTCAAAAACTAATAAGAGAAAAGGCATCATAGTTAAGTACAAAGTAAAGGATAAGTCAAGACAGAAAAAAATTGTTAATGCCGCTAACATATAGTTATTTTTGGCTTTTCTCTGCGCATAACTTACTGTTTTTTTTTGTTTTTTTTTTTTTTTTTTTAATCGATTACAGCCATTTCCTATTGTTTATATAAATCAAGATTGGCATAATCTCAATTCGAAAAAATTTTTTTTTTAAATTTGAATATTTTTTGCAAATAAACTATAATTAAATGGTAACGAATTATTCGACGTCTTAAATATTAGTTTACATAAAATTTATATCCAATATGCATTGATTTTTGCGCTTTTACAAAAGATATATTTACTTTGTCATTAATGCATATTCTTCGTTCTCTGGAACAGATCCTGGGCGTTCATATTGCTTGAAATTTACTTGGGCTAAACTAGAGTATGACTGCTTGGAACAAAATGTTCGTTTGAATATCCCGCTGATATAGGAGCTATGGCAGCAGTACTGAAAAATTACGCACCACAATTTTTTTTATTATTACTGAACTATTGTTGAATACGAGTCGGCTCCAGTTCTCGTATTTTTTTACGAAAGTTTTGATTTGATGCTCTGATGATAGATGAATCTCATTTTGAATAACGCAAAAAAGTAACGTTTACTAGAGTCGACTAGCTAAATTAATAAATAGCTGGAAATTGGGTGTAATTAAACAACAACTTTGACAAAGGACACTTGGAGTTTTTTAGGAAAATGATTTTTGATGAAAATTAAAATGATTAGAAAGAAGTGCTTAGGTTTATTCAATCTACAAATTAGTATGAAGAATTTTTTTAAATATGTATGATTGATAAAAAGAGACTTGCTCCAATCTCACAAAAAACAATTGTTGAAAAGGATGACATGAAAGAAATAAAAGAGAAAACAAATATTACCCCATGCCAAGAGCCAATATTGTCGCACCCTGAACCAACGTCAAATCATCTAACGGCGACCTAAACCGTGGCAAATTTTTCAAGAAAATATTTCATGTATATTGTAAAAATCCTGATTTTTTTCAAACCATTTTTCCAGTTAATCTCTCTGCTGTTATTGATTATCAAGGCCTTTGGTATTAAATATCCCAAGTCTTACATACATGGTATTAATCTCAATAAAATGGATGCATCTCTAAATAAGTTAAATTAAAAACCACCCCGGCGTATAAATAAAATCTTACGCAGTTAATGAACCAATTAATAGATGGCCATGAGTATATCGTGCAACATTCTTAAAAATTCATTAGTAAAAAATGTTATATCAATTTCTTATCGTTACTTTCATAGGCATGCGTGAATGTTTTTTGAAATAATTACTTTATTATTTTATTCACATAGTCAAGGAGTGGATTTTATTGACTTCCATTTATCTCAATTTATATAAAAATTTTTATTGTCAGTTGCAAACTCTCTCTTGCAATATCAAAATTGAACTTTTTACTGTAGATCCTTTGTAATATATTACACCTATACTTCCTAAGATTACAATAAACCATTATAAAAACAAACTCGTCTTATTTTATTGAATCTCCTTCGATTCATAAATGGATAATTAATATATTTACGTTACTAATTTTTTTCTTCGTTTACAGCCATATAAAATTATTAAAATTGAAAATTTATCATTTTAAATTCTTAGAATATTACTTTTTGATAATGTTAAAATTGACATTTATATTTTCGGTGAGAAATATAATATCCAATCTTATAAAAACTAAGCTTTCTACACGCTGAATTGAGCTTCAACAATATTGCTCTTACGTTATTTTTTTTTAAGGACATTAAAAAATTCTAGTAATGTATAATATTTTCAATACTTAACATCACGTTTTATATTTATTTATTAATATTTCATTCTTGCAGAGAAAAAATTCTTGTATTTTATTTTTTATCACTGCTCTCTCGCGGTACCAAAATTTAGTTACACACAGGAAAGAAATCAATTATCATCATAATCTGAATGTCGAAGTATACTTTCATTGAAAAGGAATGTCTGTAATATAGTTTCAAAAATTTTTCGAAGTGCAATCGTATTGATTTAACAACAGCTGAACATAATTAATATTTTTGATGAACACCAAGTAAAAAAAAAAATTGAGTTTTTGCGTAAGTATCATTTAAAAGTTAAGAAGTTTAATAATCTATAGTTTTTAAAATACTCGACGTATCTCCAATAATTTGACATAAAAAATCTATTCCATCCGAATAATCTTTAAAGAAATCACATTAAAAAAGACTAGACACGGCATAGATATAAAATAATCTGTTATTACGTGATTATAGTCTGCGATTATTCCTAAGCGATTATCACCAATGATCAAAATATGTATTTATATAATAATAAAGATGATTAAATTAAAATTTTTTAAAATAAACTTAATTCACAACTTAATTTGGCCGACAAAAATCTAGATCACTGCACTCCATATCCATTCACGTAAAATCATTTAAAAAAAAAAATTCGTCGTCTCTCAATCACATACACGCGTGCATATTATGGGCGACAGATGCTTGGAGTTGTTGTAATATGTACAAGTGATTGCAGTATACATAATAATGTTTCAAGCTTTTTCGAGCGAGTGATGGATTTCCATAATTCGTGTATGGCGAAAGGAGGTGCTCTAATACCAGGTACCTGCTTGCGAGCCCGTCATAATAGTCGGCGAGTCGAGTTCGGTCTCATCAGCTGCTGTGCCGCCGTTCGGCCAGGCTCGGTGCGTCTCGACGCCCAGCAATGTGTGCTGGTCCTCGTCGAATTGACGCTCGGGAAATGACACGCCATCACCAAAACTGAAAATACCGTTTTCAAGTCCAATTCTGTCACGCTCAACTTATTTTTCTTTTCTCTATGATTTATTATGCTTTGGAATCGAGTGTCCGAACTGATGACGGTAAATACGATTGGATGCGTCTGATTTTTATAACACGACTCACGATGAATTGACAATTGAAAAGAAAGAAAAAATTTATCTAATTTCCATAGTTCGTATTACGAAGATTATGAACCTGACACTTGTATCAGTAACCACATGCACAATACCTCTTCAGATCGAATTTATACACAATGGGTTACGTGTGTACAAGGGAACGACTTCGTGGTATAATTATTCGCTCAAGCAGTGAGACACAAGGGAGATATGACCTTACTAATGATCGAAGATTTAATCTGTCGTGCGTACACGAGCATTATCTCTGGACGATGCTTGATTCAATTTTCCTTACACTGCAGATAGCTCGACACACAGGCTTATGATACTTAATTTTCGTGTCTACTCGTCTAAAGCAGTTAATTTAAAAAGGCTCTTTCGGATTAATCACTAGGATTGCGTAATTTCATTTGTGCTGTTCACTTCGATTTGATTGCCACATTACACATTGAGTATGTTTAATTTTTAATTGACCAAGAATAGTGTGAAATGATAGAGAGTAATGATAGTCACAAACAACTGATAGATAATAATGATATAGAATTAAGACATTAGTGAAGAAAAAAAAATGAAAAAATTGGAGTGGAGTGGAGAAATGGATATGGCAAGGACAGAGATATATTTCATCTCAACATATCGAGAATATAGTGAACAGTTAATCTAAAAAAAGTCAAGCAGATAAAAAAAATAGTGTTTAAACGTGCAATAAACATGCAAAATAAAGAACAGCGGCTTCTTTCTCATTTCTAATTTTATTCTCATGAATTCTAAAAGCATCATTAAAATGATTAATGAATGTTAGCGCAAAAAAGCATGAAAAAAAATTGTCGAAGTCACGTCTCTCATCGGCAATTTTCACTGAGCGAAAAACTTTATTAATTAATGTTTTTGATTAGTATATCACATTATGAAGCGTAACATAACATAACATTTAAACAAACGTAGGGAAAAAATATCGCGAATTTTGAAAATCAAACAAAATACCAAGAGAAAAAAATGAAACGCCGCGTGCAGTTAGTTATTAAGAGTTACTTAAAGAATTCTGCGATGTAGAAAATGCTGACCTGTTTTGAGTATTTCCCATCGAGTCGTACGTATTGGAAGCCCCCTCGACTTGGCGTATCGGAAAGATCCAGCCATTTCCGAGGCTAGAACATAATACAACATTCACAGCAAGAAAACAAAAAGTGACCGGTATGTTCTGCCTATAAAATTTTGCCTACCGATACTTCTGTTTTTTCTTTTCGACGCGATTGCAATTTCAGCAAGAAATGGTAGAAAATTCAAGTAGATAAAAAATGAAGCCATTATAGGAGTAATAATCTTGCCTTTGATCCATAAAATCAATTGCGACTTAGCAATAAAATAGAGTGAAAAATAAAAATTATACTCAAACACTGTACATTAATGTAAACTTAAAAATGTGCATAAAAATTACAATCACAATATACATGTGCATAAATGTACAATACTTGAAAAGCAATGCAACAAAAGGTATCAATTACTGAGAAAAAAAACCAAAATAATCTACTTTCTTTCAAAAATCAAAAATATCTCAACGTCGTAATCCATCAGGTATTGTGCAATTGGTTTCTTTTTTGCTCTTAAAACGTCTTTACAACTATACATTTTTTTTAAAGTAAATAATTCATGTGTTATGTTTACACGTTTATATATATATATATATATATATATATATATATATATTCGCGTATGCGTTCAACGCGGAAGACACGCGACGCGCAACGCATTGAACTAGTAACCCAGATACAAATAACACCTCGTGTGACTGCGTCGTTCTGCGGATAAAGCGAACAACTCATCGATACAAAGCTAAAACATTTTCATTGGCCGAGAGAAAATCCTGCTTGTTTTATATTCTAAAATACTATTCGCGATAAAAAATTGTATTTTTATTTATTACAACGAAGATATGCAAAACTATCTTAAAATAGTTGCGTTCAAACAAAATTGCAGCAATATATATTTAGGTAGCAGAATGAGACACATTAAATGTTTAAGTATCGTACCTCGTATATACTTATACACAAAATAGACTTCACACGAGAGTGTATTTTTAGTAAGACTATGGTACTTTCTTCGGCGCGAAGAAATAATTGCGTTTTTTGATTTTATTTGAATCGTGACATCGATTTACGTCCGCAAATAGGAGTAAAATAAACACTCAGAATTGATTATTTACCTGGTGAAAATTGGCAGGAACCATAAACGTGGAGTATCTCCAAAAACTTCTTGGAAATTATTCAGTTTTCCAAGACTGAAACCATTCCTATCTTTTCCTGAACGGAAAACTGGGTGTCTAAAGGCCTCTGCAATAATTTTTTTTATTTGAATTTAAAAATGAATATTTTACAAATTAATTTTTCATTGAAGATTCAATTTTATCAATAGATTTTTTAATTAACAATTATTACTTACCTAAAGTTGTTCTGTTTTTCAGTGTAAGGAAACAGTGGTAGAAAAAAAGAGAGCTTAAACTAAGGAAAAACATCCCAGCAACAATGAATAAAAAGATTACATGAAATGTTCCAGGCCCCGATTGTTTTACCTGTTGACCAAAAGAATTCTTAATGGAAAATACCAGATTAATCAAAAGCAAAAACCCAACACTAAGCAAATTTAGTACAAGCATTCCTGGATTGTGCAAAGTACTTACTTTGAAGAATATTATAAAATGTTCCAAAGTTGTAAGAGAAATAAATAAGGTGTATAATGTAGCATAGCCCAAAAATAAGATGAAGAATTTGTAATTGTGGAAGCCTACACAATTATTCACCCAGGGACAATGATGGTCCATTTTGAGAACACATTGGCTGCACACACTGCAATGGTGGCATCTGTCAGGTTTAATTATTTTACAATATTCACAAAATCTAATTTCTGGAAAGTTTTTTGTACATTAATTGAGTGAAAAACTTTTAATTGATATCATTTTTTTATTTGCTATAATACCTCCTTTAATGGTTCTTGTTACTACTGGCAAATCTTTAGCATAATCATTTAAAACTTCACTCATAGCGTCATTATTTCCTATTAAAGCTTGCATTCTGTCAAGCGAGTCTTGTTGAAGTATGAACTGAAATAAAAATATTAGTTAGTAACTTCAAAACTAAATGAAATTTATAAATGTTATATGTACCTTTTCTGGAATTTTGATTAAATTTGTTGCTACTGTTTTCCAATAAGACCATATTAATAAAATGAAGAATATGTGGAAAACAATTAGGTAGATGGCTGAAAATAAAAATAATGAAGAGTTATTTTTAGTTTTACATTAATAATTCAATTTTCATAATGAATAGTTCTTACCTTGAGCAACTTTGTTAGAGACCATGTCTGAAATAAAATAAACAAGAGCATTAAATGATTAGTTCATTCAACTAAATAAAATATTAAAAAAAAAAAACAAGCATTTTTTGTGAAAAATCTAATTTTAAAACAATGGATACTTTGTTTTTATGGCTTGTACTAAAAGCATCACCACTGGATATTTCGTATAAATATTTGAAAATAAACTTTAATGCATGTTTAACACTTTAAATAGATAGACTCTTATTTATACAATAAATTTCAGAAAATTTAGTACAAAAAAGTTTAGTCATGAAGCAATATAGCATAGCACTTTAAAATATTTTATCACAAAAACTTGTTCCATTAAAATGTAGATATTTTTATTTTAGGTGATCATTTTATGTTGACCTTATTTCTTTCAACTCAAAATCACATGTTTAGGCCATAAGCAAAGTGTAATTGTATCATCAATCGATCAGAAAAATAATCATATCAGTGACACATACTGGCAATACTACGTAAAGAAAAACAATAAAACTCACTCATGCAAAATGGTACGACGAAAGCGTAATACGACCAGGCCGTGATAGTCAGGATGAAGAGCACTGGGAACCATTTGCATATCCTTATGCATTGCCAGCAAAAGTCGCGCTTTTCCGTGTCCATGTTGTTGGTACGCTGCCTCATGGCACGCGGCATGTGCGCCCTGATATACTTGGATAATCCCGGTCGGGTCGTCGACGAGCCCGATGACGTATCGCTAATACTATCCTCTGATAGTCGAGTAACCGCTGCGGACGACGACGATGTACCTGGTGGACGACGATCCTGTGGCGCCGTGCGCCATTGGGACGTTGACGAGCCTCCTCTTCCTCCGTCGCGTACAGTCTGCACTTCGTCGGCCGACGACGTGGAAATTCGCGAGGAAAACGACACGCTCGGTGCCTCCTTCAGCTTCGATATTTTATTCTATAATATTATCGCTGAGCGAGAGATTGATGCCTTATCGATAGCGGATTTTTTTTCCTCTTCTCCTTTCGCGCACAAGCACTCGGAGCTGCTCCCTTGGTATGTGCGGCGCGCAACGAGAACGAGTTTGACGCGTAATGTATATAATATAATAATTATTATAAAGTCGTGTCGAGCGGTTGTAATTGAGAGAGGGATATTCTCACATATATACGCAGCACCGATTACTTACGCACTCGCACACAACACCGTGGATATGATCTCCGTGCGTACATGTAAAGAGACGTTTTGTACGCGCCAGTACGTACGTCAAGCGCGGACTTGTTTTGATGATATGTTTAATATTATTCGCAATCGCCTGCTACGGACACTCAATTATTATGAGGGATGCGTATGCTATATTGTGTGAATATGAGCGATCGAGCGAGGTGCGGCCTTTGACGACTCGGCCACGACACTGCAGACGCGACGGCTAACTCCAGCGAAGATTTGCCACGCGTGAATCGTATACACAATTATATATAGCAGCAGAGATTTTGCGGAATAATAATTCCCTGCAAACACCACGCACGACGACGACGATTATGGCGACTTTGGGTCTGTGTGTTGTCATACTTAGGTTAGGATGTCTGCAAAACACAAGGCGATAACATAGATCTCTATGTTGCTCCGAAATTTGGCAACTTTTGAAAAGCGCGCGCACTTCGGTGTTTGTTTTGAATGTCATTGCCGTTCAAATATTTACTTTTCGGGTTGAGGGATACAGAATGACTAAAATGCTCTATTGTATACTTTTTCCGTTCTTAAATTTATTATAATAAATATTTCTTATTTATTTCCTCCCTTGTATAAACATATCGGATCAGCATCTCATTTAACAATTGAAATCTATGTACAAGTTAACAAAAGTATAAAATTTCTTTAAAACATGAACCCAAGGCGCTGTATCCATTTGAGGCCTGTCTCGGTAGTCGTTTTCGGCTTGTATTCAAGACCTATGTAATCTTTGTAATCGTGCTCTTCCAACAGCCGGAATACATAAGCGTAATCTATTTCTCCTTTGGTGTCGGGTTCTCCTCTGTGTGGTACCTGAGCTACTTGGACGTGTCCTGAAAAAATTACGAGGTGTGAGTAAAGAAAAAAGATTGGTTTTTCCGGAAATATCTCCAAAAGAACAAATAATCTATTCCGAACCGGAAGTACACATGTTTTGTTTCTTCTTACGGTGCATTTTTATGGCGAAAGTACGTCGAAATAATGCTTCTCACGCTGCGGTAACGTAAGACGATCATTTTATTCTTTTTGGGACATTTGGGATTTGATTCTTAATCTGGTTAATAAAAATAAATCTTACCAATATATGGACGGAGTTTCTCTATTGAATTAGTTATCCGGCCTTGTATTTGCTGAAGATGGAAAACATCAAGAAGTAGTCTAAGATTTGGACTATTTATTTTTGTTATTACTTCAATGGCTGAAATTTAATGAATAAATTTTTTTTAATCTCTTTCTACCTAGTTAAAATTTTTATTCAATTAAAATCGTTTACCTCTCTCATAGGAGTTTAAATAATAGCCTGGCACTGTAATAGGATTGATAGGTTCAATAAGACCTATAATATCTTCAGATGCAAATTTTTCTACAGCATATCTTAAATTGTTTTCATAAGCAGTGTGATTTTCCTGAGTTGGATTATCTACTTTTCCAGCCATAACATGGATTCTAAAAAAATTATAATATATGTTATATGATTTTATTGAAAATTAAATAAGAACATTCAATGTACATTTTATGTACTCACTTTTTACATTTCAATGCCTTAGCATAGTTTATAGTTGTTTCAATACTTTTTTTGAAGTCTTCCTCCTTTCCCGGAATGGCAGCAAAACCAAGCTCTCCTTTCGAAGTATCTCCTGAGGATTTTGAATGAAAATATCAGTAAATGATGATCAAATTAAAGTTTTTTGTTTCATTTTTTAAAGAGAAGTTACCTGTAAAAACATTTATGAGCACTTGATCGACTCCCGCTTCTTCTTTAGCTCTCACCACTTGCTCGACGCTGAATCCCAGAGGGAATCCCGACTCGACGGCCACGAAGCCGGCTTCTTTCGCGAGGGCATATCTGCCGAGAAAGTTTTCCTCCTCTTGAAACAGGAAGGACAGATTGCAGGCGAATTCGTGCGACATTCTCAGGCGTTTCTGTAAGCAAAATCGACGTGTTTTCTTTAACAAACTGTGCGCGTGACAACAACTTTGAAACTGTGCGAAGCTGTTGGCATGAATATACGAGCGAGTCGACTACTCGTAAAATAGCGAGAACTTATCGCTCGCGTCTCTTATCGAACGCAATCTCTGGGCTTATCTATACGATGCGAGATACACTCGAAAACATAGCGAGATCACGTAAACGCCGTTATAAAGTGCGCTAAACTACGATGGGTCGATTTTGAAATCGTCCACCGTGAAGTAAACAACAACCATACAATACAAATCTTGTAAAATTGCAGTGTCACCTCTGGCATAAATTACATTATACGAATGTAAATTCGCGCACTATATTCTATCTCCGTCTCTCTGGCTCTCTCACCGGTCGACCGTAATCCTCCTCGGACCACTCGATGCCCAATTTGGCCTCCTCGCGTATCCTCTTGATCGTCCTCTCGGAGACGCGCGTGTACAGGGCGGCTCGCCTCGTGGCCTGCCTCAGCGGACAGATGAGGCACTTCTGCTTGGCCTCCTGGTCGCAGGCGTCCACGATGCAGTGTATGAGCTCGCGTTCTTTGCTGCGAATCGTCGTGCCTTTCTGCCTGCATCGCATGTGTCGCCTCTCCACGTAGGGGCTCGCGTCCTCGTCGCTGTCCGACAGGTTGTACATCTCCTTGAGCTTCTCCACGTCCTGTTCGGCCTCCTCCTCCTCCGTCAGTGGCCTCTTGGCCTGCTTATTGCTCGCTGATCTTGTTCTCGGCATCGTTATTTTATGTTCACTTTTATGCGAATTATGACACTCGCCCGCGTGCGTTTGTGTATATTATTATTTTGCTCGGTATAGATCCTACCAACGTGCAGCAGACGACTGCCGCCTTGTCTTTATTGTTGCTCTAGTTTTAGGTTATGTACGAGCGCGAGCGAACGAACGCGTATGCAAAATAAATACGCACTGTGCAGCTAGCAGTATTTGTTATTTTGATTAACTACCTTGCTGTTAAGCTCGATCGACTCATCGAATAGGTGGTTGGAGCGGTGTGCGAAGAATCGCCTGTAATGTAAACAACGCCGCCGCAGTAGGTGGGCCACAGCAGTTGTCTTCGAACGTCGCACAGTGTCGGCTATAATAAAATTAGCGAACCGACCACACGCGAAGAAGAGCATAATCGGGCGTGTCGTCCCTTTCCACTCAGACTCGACTGCGTGCGTATGTACATTTTCTTTGAGAGAAGAGAGGAGAGAAGGATTGCACAATTAAGGAGGCTCTTTCGATTTTGTCAAAGATGAGAGAATTTGATGTAATTGATATCATCGATTCCTTAGAGCATCACAATTATGTAGAAAAAAAAAAAATTGGGGGTCGGCGAACTAACTTCCGAGAAAACTGCAGTCGAAAATGCTCATTTTAACATGCAGTCTTATGGGAGGCTATCTTTTTTTGTTAATAACTTTTTTCAATGATGAGAGACTTTGATAAAAGTTATATTTTCTGAAAGGGAATTTAATAATGTTTAAAATGAAATGATAAAAAATATAGGTTGGCGAACGTTCTGAAGAAATATAACGTGATAACCGTTGAATTCCTCGATGTGATCCGAAAGACGACGCAACGCAAAGGAGCGCGAAATTCAAATTCGAATAAAAATAAAAATTTTAAATTAAATAAAAAACGGGGCAATTCTGAGAAAGAAATCTTTTATTATTAAAATATGAATTGAACATTTTATAAAAAAAATCAACTAAATCTATTTCTCAATGGGAAATAAACTTAAAATCAGATGTCTGCTCGAGAAAGGCCTAGCCGTACGGCACATGCGCATTACGTTGCGTTCTGCACCATGCGTAAGCTACAGCGCGTTCGACTGTACAAAAACCGGTACCGAAAGAGCCTCCTTAACTTGGATGTGTCAGACAGCAGCGATCGTACGCGGTGCCGATTATCCGTACTGCACTCGACGCACGTGTGCACGATTGATAGAGATTCGTAAAGGCGCGACTCGAGAGCAAAAGCTTTTATAAACCGCAAGCACTCATATTTATTTATTACAAGCATGGTAAAATACGTACCATTTCTGTTTCAGACATCGGGCTGCTACTGATTGTCATCTGTCCTTGACTCGACTGTCAATATCGGCGCTCTGCACATGAAATTAAAATTAGAAAAATTAGAAATAGAAATTAAATTGAATCGCAGAGTAATTATTATTGTTTAAAACCCAAAGCGACTTTGTTAAATGATATTTTAAGTATAAGAAAATCCTACGGAAATATCAAAAATTATCGAAAATATTAATTTTAAAGATTTATTTAAAAAATTTGTTCAAACAATTTTTGGCTCGTTTTTGCTTGAAAACGTGCAAACTCGGGTTCGAAACATTCAAATTCGTTTTCAGAAAAATCGAAAGTGAAATTAGAAAATACTTTCTTTCTTCGTCTGTCAATCTTTTCTCTTGACTTGAGTGTACTTCTTTGAATTCAAATCCATTTTACTAATAGCTCAGACGGCTACTATATATAATATACTATAATCGTATGCGGTCAAGATGTGTCGAGGCCCCAAGTGTTTACCACATTTTTCACGCCTCTCATGCCATCGTACGACACATTAAAAACACGTGTGATTCGCAAACCTCGAATGAAAGGAAATCTCGGTAAACCATATCCGACAGAGATTTTCAGAAGCAAGTTCATTTCCACTTGACCTGGGGGAAATGATTCTGGTTTATAGGATCGTTTGCACAGCTTGCGCTAACCGAGCTCGACTTATCTTTTCACCCACTTGTCCAAATGTACAACTCGCATCGAATGATTGATTTTTAAGAAAAAAACTCGGGTCAGGAATTCATAAGAATACAAGAGTTAACTGATGCAAGATTATGTGAAAGTATGTCAGAATTCATCTATGATTTGTACCACTCGATCAACCTCATTAGAATGAATTATATTTGAACGTGACGAGATGAATGAGAAACTTTTTCTTGGTGTATGTATTCCTCATATTTATCCGTAACTTTAATTGCTGTATGCCTGTTTAATGTCATCTTAAACGACGCCCCCTTCTTTTTTCGGTCAATCTTAATGGGATGCCTTCATCAACTTTCATGCTTCTATGCGGAGGCGGGCAGCTGGCCTGTCTTTTTAGAATTTTCCCGGTGGGACGTTTTAAATTCGAAAGCCTAATTGAACAGTACTTCTGGGATGCATTGAAAAAAACAATGGACGGTCAGGGCATTCATGTGTGGCTAAGCCTCAAGACTCGACAAAACATTTTTACATAATTTTGAAAATAAATTCTTAAAATTGATGTTTTTATAACGCGACAAAATTTTAACAAAATAAATGAGATAATTCTAAATAAAAAAATGTTTCTCTTTCTGATTCTGTTAAGTTCATAGATATGAGGATACATAACAATTTTATTACTTTGAAAAATTATCAATCGAAATTATCAATAATGATCAACAATTGGTAAACAGAAAAAGTGATTAGAAAAATCGTTCTAATAACAGCGAAGCTAGAACTTGAACTAATTAAATTATTTCCAATTGTTGCTTCTTCAACGGATCTATAAACAAAATGAGAAACAAAAAATTGTCGCTGAGTTCGCGCGTCAAAGATATATGGCTAAAACTGCGTCTAGTACACAGCTCTTCTTATACGGGGCAATTTATTGGATCGTCGAAGCTTTTATCGAGCCATTATACTCATTCGCGTGTAAATAAATAAAATTTATATATCGCGTCGTCTCTTTGAAGTCATGGATTAATTTTTGTTTTTTCATAAATTCTGCCTGCGATGAAAATCTGAGCCACTGGCCGCGATACGATCGCCAAGACACATAACAAAAATCTACATTTTATTATTATTAATGTCTCTTTAACGCGACGCTAAGCTCGGAACGCTCGGCCGATTTTTCTAGAAAGAAACAATTTGACGCTTCGATGGAAATACATAATATATGTACTCGCTTAGGTTTAAAAAACGATCATTTGAAAGGAGTAAAAAATAAAAAACGTCGTTGCAGCGTAATATAATATTTCATTACCAGTTTGACCTTGAATCTCTTCGTCTAAAACGAGTTCGAGCGAAGAAAAGAGAGAGAGAGAGAGAGAGAGAGAAAGAGTCGACGGTATGCGCACCACGTGCAATTGGCGGACGAGTGCTAAAAGTTGATTATCCTATCGAGCAAGACTCGAGTTGTATACATGCCGGAAAGCAGCTGAGAGCGAGTGCGCGTCAGTCACAAGCTCGGCTCATGTACATTATACATATAGCTCCTATATAAACATACAAATGCTGTTTCACTGATCGATGAAGTCACCCAAGCGCATAGTGAGCTTCGAATGGCTTTGCGATCGAACAGAATGGCTTATATACTTCTCGCAGATATGAAAGGAGAAAAACGATCAAGTACATGTGGTGGTCACTTTTTTCATTTATCGGGAAGTAATGGCCAGTACAATATATGTATATGAAATAAGAGGAAGAGGAAATCGCGGCAGTACACTAGCGTAAGATCTTTGGCTCTAAGCGTATCGTTATAATAAGCTCGTGTACAGGCTTAAAAATGATTCGCGCGCAAAATGAGCACGTATCGTACGACACGCGGTAAGTAGTAAGTACATAAGTGTGCAGTTGCACACGCGTATTTATCTGCATGACCATTACATAGACAAAGCAGGCCGCGATCGCGAGCTTACGTGTCAACGAACTACCGCGACTATATAGCATCATAGCTGATGCACTATATACGAGAGCGCACAACGCATACGAACAGACGCTATATACACTATAGCACATGATAGGTATGTGTGTGTACGCGGAAAATATTTCGATCTGTTTAGCTAGTGGTAGCCGTTGCTTATCAAGCAAAGATCGAATACTTTACATCGCCGACTATTGCCAGAAGAAAGAGAGATAGAGAGAAAAATCATTGGTTTCGTCGTTGTGACGAACGAGCCGTCATCGTTTAACGATTGCATGATCGATTTGAATAATAACATAGCAATACGATTATATAATAATAGTATATAATGTTATACAAGTCACCGATAGATGGCGAACACATCAAAACGTGACTCCCATAAACGATTTAATAAAGTTTACCTATAAAAGTACAAGGTACGATTCCATTACATGTATTTACGCATTGGTAGTACGTATATTTTCCGGCAACGAATGCAAGCTCCGAGAGATTACTAATATATTTGATTGCAAGCGAAACTTGAAACATTTTTCAACTCTTCGTGGTCAAAGCTCGTGTTTTCCTACCCTTTGATTATAATAAAAATTTCATTTTACGAACAAAAATTTAAAAATACCGCATGCAACTAGTGCAACTTGAATGACAATTCACCTAGAAATTATTTGCACCCGTGTTGCGTAATGTAATAATTTTTTGAGCGTCCGGGGGAGAAAAAACTTAACATCTTCTAAAATATTTTGTATTTTCAATAATATTATCTAATAAAAGTAATCGAATACTTGACTGATTTAAAACAAATTATTCATTTGATTTTCGATATAACTTTTTCATTGAAAATGTTGCTAGCACTCAAACAATCAAATTTTTCTTTTATTACAAGAAAATTAAGTTTACAATTTACTCTTTACTAAGTTATTCAATAAGCTGATGTAATAACTCTCATTTAATGGCGTAATTTTACTGAATCGATAAAATCTCCATTATTTCGATTGAATTGAATTTTTTCTCAGTCGTATTGAAAAAAGCTCCTTTCGCGCGAATCATTGCTAAAATATAAATTATAAAATACAGTAGCATCGTGGACCCTAAAAAAGCACGAGCTTCGCTAACAAGAGATCGCAGCTGAGTTTGAAACTTGAATTTTCGCGATTGCACTCGCGGCTCTCTCGACTCGGCTACAATAATATAATAATATATATATAGTAAAAGCGCGAATATCGATCGGGTTAGTTTCCGCTCTCGCCTATATATTCCTCTCTCTCTCTCTTTCTCTCTTTGATTTTCAACAACGCCTGCGCACACTGGCAGCAAGCATACATTGCGCGAACGAGCGTGTCCAGCGTATAACGTGCGAGTATGTGTGTGTCTGTGGATATATAGATATATACGCGCGAGACTTGCTAACTCGACTGCTGCTGCTATTGCAAATAAAGCCCAGCGTTGGCTTGGTAAGCGACAGACAGTCGGAAGCTTCCACACGAGACAGATGGACGTGCTCGGCGCCTTGGCACCAGTAGAAGCAGCAGCAGCAGCGTCAGTACCACCGAGCCAATCAATCATTATCATCGTCGCGTCGAGTCCTTTGTGCGAGTGCAAAAGTAGTTTGAGCAGCGACAGCAGATAATCGCGCACATAGACGTATCCGCGTCTACATGGAGCAAGACGTCACCGCTGTTGTCGCCCGCGCCGCCACCACCCCTTATGCTCGTAGTAGCCGTGGCTGTCACTGTAGTTCCTACGAGCCCTTGGAATTGGGTCTCTGTGTTAAAAGCTCAGAGCCGCCAACCACAGCAGCAGCAGCAGCGCTCACAGCTGATATTATAGAGGGGGACTGCTGCTTTGCGCTTCCTTATCAGCTGCTCAACGCGACGACTGCAAGCTCGACTCGCATCAGCAGCAGCAGCAACTCGAGTCAGCTTCGTATGTACAATAATAAATAACACAAACAAGACGATAGACGTAGAGTAATCGTGCGCGTTGCTTCTTCACTTTTTTTTTCCTTAAAAGTTTATGCAACGAGCTACAGTAAATGCCCGCTCGACTTTTATGAAGATGATGAAATACGCCGTTGTTTTTACGCGCTGCGCGCCTCAAAGCTCGCGTACACCAGACACACGCGAGTATTATAACAAGTATAGCCGAAGCTCATCGTTTTCATTGTTTCGCGCGTATACGCGAACGTTCGACAATATACTTAGGCTCGCTCGAAAACATGCGATGTAACAATGATGATGGTTGTGTGCACGCGACATCGTGGCCTCTTGTCCAAATTAAGCTCGAGTTCGTTCTTCAGGATAAACGTTCATTATTGCGCGAGCGGCCGATCAGTACCTACGTATATCTAACATAGCATATAACAGACCAGTCATCGATCGCCAGTAAGTCTCTCTGTTATACATACGTACAGCAGCAGTCTGAGTATGTGCATAATACATACAGACGTACACACACACTCGCAGCAGCCGAGGCATATGATGCACATTGACGTACGTACAGCTTGGAAATTTGCATTTGCAGTATCGGTCGTCGTGCGTCTGCTCGTCGCGGTCCAAGTCACGCGCCTCTGTGCTGCTGCTGCTGCTGCTGCTGCTGCTGCTGCTGCTGCTGCAGCTCTAGTGCCAGCTCTTGCTCGCGTGCGCGACTCGTGCAATTGACGAAAAACACACGTTATGCATTATGATGATGATTGACGCTCGTCTATTCGCTGGGATTTCAAGGTTTTATCCGAAAACTACTCATCGCGATGTACGGTACAATATTCGCTTACGAATGTTACGAATTGCCCACGAGATGTCCTAACGCGCTGTATAATATAATGCACACACACACACACACACACACACACACACGCATATTAAGCTAGACCTGCGCCGCGCTGAAATTTCTTTGCGCGCGGGCATGCATTACTCATCTTTTGTCATGGAGATGCAGTCATATTTTACGCGCGAGACAAAAAGTTCCGCGAGTGCGGAGTGCGTCACGTAATATGTAGCACGCGCACACGACGATACTTTACGATACGTAAGACCAGCTGAGGCTGATACAGCTTTCGTTGCAACAAAAAAGAATCGCTGCCTAAACACGATGTATACGTATCTATGTGCGACGAGTGGGATAAGACACGTGTGATTAAATCGGTCGCACGTGTTGCCGAACGTCTAATACGTATAATACGAAAAATTTTGCACATTGTTGCGTCAAGCGCGCGTGCTTCATATATTTATGTATCATTGTTGAAAATATTTAGTTTAACGTTAATCTAATAGTGGAGGAAGTTTTTTTTTCCTTCGCGTAGACATAAACTCAAATTCATGTAAAAGCATTGAAATTAATCTGATGTGATTTAAATTCAAAGACATCGTAACGCAGAATTAAATGTAATTCTTTGAATTCGTATAAATTTTCATGTAGGTTTTTTCAATTTTTTACATTTCTAGTGTGAAAAGTTAGGATATCAAAATAATAATATTATATAACAATTTTTTCTATACCCGGCGTTGACTTATATATTATCACTTTTTACTTTACCGCTTGTAGATTTACACATAAAAGGTACTCGCCATCTGGTGGTAAAATATGATAACAAATCAACCAGTACTGATTCATTAATTATCAACGAAGATTTCATTTTTAAATACCTCGCATCAAATTCAGTATCAGTTACTTTAACTTTAATGTCTGATTTAAAATTTTTTCAACTGTGTATCGATATTTAATTCAATATATCGCCGTTGCTTACGAGTAAAAACACAGTGAAAAACGCTACGAAAAAAAACATACTGATAAAATGCCCCGAAAAAAAACACAGCTCATTGAATGCTGTGAAAAAAAACACACCTCATCGGAGCGCCACGAAAAAAAACACAGCTCATTGAATGCTGTGAAAAAAACACACCTCATCGGAGCGCCACGGAAAAAACACACCTCATTGGATACCGTGAAAAAAAACACACCTCATTGGATGCCGCGAAAAAAACACAGCAGAATAAAAACGCAACAAATTTCGATTCGGTGTGTTTTTTTTTCGCGGCATCCAGTGAGCTGTGTTTTTTTTCGCGGCATCCATTGTGCTGTGTTTTTTTTCATGGTATTCTATGAGGTGTGTTTTTTTTCGCAGCGCTCCGATGAGGTGTGCTTTTTTTCGCATCGCTCCGATGAGGTGTGCTTTTTTCGCAGCGTTCCGAAGAGGTGTGTTTTTTTTCATGGTATCCAAAGAGGTGTGTTTTTTTTCACGGCGCTTCGATAATGTGTGTTTTTACTCGTAAGCAACGGCGATATAGTCATATTCAGATCGTGTAAATTTTTGGACGTGACAGGCGTGAAAGATTATGCATTATAATTGCACCAATATACGATCGAAAAGATAATCCAATCAACTGCACAAAATAATTCTCTTTTCGTAACAATTTTTCGAAGAATCTGTCAAACGCTCGTTACAAATTTATCACGTACATCGTATTATACGTTTTAGTGAAATCGTATCTGCTGCACTACGTCATGCATTCACGCATCCAAGTCCATTATATGGGCGCGAGATTAGACAAGCGATTATCATAATACCAGATATTAGCTCGAGCGCGAGCGAAAGTCTTTCACTCGAAATTCCACTCATAATTGCACAGTGTACGAATGTGACTTTTCTTTCTCGCTCCCCAGATTTTAGTGGCCAATCCAGAGAAGGTGTCATCGATTGCTGATCAGCAGCAGTAGCAAATTATACGCACGATAGAAGCATCACTCTTGCAACAGGTAATTGAACTTTGACCGTGAATTCGTCGTCTCTGTGTCAAAATCGTGTGTGTGTACTGTTCATCAAGTGACTCGTCTTATTTGCTATTTTCAGATAAATCGATCATTGTCCTACTGACATCGGCAGAAAAAGGCGGATGTAACCAGAAAATTAACAAGTCGCAACCGATTCTGTTACAAAATATACATTATATTATATATTCATTATATATTATAAGCGGCGCATCACCAAGATTACCGCAGCCACTAACATACACACAATATCGCACATAATACATAGATCGATATCAGCTATACGTGTGTTTGCAACGCTGCCTCATCAGGGCACAAAAGCCAGCGATCCAATGTATCCGGGTTCTCGCGCCGGAGCCCTCGCGAGCAGCGACGAAGAAAAAGAAGACAGTTGCAACAGTTTCGGTGCCGCGAAGTCGTCGTGTAGTGGTAGTGTCAATAAACAGTCTCCGACGTTGCTAGCAGCAGCATGTCGTTGCCGCGCGAGTGGAGTCTGCATCACAATCCGCAGCAGGAGCTGCTCTATTACGGCCGATCGTCGGTGCCCAGCTGTCACGCTCACGCGGGTTACACCGGTGGTGTCGCCGCGATGGCCGGCTTGCCGCTCAACGGGGACCAGCCGCTCATCGTCACCGCGTCGTCCCAGGAGATGGTGTCGACGCAGCAGCAGCAGCAGGCGCACGTCATCGACGAGAACATGAATCAGCAGCACGCCAATCTGCTGGGCTCGCTGTTTTCCATACACTCGGCGCCGGTCTTCGACGTGTCCAACGGAGCCGACGACGCGGCCGTGAGGTACGTCAACGTCCGAGTCAACGTCCTCTCCTTTTTTCCGCGCGTATACTCGCGACATTAACGATAATAATTGCAGGCCAGCATCGCTGGTGGTGCAAGCCACGGCCACGTCGACTCCTCTGGTCCCGCCGCACATCAGCCCGCCCGACACCATCGAGGACGAGGACAACGACAATCTGCTGACGATATCCTCGCTGACGGCTCGGCCGCTCATCGCCAAGTCGCGCGAGCTCAGCAGCAACAAGCGCAAACAGACGGCCAACAGCAGCCAGCAGAGGAAGGCCCAGAAGAAGCGCAAGCGGCTCGAGGACAAGCGTCGCGAGCGACACAGGCTCGAGCGCAAGCTGCACCTGGTGGAGCCGCTCGACGGCGGCTACGGCTGGGTCGTCGTGTTCGGCGCCTTCTTCGTGCAGTTCTGGGTGGCGGGCCTCGTCAAGTCCTACGGCGTCCTCTACGTCGAGGTCATGGAGATGTTCAGCGACTCGTCGGCCACCGTCGCGTCCTGGATACCGGCCATACTCTCGGCCCTCTGCTTGGCTCTAGGTCGGTGATACGCACTTTTTTTACCCCCTGACGCATATGAAATCCACATACAAAATCGATTTATGTGCAAAATTGATCCAGTGCGCTTTGCCTCCGCGACGGAATATAACGATGTTTACTTATTTTCAAAATCAATATTTAACGCGCGGCAATCAAAGCTCCGGAGCGGTGACGGCGCGCAATTTGAGAAATCGATCGATCGTGCACAGCCAGGCGCGCGCGTACACAAACAGCTGCACTGATTTTCAATTTGAATCGCCCCCGCCCGATAAAAATATATAGTATCGGAGATCCGCGTCGCTGACGCTTGGGCTTACTTTACCCCGTTCAAGGTCGTTGAGCCATTATGCTTCGAGGCCTGCAGTGCACATCGTGCACGCCTGTGCAGACCTGGGTGCGTGTTTAGTGCACACAGTGCGATGATATGGGTATGCGCACGCGGACAGTCGTAAAAAAGCACAATGCATCGTGCCTGTTCCATCGATATATCTATTCGCTTCTTTTTTTAATTTTTCCAAGTAAAGCTCGTTAACGGGCGTTGGGTGTAAACGAGTAAATTTTCGAAAAAATTTTTTTATTGCAATTTTATTTTATTACACCGATACAATCGAACAGCAAAAAGTTTTTTGAATCAAATAACTGAAAATCGTTAAAGCGATCCACGTACTTAGAAAAGATTTTTTAACAAAAGTCAATACGTTTAATTGAGGAAAGCTGGTGTAAAATCGACAATTTTCAATAATTTTAGTTGAAATTTTAGCGGAAATTTTAACATTATTTTGTCTGCTAATTTTTAAATAAATCTTCTGAAAAATTAAACTAAATTTTATGGCCAAATTGTATTACATGATCGACGCACCGTATCGATGTGGGTATTACGACTATTTCTTCGTCTGAATGTTTTTTCAGAAATATCGCCTCGTCTCTTTTTCAAGTGAATTGTAAGACTACTCTTTTTGTGCAAATGATTTTCAGTATTTATCATTTACACGAGGGACATTGCTATGCTTCGCATTCGTGTGAAATTTAAAATTGCGTTTACTGCCGAATGTCTTTCCACACGTACCGCATGCAATTGTGACACCATTGTGCATCGTATCTATGTGGGTTTTGAGATAACATCTTTGTACAAATTTTTTTCCGCAAATATCGCATGTATATTTGACACCATTATGCACCGAATCGATGTGCGTTTTGAGATTATTCTTAGTTGAGCTTTCCTTTCCGCAAATATCACAAGCGTGAGTAACACCATTGTGCACCGCATTGATGTGGATTTTTAAATAAGTTTTGTCTGAGAATTTTCTTCCGCATACATCACATTTATGTCTAACACCATTATGCACCGAATCGATGTGTCTTTTGAGATGTCCTTTTTGTGAAAATTTCTTGCTACAAATATCACATGTGTGTTTGATTCCATTATGCAGTGATTGAACGTGCCTATCTAGACTACTCATACATGAGAACTTCTTTTCGCATATTCGACATGGATGGGTTGTATCATTTTGCACTGTACCGATGAGAGTTTTTTCATGTTCGTTGTTAATTTTTTTGTCAATTCTTCTCTCTTTATTTGTTTCACCAATTTCACGATCAAAATTCAAATTCGAGTCTTCTGCAGTGTCACCAACCAATTCCTGCTTCACTTCACTCGCGGTTTCTATTTTGATACTGTTGTAAATTTCAGATCTACCACTATCTTTCATAATCTGCAAGTGATATTGAAAATCATCGTCAATTTTTCCAACTACCAACAAATCTACATTTGGCTTTACATTATCACATTCAAACACTATTTCCATTTTCTCATCGAGTTCACTTTCAAGTGTAATGTCACATTTTCCAAGGGACTGTCGAAAAATTAATTCTGTATGTGAATTTTCGTAGAAAAACTACTAGAATACCAGTTACTGAAATTATCAAAATACTTACCGAATTTTCTCGCGAAAATGGCAAGAGTAGGAAGTTTTTAAGATCGGGTTTCTTATCAATCATATCATGATCATTTTCAATAATCGACTCATCACTGGGCTCCTCTTTCACTCTGAAATAACCTCAATAAGATCAAATATTTTGTTATGATATTTTTATAATTTAATTTTCCGAAAGTGAAAATAACCTTGCAGCACAATTAAGTATATCGCTGAATTCCATCATTCCCACATTGAATTTCGTTAAAAATCAATCTACACGGGCTATATGGCGAAGAACACAGAGGGCTCGTTCTATTGTTCGCGTCGCGTGAGGCAGATATGACCTGTCCTGTCTGTGTGTTGACCAGCACGCGGTGTTCTGCCGCTAAGCAGTAAGCACTAAGCACTAAGCTGCGAACGAATAGAAGCAAAAATAATTCATCATCATTATATCATTAAAACTCGACCTTTCTTATCAATAATACACTTTTCCGAAAGAAGAAAACATTAAAAAATGAATCTACGGTGTGTAAAATGCACTGAGAAAGAGTAAAGTAGTCTTATTATAAACTAAGAAAAAAGTTTTGAACTTTTTTAGATACTTCCAAGTTCATTTTTTATCGAGATAGAAAATGCATTAAACTGTCGCGCGCTTCCAGTTTGCCAACTGTAGGTACACGAGCGCATACGTTTTGCTCGATACTAAAAGTTCCATTTTTATGATGTCACAAATTGATAGCATTTTTTATCCAACTCCGAAATAGTACACTACGTAATGGGGGTGGGAACTCGCTATGATCGGGCTGAAAAGTGAAACTCGTGCAAGATAAACAAACGCCGTTTTCCGAATGTGTACACTGTACATTCGAACTTCGCACCACGATTGGATTTTACTTAGTGTGTTAAATAATTTACTGGTTATAACGTGTTGCGAGTACAGCTTGTTTACGAAAAGCGCTATTAAACGCGACGTGACTCTCTTTTATTGATAACTCGAGTATCAGTGAAACAATTTGCTTCTAGCGGCGTACTGTATTCTAGGGAGGAATTTATAACACATTTGTCGACAACATCTATTCTAGAAAACGGATTTTAACTTTTAAAAATTCAGTATTTTTGTTTCATTGCAAGGAACAAAAAAGGATGGGTATAAAATTTTGTGTATTAAATATTTAGCGAGTTATTTAAATTTTAAATAATTACCTCTGTCGATATTCGTTAACAGTAGCTCAGAATATGTATGAAATACTTTGATAGGCAGGGCATTAATGGCATATTATTTTACTTGAAAAAAATTTCAATTAAAATTTCACGTGACAAAATTGTTTAATTTTTGTACTGATTCCTTTAACAATCGCGTACTATTTTTATGTTTACAAAACAAACGTACCCTGCACATTGATTGAGTTATCAGAATAATTGAAAATTCCACGATGGATCTCTGGGCAAAGCGACTATATACTTGCTGGTTTCGTTTCGCATATTATAACGCGCGTGGGATGCAACAACTTGAAACTTATCCAATGGATGATGAAATAATGTTATTAAATCGAACCTTCGAATCGCGTGCTTTAATTATATACCTTTACTCTCTTTCTCTCTCGTCGTAAGAACCTTAATCGCTTTGGAAAACCTTGATTAGTCATGCATGAACATGTGCACATGTATATTACGAGTTCGCGGCCTCTCGCGTACATCATTATTTTTTTCGGCTCAAAAACTCGTGAGTGCAGTATGATGAAACGAATAGTGCATCCGATCTACTGTATATGTATATAAGCATCCTCTGTGCATAGTCATGAAAACTTTCGTTAAGAGGCAAATAAATCGCATCAACCTTTCGTGAACCAAGCTCGAGACGAGTATTATTATATATACTGTACAAGCGAGGAGCAACAGTTTAAGGTCAAGGCCTGGCATTGCGCTCGCGCGCGTCCGTGGCAATATTATCCGATATGAGCAACGTGAACTTGACGACTTTTTTTTTTAGCTTATTCATCGTGCATAGAGTTTGTATTATCTCGGCACAATGAATACTCATCGCTGCGAGACGGATGAATGCTAAAATAAAACTGAAATGAGTCGGGAGGTCTTTTGAATGAATATGATAAGTGCAATAAGGACTAATGATCGATTGATATACGAGACTGTTGAAGCTCCGTTAATACAATGTTTTCTCGATTAATGAACCGTTTAATGAGTTGAATTGCTTTTTTATGGTCCATAATCAATTAGTTTTTTATTTTCTGAGTTATCTCGTGTTGATAAAATGAATGATGAAAATCATCGATAATAATTATAAAGATTCGAGTAAAAAAATAAGATAAAAAAACATTCGGGGCTTCGTTTTTCACCTCATTCGCGTAACGAAAATATTTGTAACCTTAATACATAAGAAAAACAATGCAAAAAAATTGTACCATGAAAACGTTTCTCTTTTTTACAGCCCCCGTTACGAGTATGCTGAGTCAAAAGTACAGCTGTCGAGCCGTCGTCTTCGTCGGCGGTCTGTTCTGCTCGCTCGGCTTGATCATCAGCTACTTCGCCACGAATCTTTATCATCTATTGTTCACCTTCGGCGTGCTCACCGGTAAGGCGCGAGATAAACAAAAAAGAAAGATTACTCAAAAGATAATGATACTTACGCTCGACGAATACACGATTAGGTATCGGGGGTGGATTGTCGACGACCCCGGGCATAATCCTCGTTTCGCAGTACTTCGACAAGCATCGCGCGCTGGCCAACGGCATCTGCGTGTCGGGCACGGCCGCGGGCGGCTTCGTGTTCCCGATGCTCATCGAGTACCTCGTGGCCTCGTTCGGCTTTCACGGCACTCTGCTCATCCTCGGGGGCTGCATGCTGCACGTCTGCGCCAGCGCGACCCTCTACAGGCCGCTCGAGGCCAATTATCCGGATCTCGTGGAGGACGAGCCGGCGCCCCCGGTGCCACAGCCGACGATCGAAGAGCCGCAGAAGCAGCAGCAACAACAGCTCGAGATGCTGTTCGCCAACAACGATCAAACCCTCAAGAACAATATGCTCAACGAGCTGTTCCATCAGAACGTACAGCTGAACGGTAATTACGCGTATATCTCGATTGCCAATTAAACGCGAATACGACGCCTTATAATTAATATTATGCCTCTTGCGGGCAGTGTCCGAGCTAACCGACAGCGAGGAAGAGAAGGACATATTGGGCAAGGCACCGAGCGTCAACAAGCCCATCTCCAAGATCCGCAGCTCGAGTATGCTGCACAGCGTCGAGGATCTGTCCACCGACTCGACCTGCTTCTACAAGTCGCGCAGCTCGGTGCGCTCCTTGCGAGCCTCGAATCTCGCCGTCTGTCGCGACAGCTACGGCGACTCTCTGGCCCAGCAGCATCTCCAAAAGCAGCAGCAACAACAACAGCAGCAAGAAGCGGGCTCGACCAGCGAGACCCACGAGCAGTCGGCCTCCAAGGAGTCGCTGGCCCAGCGCTTCTTCACTCGCTACATCGATCTGGGCCTGCTCAAGGAGACCCGCTTCATCATGATGTGTCTGTCGGTCGCTCTCATGTCCACGGGCAGCCCCTACATGCTCTACTATCTGCCGGCCTACGTACTGGCGCGCGGCTACACCAAGAGCGAGGCCGGCTATCTGGTCGCGATCTCGGCGGCCCTCGACCTGTGCGGCCGTCTCGGGCTCGGCTGGCTGTCGGATCTCCAGCTGTTCGACCGGCGCAAGGGCTACATCGGCAGCATCATCGGGGCGGGCCTCGCGGTGCTCCTCGTGCCTATCGGCAACTCGTTCTACGTGCTGGCCGGCTCGGTTGCGCTCTACGGCCTCTGCCTGGGCTGCTGGTTTCTGCTGGTCCCGGTGCTGCTGGCCGATCAGTTCGGCACCGACAAGATATCCTCGAGCTACGGCCTCGTGCGCATGTTTCAGAGCATCGGTGCCATCACCATACCACCCTTGGCTGGTCAGTATATTAACTAATTGCATCGCTCGACTATAATATCTAACGTATGATGTGTACATTAGCAAAATTTGGCAAGATACCGACGACGACGACTTTTTCCTCTAAAGCTATTAATAATTATTAATGGATAAACGATGAGAAATATATACGAGTCGGGCACGCGACAGCAAAAGAGAGAGAGAGAAAGATATTAATAATAACAATGAGCGAGCGAGGACGAACGACGGACAAATTATAAATAGACTCGCTGCTCATTTGCCAAAAGTCAAAGCTTTGGAGCTTATTGCGCACGCACGCGAATTTTCGCATAATTGCCTCGGTAATTGCGACTGCGGTTCATTTCAACGATCATACCGCACATTTAGTATCTACTATAAATGCACACGACACTCTCGAGTCTGTGTGCGCCGCAAATTATACGCCTACTATACGACCCGCGCAGTATGTCACGAATGTCAACGCGCAGTGCCGCGGCGACGCTCAAATATTTAGGCTTATAGTTTGAAGCTCAATGAGATTTCTTTTTTACATTAGCAAAAAGAATGAGATAAGTAATCAACATCGATGGTCATTGACTCTTGGGTCTGTCGAGTGACTAATTTCTCGCCAAGGGCTACGAACAATTGTCAAAACAACTTCGCGCGCAAACACAGATGCGCGCGAAAAGTTAACAGTCTAAATAAAAATCACGGAAATGTTTAGCGCGTCTCTCTTTCTTCCTCTACTGTATATAAAACAATTCATTCCGAGGCTATTCACCCCGCGCAGTGTCGTCAGGTAGTGCCATATATCATATGCACACATGTATTGATTCCCGAGCTTCAAGAGCAAAGACTCGCAAGAGTGAGAAGGAGAAAGAAAGAGACTCCGTCATTTTTATCACAAAAATACTGAAGAGCTTCTTTACATTTAACTTTTTGACTTGGCAAGGAAATCGCGTTTGAATAGAAATGAATAGGAAAATACGTAAATTATACATATTGGGAAAATCCGTAAATTATACATACTGGGAAAATCCGTAAATTATACATTTTGGGAAAATCCATAAATATAGAGCCTCTCAATGAAAATGAAATTCGAGTAGAGTTAATTGACCACGAACGTGTTTCCTATCAATCATTCGGTTCAGGCCTTAATTCTGCGACGCGGCTTCGACGGAATCATTCGCGTCGCGCGTGCTTCGCGGGGCAGTTCGAGATACACCGATAGCTAATAAAATGTCATTTCATTTGAACGAGTTGCTCGGCGTATTGAAAATTTGCATATTGCATCTAGTCCACAGAAAAAACTTCAAATTTTACTTTTCCAGGTCTAATGAGAGACTCAACAGGAAGCTACAGCATCTGCTTTCTTTTTATGGGCACATGCATGGTACTTGGTGGGCTGCCGCTCATGTTTGTCACTTACGACGGCAACAATTCCAAGAGCGACGTTGAGAGCAACAAAGAAGCTGAATCGATCCAGCAGAGCAAGAATTAAACTTGTGAATGGTATATTACTCCCCTAAATCACGAAAAATGTACGGGGTGCGCGTGTTATTAGCTGAACGCGTACTCCGCTGGACTTTCTTTTTCACGGCTTAGGCCTGTATACTATTTTTCATACTTTAGGGTCTGAAAATAGTTCGGACGACTGATATGAAAAGAAGTTATCATAAAAAAATATCAGCATCATCTTAATGGACAAGAGATGATTCTCATTTTCAAATACAATTAATTAGATAAATCAAATGTACATCAAGTATTTTATACTTGACATATTAATTATGTGAAAAATTTTTTAGTTTCGAGGATTCTTTTATAGGATATCGAAAAAGAATCTCATATCTAATTAAGGATCCCAAGCAGAGTCATTAATTTATAGTTATTATGATATAGATCAAGTATTAATTAGGTACAAACGACATTTTACTATCCTTCAAAAACTTAATGACTATCGTATATCACCGTACGATTGATCTATGTGATTATGATGATGAGGTGCAACTTTTAGCACCACAGTATAAAAAAAACTTTCACTGAAGATTATCCTATACAGTAGTTTACGTAGACTCGACTATGTGCAGTCTAGACTTACTTACTAACAATACAATTGAGCATGGATATAGGATAGTAAAATCTGTAAATATTTTCAATATGTATGTTGAATTTTACAACATTTAACAATTTAACAAACATACTTTAATTTTTAATGGGCCAATATACCGTACTAATATTAGAGAAGACGAAAACGGGTGATTATTATTTGACAACGGATTTTTATTGTTAAACAGTTGACTCATTTGTAAGTGGTGAACAGTTACCAAAATTAAAAAAATTATATAAATACAATCTCTGAAAATCAGAGATGAGTAATGAATTAAAAATTTTAGTGTAAAACTCCTGATAACTTGAATTTTATTGATTTTTATCACATTGATGTTTACAAAGAACTGACTGCAAACGTTGATCTTATATATCTTTTTAATAAAACTGTAATATGCTGCAACGACAAGCGTGTGTATATTTACATCGCATATGCACGATCATGAATTTTGTAGATGTATATTTTTCAAAGTTGCATTAATATAATAACTAGACGTTTGCTTCGTAACATTTAAGCGTGTGTACTACTTTCGTTCGACGAAACTACGCCAGAACTGCTCACTTTTAACGAGCAGTTCTGCAAACACTATCGATGAATATTTTTGGTACACAATTAGAAGGTAGTTTCTGTGTTAAAGTTTGTGGCTTTATTTATAAAAATTATATATGTATTATACATCGAGTGAAAGTATACGTCGAAATTTTTTGTAAACGAAAAAAAATTACTAACGTGCGAATCCCCTCTGTATCTAAAGCCAAGTTTCTGTTTTATTGACAAAAAAATCGATTGACAAACATCAGATTTCACTTCTCTTCCTAAAAACCCAATGACGATAAATAAAAATCGCAACGGATGTAACTGCCGATTAAATCAAACTGAAAATCAAGCCAAATTTTTCTCCACGGGCGCGATATATACGTTCTCTCTATCCTCCTATCAAACTTTTACGAGCATACATGCAGCTCTCGATCAAAAGTGTGCGAGATACTCGAGAGAATTTGTTTGTTATTTTGTCGAGCGATCGCACGCCTTCTACTCACTCGATACACAATCTCCGCTACGATGATGATTTTATTATTAAAAAAATATGATATTTAAAAGAAAATTGAAAAAAAAACAAACACACAAACAAACAAAAACAGAAGCGCGCGCGATATCGGTTTATTGACTTCGCGTCCTCGTTCTCTAATTAACCCGAATCTCATACCCGAAATGTTGTGCGAAAATGTTCGACCTTTTTTTTCGAATGTTTGTATTAAAAAAAAAAAAAAAAAGAAAGAAAAAAGGAGCGCAGGCTCGAACTGCGTGTATAAATTTTTGAAAAAACTCACAAAACTAATTGTTAAGAGTATATAATATGTCGTAAATAAGCTCAGGATGGGTATAAATGCAAGCGAATGATTGTTGCTCGACTGTCTGCGCGACGAGGCGTAATCTCGTTACAGCCAAGTATAATATTTGACTTGAGATTTCAGCGAGTTGATGTACTTAAAAATAAATAATATATAGAGGTAATGGCAGACGTGCGCGTGTTGCAATGACATTGGTTTACAATGCTTATGCCGTCGCGCTGTATAACGCGGCACACGCAGAATCGGATTGCACTTTTGGTTTTGCGAGCGCGACGACCATGATTATTTTTTTGTAAATGTGTGTGATTTTTTCTAAATACGTGTCTCGTGTTCGTGAAAGATGAAATGCGAAAAAAAAATAAATAAACGAACAAAAAAAACAAAGAAAAAGATCGTCAGCGTGTCCACTTACGTTTCTTCCGTTTTGACATTATTTTTTTTATGTACATAAATATAAGTGTATTTTCGAGGCAGGGAATTAAATATGAATTTTTATGTATTGTTTAAATTAGTTACTGAAATATTGCATGGCTAGAACTAACGATGATTTGACGAAGACGATGAAAATATAAAATAAAAATATTGACCAGAGTCGTAACATTATATTAAAAAAAAAAAAAAAATTGGCTGTGCTATAGAAAATAAAATAGTAAATAAAGAGAAGACAAAAAAATTGAAACTATAAAAATTGAAAGTGAGCTGTTAAACCGATGCAATACAAGTGTAAAAATCGTTATATTATGAAATACTATATCGATGAAAATAAACTTATTTTCTCATTGAGAGTTTAGCGAAAAGTTTTAATTGCAAAAAAGACGAGAGAAATCAATAATCTTAGATCGAGTCAAAGTTAAGGCATTTTTATTTAACGAGCTGCGCGAAGTTCTACGTAGCAATTAAACAAAAAATAGAGAATTAGAAAGCGATGGAACAAAAACAACGTGGGCCAAGCGTAGCTCTAAAAAAAAACAAACAGATTTCCTGTAAAAAAAAGAAGAATTCAACAGTTTGTACACTTGAATAAATGCGAAAATGTCTATGATAATACCAAGAGTACTTTTAAGCCGTAATACTTAACAAAAATTATATTATATTAACATTAAACTACGACAACTAATTGTAACAGAGTATTTGCGCGATAAGCCGTGTGTCTCTTTGCTCCGGACACAGGAAAAAATAAATAAATAACAAGATATAATATACAACTAACAGAACAAAAAAATGTAACGTAACTTTGATAATAAGTGGGACGAGTTTACAATGATAACAATTAAGCATTTAAACGAATGATTTGCTCTGTGTTTATTCGCGGCATATGAAACAATTAACATATTATTATGAAAGGAATGAGAGAAATGTGGTACATCGATCGATATCCGATCGATAAATAAAAAACGAATGTTTTGTTACTCGTGAAAAAATCCTATTGTACATCGTTACTTTTGAAAGTAATTCAAAGTATAAATAATAATATATTGTATGTACGAGCGAAGATAACTGTACTTCATCACCTCTCGGTATCGCTGCTTTACAAAGTCATGGTTGGGGCATTTTTCACATCAATTGTAATATGACAATTTGTTTGTTACATAATAACCCGTGCGCGGCCTTGACACAATTTTACTGTCTAAAAAGATGAAAAAAAAACTTATTAGTGAATATATTGATTATAAATAAAAAAAAAAGGAAAAGATTATTTGAAAACTCATTGATTTGTTTTACGAGTTGGTTATTTATAATTTCCCATTCCTCGTTGCAAAAGAAAAACAACGACTTTTTACGCTTTCTTTCTTTTATCGAATATAGGTTATTTTCAAGCGTTACAACGGGAGAGTCATAATTTTTCGTTATAAATAAACTTTAGCCGCGTGTGCAGTTTTGCGAGCGGCAATGAGCGGCGTCAATTTTTTCACTCTCGCGATTGATCGTGGTGGCAACAACGGCGGACGACGAGTGCTTCCAAACGTCAAGCTTCGAATAACGCGCAGACCTTGAGGAAGAATAAAGCGAACCCGAATGCGCAGCAGTACAGATGATATATATTTGTATAAACGATTCGCCGAGATGAAGATAAACGACTGCGACAAGTGAGACTTTAATTGAAACAATAACAACAACAAAAAAGCGTCCCATATCTCTCTCTATCTGACTGTGTATGTGTGTGTGCTGTTTCACAGCGACTACTCGTCCAAGCCCGTCCGCGTGCAAGAAGGTTGGAACTGCTCGTGGCAGCAGCCCGAGTCGAGGCAAGCGGTTCGCGAGGTGGTACGCGGGCCCTTCCAACGACCGCGAGTCGTCAAATTTTCGCCCTACGTCGTGCTGAGCTCGTGCAAAAGCTGCACTCGATCGGCGGAATTGGCTCGGGGCAGACGAGCTACGGAGCGCAACGGCATCCCTGATCCCTGGCTCGAGTATCTCGCGGCGCGCGACAAAAAGCACGGCGGCGACGACGACAGGGCTCGTCTCCATAAGCGAGACGCCAGATACACGCAGCTCCTCTGGAAGCGAATCGGCTTCTCTTTCGCTCAGGGTATACCTGACCCTTGGAGAGGAGGTATACCGGATAGCTTCGTAATCCATTATTTTTTTTTTGCCTAAAGCTTTACGCGCGCCAATCGTTTGTTCTCCGTTAAAATCCAACAGAAACTTTGCACCGATGCGAAAATAAAGGTTGCAACGGCAAAGCGAGAGAGGATAAAGCCGTGTCGTGTTGTTTAACGATCGAATTCAGTGGGCCTGACGATGACAAGAGTCCCAAAGCAGCAGCAGCAGTAGCAGCAACGGAGTCAAAACCGCCTAACGATTGGAAATTCCGTAACGATGACAATTATCAAGAGAAAAAAATTTCAAGGAACCAGTCAATCAATACGGAATTCGGCGAAATGCGTGACTCCCGCTACGATAGCTTGAAATCCGTCGCAAGATCGCCGATTGATAGCGACGATGAAGTTGTCGAAAAAAAACAACGAAACTCGTCAAAGGTCAGCTTTTTCGAGAGCGAGGCTGAACATCTGTCTCGCGTGAGCGCGACCAGGCCGAGCGAGCCGAAAAAGATGTCCGTCATGTCAACGATAGAGGAAAGATACTCGTCATCGAACGAGGTTCAACGTTCCTCTCAGCCGAATCAATTGAAAAAGATATCGATCGCGTCAACGGAGGAGAAAAGAAACTCGTCGATGAGTCGTGGCTACGATGCCGATGCGAGCCCACGTCGAAGCAACGAGGTTCAACGTCCTTCCCGGGTAAGCGAGCCTAAGAAGATGTCAATCTCGTCGTTAGAAAAGAAAAGAAACTCGTCGGCGAGCCGACGGGTCGATGACGACGTCGACACCTATCTTAGTCGAAGAAGCGAGGTTCAACGTCCCTCCCAGGCGAGCCCAACGATGAGTGAACCAAAAAAGACTTCGATCGCATCGGCGACGTCAGAGAAAAGAAACTCGTCGGCGAGCCGTCGCTGCGACGCCAATACGTGTCCTCGTAGAAGATTGACCCTTCAACTCGCCGACGGCCAGGAGGATGAGCTAAAAAAATGTCTGAGACAGATCGATCGGCGCATCTCGATAACGCAGCAAGCGCTCAAAAGTCCGGTATTCACTGATAAAAAAATTCAAACGCCGATCTCGACACCGCCGGAGCAGCGCCGCAAAAAGTCATCGGTTGTGACATCGGTAAACGACGACGACGATGAATCGAGTCCGCGTGTCTCGGGAGCAAAAAACATCGATCCGAAGAGGCGATCCTCGAAATTGTCATCTTGGCAGAGGCAGAGCGCCGGCGACGACTCCGTACACGTTGATACGAATTACGATTCGTCGCTATTGTTCGTTCAGCCAGCTCGGCGAAGGTGCCCCGTTATGGAGGAAAGTCTGTTCGTCGAGAGCTCGACAGGAGACAGAGAGCCGCTGATCGTTGAATCCTTGTCAGACTGATGAGCTTGCACTGGAGAAAAAATGAAAAAAATTGATCGTCACGATACTTTGAGATTTGTTTCATTCACAAAGATAATACCGATCTTTAAAAAGAGAAAAATTAAATCAATCGCGGGTGATAAAGAAAGCTCGTCCATATCGTCAAGGCCTCTCGCGATCTGGCACAGATGCTGCGCGAGGATGCTATACTATCTGCAGGCCGATTACGCGCATATCGTTTGTGCCGCGGCAGTTTATTATAAAATACACATAACGCCGCCGTAGAGTTAGAAAGATCGGAGATTCTAATCACTTCCGAAGAATTCCAGTTCGCACTGGTTCGCGCATCTCTCGTCGTCGTCTCGTATACTCGCAGATATTGCGACACACTCTTCGAAGTTATGTATTGTGTGTATTGTGCACGCAGAGGGTATAATACTCGCACGTGTTACAATATGCAAAGTTGCTAGAAAAGTGTCAAAAACTTCTTTTTTTTGCTCTTGTTAAATAGATGATCGTCGTAGTGTTTGCCGATCGCGCGAGTCACTCCTATTGTACTATTGCTCGTCAAAAGGAATTCCGTACGTTAACTCCGTGATACTGCGCGTTATAACGTATGCGAATAATTATAATAATCATCGCGTTGCTCTGCCCGACACTTGTGTGTACATATTATAATTTTAATACGTTTCTGCGCGCAGCTTTTACTATACGCGATGCGTGCGAAAACTATATCGTGACGCGTTGATAATCTTCGGCTTTTTTATCTAATCGCGACACGAGAGAGAGAGATGAAATTGCGAGGCGGTTTTGAGTCACACAAGCTCGAATGTACGACATATAGTAGCCGGCCCGCATCTTTCTATATGTACTCAATTAACACATTGATTAATTGTGTGTGTGTCTGTGCGCACGTTAAAATATATATTCGTGTTATACGCGCGAGCGCAACAGGAAAAATGCAATCTAAATGTCACAAAGCGAGGCGCGTAAGTTTCTAATAGCAATTGAGGCTTTTTAGTCGTTGGTCGCTTTATCGTTGCTGCTCGCAATGCGCCATGTAGGCACAAATATAATGACGAGCTAGCTGCGTTCGGCCACTATAAATTAGACGCTCGGATACGTGTGACAAAAATATACGGCGACATTTATTGATAAAACAAGACGAGTCACATCAGCTAATAAACCGTATGGTCCATGCGACAGTATAATAAAAGCATGATGAATGCCCCGGCGTATACCGCAGACAAGCAGACTGACGAAACCAAAAATTCGTATTAGCAAAGATTCGTATCAACCTCGAATCTTTTAGCAAAATAAATCGATGATTGGAGTATGATCGATCGATTACCTAATCTATAAAATAATACGTCAAAGATTGAAACAAAAGCTCTCTTATACTCCGAAGTAGCAGGTGATAGTTCAACAAAATTATCATTTCTTTCAAGAAAAATGAACATCTGTAAGTATTCAGTTGAGAAAGATTTTCCTTTCTTACATCACATTCGTGAGTATAAGGAAAAAATAACTCATCGCTTTTATACTAAAGGGTAGAACGGAACAAAACGACGATCGTCGAAAAAAACGGCGCGATCCGAGCGTTATTCGGAGCTAGCGTAATGCTAGCGTAATGCGCGTAATAGTCGTTCATGCATTTAATTTGAATTTCAAGAATGAACAATGACATCATCTGAAATTCATTTTTTTCGGGTTTGCGGTGGTATATATATTGAAAATTGCGAAATGGTGTTTTTTTTCCTTTTTAAAATAGCGAGTTGTTGTTGTTAATAGCTGATGTATTTTTCCTTCCCCGAGGATTATAGCATTATTTATTGTCTAGTTGAAAAATAGTCATTCTTTTATCACCTAAGATTTATTGATCATTTATAAAAATAAGAAGTCAACAGCTATTTGCCAAAGGGCAGAGTGGAATGGAACAACGAAAGACGGGAAGCCCCACGATACTAGCCTATATGCTTACGTTTGCACGGTCGTAGGGATTAGTTATTCATCGTCATTTACGCATTCAATTGTAACAGCAAAAGTAAACAAAAACATTATCTATAATTAATTTCTATTCAGCTTTACAATAATATATTAAAAATTGCGATCGTTTTTCATTTGTTTTTAAAACCTGCCTTATTTTTTCTTTTCAAAGATTTGAGTAATTTGCTTGATAAAGAGCTATAGTTTTTTTTAATCGGAAAGATCTTTTTTACATGAAAATCATCATTGAAAATGAGAATTTATCAGTTTATTGATCATCGACAAAGCCAATGGCACAAATGACAACTTCCAAAACAGCTGCACGTAATAGAGTTTACGAGATAGCTCTTTTTCACGCATGTTCTCCTGATTCTTACTGTCTTATATTACATCATTCGTTGAACTATTCTCTCGGGCTTTTTTAAACCTATATAGTACATCATAAGATACTATAAGTAAAATTTTTTCCAAAACCAGAGTGACTCATTATATTATGATCTAAGACCCATTAGCTACCAGAATGTACAAGATCAGAAGTTCCACAATAGACGAGCTTATGCTCGGACTACTGTCGAGATCAATTACTTATTCATCATAATTAACGCAGTTAACTGCGAGAGTAAACAGACATTATTCATAATTATTTTTTTAGTCTCTACAATGATATATTAAAAACATGAATGTCTAATGAAATTCTTAACTTCCTTTTCTTTTTTTGAACCGTCAAGGACTTTCTGGGATTTATACAAACGATAAATAATACATCCTCAAATGCCGAATCCTTTTTTTTAAATATTAATTTTTATCTTAATCTTAAAGCTGATGTAGGATATAGTTTATCTTCATTAAGGCTTTCGAATAAAAGCGTGATCGTGATATTTTCACACCTTCTACCATCGAAATTTGGAATTTCTGTTTGCGCTTGCTCACAGCCATGTATAATAGACCCGGCTCAAGTTACATCTTTACATGATCCATCAATTAGTACCCGCTTGAAAAACGAGTTTCCCGTCGAATCATCTTAGGCCACATGCTAAGTACATGGCATTCAATTCCTCTCGTTAAAGTGTGCAGCTGCATGAAATTATAAATGAATCCATGAAAAAAGAAACTTTTGGTCAGTAGCGCAATTTATGGAAAGCCGATATTATGTAACCGTATGAGGATCTCCACCCACGAATCAAGCACGATAGTCGATCTATTTTTTCGAGGAATACTATGCTTGTGATAGCGGTGATCGACACAAAATTTAAAGCGCCTACGATTCGCCTTATCCGTGCACCTGTATACATTTAATAACAAGGCGTATCATATTTGAATCGGCAGAAACACGCACACGGCAATTGTGTGTTTACGCAAGCTCGGGTATTAATGCGCGCATAGACTTTCGCGGCAATAACAAAACTGCTATGTGCGGGATTTTTCGCTCTGGGTATACCCAAAATCTGCGAATTTCCGGGCGCGCTTCACCGGAGGAGAATCGAGCTCTTTGTCAATTTGCGGGTGCCGCCGCCGCCGCCGCATCGGAGAGTTCGACACACACATGCGCGCGCTATTATTATTTATCATCGTCGATCGAGAACAGCTATATGATCGCGACCGATGATTGGCAAATTTTTTAATACCGAGCATTGTGCGCGCGGCTCACGCGAATAATAGTCCGACTCTCGGAGCAGTGCAGACACGACCATTATATTCATTAACGCACGCATGACACACAAACACCAACGCATTTATAAAACTGACGAGACGAGTAGCAACAGCAGCAGCAGCAGCAGCAGCAGCAGCAGTGGGAGAGAAATGGCATATCTTGTTTGCCGAATGCCGAGCTATAGAGTTGTAGTCAAAAGCGAGACTCGTGTATTCGCAATATTTACGCACACATGCAACTTGCTCGCATATCTATATCAACTCGGAGTCTCGAGTCGCGCGCGAGAGAGGGTCGCACACCTCTCTTTTTCTCTCTCTTTCTCTCTCACTCTCTCCCTCGCACATATGCTCGGCCAGCTGATCGCATAGCTCGCACGAGCTCTCGAGTCAGTCGCAGCGACTCGCTCGTCAAATTCGCACGCGCGAATCCCTATCGCGAGAGAGATATATACAACGCAACACCAACAGTTCGTACTGTGCGTATATACCTACTGCTGAGTCCGACACGGCAGTATAGAGAGCGAGTTAGCGAGAGCGCGCGCGCGCACACCCACGCAACAAATCGTTTGACTCGTCCGTATTATAACTTTGCAATTGTTTAAATAATACGGAAGTCGGGCAAGAATTCGGACGGTAGAGATTGCGACTTGTTTTGGACTCTTTCTCATTCTCGCCTCGCAAGTGTCTACGAGTGCTTATGTACTTTTTGTGGTGTAACGAGCTCGATCCCGCACCAAGTGTGAATTCGCAAAAATACACACAAAGAGAGGCAGCAGCGAGCAAAACGTGTTGTGCACTGCACAAGAACAAGAACGAGAAGAGGTTAGGTGTTGGCGCGGTCAGCCTGTGTCAGCCAGCCAGCTAATATATAAGCGACAGACCCGTGTGTATATCGCGTGTGTATACGTGTGCTGTATAATATTCAGCGAGTGCGCGAAATTACATGCCTCGCAACAAAGACATATAAAAAAAGGAAAAACATAAACACACACGAGCATCGCGGCCGACGATAATCAATGCCGTATTGATTTTCGCACGCGCGCGCCCGCGCCTAATGACCGTAATTGATGATGAGAAAGGACCCCGAGGGCAGGTGCAGTATAATAGAGTTGTTGTTGTTGCAAGCGACACACACGCGTATAACACAATCGCACACGCACGCGTGCGGAGACCGCGCGACGAGCTTTCTCTACTCGTATCGCTACTCTACTGCGATAACGCAGTCAGCTGTCTCTGTCATCTGTGATTGACGCGACGCCAACGTCAAAAGCTCGTTTGGAGCTTGGCCTTTTCGAGAGCGAACGAGGCACAACGAACAAGTCGATTTTGCATCGAATCCGTAATTAGTTCGACATGATCAAAAGTGTGTGCTTCGAGAATGCACCTATGCAGTAGCAGCAGAAAACGCAAGTAAACAAAGAGCAGTAACAGTAGCAGCAGTCATCCTAGCAGACGACAACGACCAAAGGGTTGCTCTTATCGTGCGTAGTTCGATTTATGTCATACATACGCACGTAAGTCGAGTGTAGGTGTATATAGATGCATACGAAGCGAACGACGGCGACTACACAAAGAAATCACAGCTCGTGTACTATGATTATGTCTATATGTACACACACGCGGCGGGCCAATCGATGACTTTAGCTGCTGCAGCCTACTCGAGAGAGCTGCTGACTCGCATAAAGATAAGCTAGTTTGTGCGCGCGCGTGTGTGTGTGTGTGTGTGTGCGTATGCATGTGCGTGTAAGTGTGCGCGCGATATCAACATAATTGCTGCAACAAGCAAATTTTTTCGCCACGCGTTTAGCAAAGCCAAGCCCGAGTGAATGAGCGAGAAAGGCCAAAGTGACAACAGCGACGAGGCCCTAGACGAAGACGACGACGGCGACGATAACAACGTACGAGTGCATTATAATCAACGGTAGTAGTAGCAATAGCAATAGTAGCTGCAGTAGTGATAACTGCCGTGTGCTTCGTTATCGAGAAAGCTCCTCCGGCCAGCGACGGAATTACATACACGCGATTGGAGCAAGCAACGACGACGCGTCGCGGCGGCTTATCGTTTCGTACGAAGCCAGATATCGTCATCGTATAAATCGCGATAGCGCGACTCTGCGCCTATATCCATAATCGCGACGGCTGGGCAGCTAAAGTAGCGGGAGCGCGCGAAGCTACCGAAAAAGCTGATAAATACGAGTCACTCAGTGTCGCGTGTGCCGCGCGAGACGAGCACAGCTACGTGCTGTGTGTGGCGAGTATATATTCAGAGTCTCGTATCAAAGTGCAATAATTAATCATCGTGAAGATGCAGCAGCTCGAGGGAAAAGACGACGATTTGACCGGGATCAGCATGGATTTCGGACAAGATAAAAAGAACGGCGAGTACACGCTGGTCAGCCAGCAGCAGCAGCAGCAGAACGCCGTGGCCAATGGCAAGGCGACGAGCAACGGAAGTAGTGCACTTATGAACGGCACCCCTAAGAAAACCAAGAAGAGAAAGAAAAGCGGTGAGTAGTTTAGCCGGTGCATTGGCATGTATAAACTTATTATAATCGTATACTCGCGTTTATATAATAATATCGCGCACTGGTTAGAAATGACGTGTGCTGCTGGTGCATAGGTATTATACGCGCGCAAAGCTCTCTTATTTTTGTTTTGCATACGCGCATACATATAAGCTCTTTGTTCTCGCTTTCGTGCGTATAGACACGCAGATTATGTGCATATAAGCGCGCAATTCCGAGCGTGATACTTTATGTATTATAGTCGGTCTCCGTGTGGACAAGCAAACTCGTTGTTATATAGTCGTGATCCATGCCTCGAGATCGCTTCTCTTCGTCTCTAGTTTTCGGATGCTTTTTTTGCTTCTTTTACGATACCGTTTTAAAAGCGACCGAGCGTCACGGACGGCAAAAAGGAGGCACCAATCGCTCTTCCCGGTATACAGCTTCACGATGGTTTAAAATTTTTTTAAAATTACGTGCCAAGACGAAAACGCGTTCAAAAAGAAATAAACTCGAGCATTTGTTTCGAAGCTAGGCTATGCTTGTTTGAGCAAACGAGATGAAAGAAAAGATCATTAATTTACACTTGACGAGTGATTCCTTCAAAAGAGGTGACTATTGTGGGATAAATTACCTTTCTAACGAATGACTTCCATTCAATTGAGTACAAGTTTACTTGATTAATCGTGATCGATCTTAAAGAAAACCAACGACTCATCGAGCATTAATGACCCATTAATACGTATTATAGAGACGAAGTCGGAATGATATACCTGCAGGTGCATTTATTCTCGAGAGCTCGTAAAAAATAGCCAAATAAAGCAAAGCGAGAAAGACGATCGCCAAAGCGATAAAAAAGGCATATCGCTCGTATTATTGCCCTCTCGAAGTAGCACTCGTATATGAGAAATCGAAGATCGGCGTTTTCGCAATTTTTTATACCATATAAGAGCACACGTGCGCGATGGCACCTACGCATATACACGCGCGTTGTACAGTAGCCAGATATAATGTACAAGACGCCAAATTTGCTCTTTCGTCTTATCTTTCGGGAAGATCTTCCTCGCATACTTACGCACACGCATATCGCATTTGATCGTTACGCACATATTTACGTAGGTAGCGCACACCCGCAGAGATAAAAAAAAATGTCAAGCTTTTTTAGGTAAAATTAAAAAGTAAAAAAAAAATTCGGATCCGACGCTCTTGCGGGCACGGAAAAATTGGCCATCGAGTGTGTATCTTATCTCATTATAGTTATAGACGCAGTTTCGAGTATTATTATTATAATACAATAGTCGATGGCGCCGGAGGCTTTGAGCAATGCTCTTAGTTGAACTATATATACACACACACACAATGGCAAATTATTGAGCCGATAATGGTCGGAGAAACACACAGGTGCTGACTATACAGCTATATACACTCGCTGCTTTACATTATGCTTCCTATATTCGCATTTGTGTACTCTTACCAAAGTTTAAATACCTTTGAGATAATTGAATGGGCGATCGTCGTCTTTTTTTGGGTGAATCAATTGAATTGCCAGATTATATATTGGGTGTGCGTGCCTATGTAAACGCGTGCGTCGTTGTAGGTCTATATACGAACGGGTCTTAACTTAATGCTTCATCGGATATTCTTGTCTTCGTCGTCGTTGCATATACGGCAAAGATGCTCTCGTACCTACCTATGTATAATCAACCGCGCTCGCTCTCTCTCTCTCTCTCTCTTTCTCGGGCAGCTAGCCAAAGCTTATACACGCGCGAACTTGTAAAATTGTAGAGCGTAAGATGTTCGAGTGTCCGCCGCGCAAGCAGCCGACGACGACGTTGTTCGAGAGAGCAGCGCTTGCATGAATGATTTTGCAATTTTTCCCGAAATAAGCGCGTAAATGCACATATGCAGCCTATATAACATACAACATCATTCGCAGCCAAACAATGGGCTATAAGCTCGATCGACGGTGAGAAAGCTAGAGGCGATTACATCGTATTATACGAATGGCTAATGAAGTCTTAGCTTCTATAATTGATCATGTGTGGAATGGAAATAAGTCTTGACGGATGATCCGATATCCTCGAGATCGGAAGCTCCACATTGGACAGGTTCACACTTGAACGCGTCTGTCGAGATCCATTAAAGCATGAAATTTTAACTGCAAGAATAAACAAAGACATAACTATTATTAATTTTCTTTTAGCTTTTTAATGATGCATTGAAAATGAATGTGCGATGATTGAATTTACGAGATGGGGTTTTTAGTCGTGCTTCCTCGATTCCCACTTTCCAATTACGATTTTGATCGATTGAGGCTCTTCTGGGGCTCTGTTCAAACAATGCATAAATATTGAAGCTAGTGTACAAGTGATCATCATTAAGGCTTTGGAACGAACGCGTGAAGTGTGAATTTTCACACTTTATCCCATTCAAATTTAGGATTACTGTTTGCTCTTCCCATCGACCATGTATGCCCGGTTCAAGTTACATTTTACATGCAGTAATTAAATTACGTTCCAAGAACCATTTATACGTCTTTTTTAGGAGGTCAAATAACGCGCACCATATGCCATCGAAGCTCTAGCGTAATCCGATGATCGATAGATTTTCTCACTGTTCAGCGGCTGCCGTATAATATAATAATTACGAGGCAGCGCGTCGATTCGTAAAGCAGCCCACATAGAGCCCCGAATGCAGCGATTGCGTTCTCGCAGGCGCGCAGCCTAGCATTAGCCCTTGACTCGCTCTACTGATCGACCTTCGTTCGGTAGTCTGCATAATGCTAGCTGTGCAGCGAGCTCTCGAGTGCAGGTGCTGCTGCTGATACTTTTTAAAATAAAACACATGCGTATATAATAGCGCGCACCGTCTTTATTGCTTTTGCGCGCGCTTTCCCTATTTCTCCCTCGCGGTACAAGGTATGTCGTACGCGTATTTGGAACTCTAAATGCCCTGAACGGATTTTTTGTTTCATTTTAACTAATCTACTATTCTCTTAAAAAAGTAATGGTCTTTATGGTTTAATTAGTTTCGAAACGTTTTGATTGATGGATGACAAACCAAAATAAACAAAATAGTCAGTTATGTTAAAATGCCCGAAGCAGACGTGTATGCATAAACCAGATAAAAAAACTCGATCGCTATGCATCACTGCACTCATTCTGCGAGTTTTTCCGACGTTTCTTCATCGAATATCATATGTAGAAATCTATAAAATCGACACGCACGAGCCGTGCGCCTGGTTTATTTCAACTATTATTTGTTGCTCTTTTCGATGTTTTTTAAAACGAAATTGCGCACGAATAACGAGGCTTCGACAGAGAGAGAGCTTTAAATGCGCAAAACAATCTCGTACGTCTGCCACTCATGTACGCTGCGATGAAGCTGCAACAGCACCAGCAGATGCTGCGGTGAACGACGAGAGAAGTAATATCAATCGGCGCTCGGTTTAATCAAGCGATACCGCACTGGTGCGCGCGCGGCTTCGTTGCATTTATATGTAGATGTTGCAACTCGATAGTCTGCGAAATAGACCGCCAATCGCGCGGAAAATAAGTCGAGCCACGAGATGCGTGTCGATTTTCACGCGCGTAATGCCAATACGCTGTGTCGAGCGTTGGAAATTTTTTTTCCAAAGCAAAAGGAAAGATCCGCTCGATGTAAATAAGGCGTATACATCGTCGTTCGGCGCTGCTCGATTTAACAATCAAACGGTGTTCCGTAGATCGTTCGATGTAATAGTAACGAAATATCATTGATAAATCGATATCTTTGATTATTTCTAAAATCCAGAATGACTGTTCGAGATCCGAGGGGCGCGTTTTCGACTGCGATCGAATCGACTTTATCGCCTTAATTTGCGTAATGATTCCACATTTTTTAGGAACGAGATTTGATTGTAAAAAATCTGATTCAAATCTTCGATCGATTAGCATCTACAGCTATCGAGACCAACATACTTTAACGATTATAATTGCGGCTAAGCGGATATTTCTATGTAATTGGCTCTTACACGCGATCCGTATCGACAAAAAGTATACATATGTGCAGCTGCTTGATTGATTGGTAATTGAAAATTAATATACGCAAACAGATAGGCTCTTTCAAATTCTTCGAATAATTGTCCTCTCGCAGCGAGAAACGTAATGTAACGCACGTCAGACGAGCGTAAAAAAAAAAGAAGAAGGCGAAAAAGAATATCTCGAATTTTGTAGGTCATATCTATCGTATCGCGCGATATTTTTTTTTATTTCTCTTCAACGACAATATTACTCACGCCGAAGCACCGCGCTCTCGTGAGGTTGATTATTTTCTTCGAAGGATAAACAATGACCGGGAACAAGTGCGCCACTTTCGGCCCTGTACACGCACGCGGAAAAAGAGAATTCCATAGCGGCGGAAAAATGTCGATACAATTTCTGCAGGATTCAGCACGGAGCAGCCTCGCATTTCGAAATAATTGAGAGCTTTTCTATATACGTCCGTTGGCTGTCGAAGGCTTGGATATATATGTACGCGCCGAGAGTCCATTTACTTGGGTATAATTGAAACTTTTTGCGTAAAATTGCACTCGAGGCATTTCCTTCGACGCTGTTTATCGGCCATATAAACGAAGGATATTGTTTTTTTCTCTCTCTCTCTCTCTCTCTCTCTCTCTCTCTTGTTTCTCGTCGTTCTCATTTATTGCATCAATGTCGTACGTGTCGAGCGAGCGAGCTAACACAATTTGTATATAATTTATAAATTACAAGAACGAGATGATAGCTTCTCGGCAGCTTATATCGTATACGTATATACAAGCTTGTTCGCGCGCAGCTATTTGTCATTCGGCGATCGCATCAATTTCATCGCGTTTAATTAATCCAACCGATCTTTGCCAGGCTTGTAATAATAGAACACAAGACAACTGTGTGTCTGTGTGTGTGTGCGCGCGCGCTAAGAAGCCGCGAACAGCCACCGGCTCTATTGAAGCAGTCAAGCTTTTAAGCCAAGAAAATATATAA